TCTACGAAACCAGTTTCTCTTAGCAAGTGTGAAAACCTTAATACTAATACCGTCGAAGCTATCAGAGTAAATGTTCAATTTTTCCAAGAGAGAGTGAAAATACTTTTGGTGGGCTTTTTTTTTCTTCTCTGGCAATCTTAAGTAAACTGCATGACACAATGAATCACCTGCTGAGGAACAAGAGACGCCAGTCTTCGAAATGGCTTTTCTATCGAGCAAACCTTACTCCATAGTGTAAGATGAGGTTTTTTTCGATGTACTTACTGTAATAGCTTTTCTTCTTCTGACAAACAACTTCTCATGCCTTTCCTAATTGATGTGTTCTTTGGCCCAATCATTATCATTTCCTCCTCCAAAAATCTGCAGAAAGTTTAAGATTGCAAATGTTAACAGCACTTTTATGTAGCAGCAAATAAACAGAATATCATTTAATACGAAACCAGTTTCAGTGCACTGTGTAAGTCTTTGAGGCTTGTCTAATCACTCGGGTAGCGTGAGTTCTGCTTTTTGGCATGGAATTTGCATATCACAACTTAAGTTTTGTACGTGGCTTTCTGAAATGGTTCCGCAATTCTAAATGCTATGAAGCAAATTTTTCAGGAATTATCGATAACATGAAAACAATTTTAGAGAATTTTAGGCCATGGAGAACCACCTGCGGAGTCGTATGACGTGAATTTGATTGATTCGATTTCATTTTCATCACTTCTTTAATACTAAAATAGAGAGTGGTTAACTTCCTAATTGCTTGAATTGCATGTTGAGGAAATAACAACAATAACAAAAATTAGCGTGTGTTCTATAATCTGGGTTTGACTGAAGCGAAAACCACGTATGCCGGCTAACATTCCAAAAAGTTTACTAATGCCAAACTGGACATTTATAAAGTTAAAATGTAGTTTGCCGTTAGTGATAGGATCAACTTCTTAAGCTGTTAAGTCCTAACATCACTGATGTCGAATATGATTTTCTTATTATTGAGATCTGACCAAAAGACTACTTATCCAAGCAGTTTCAAGAAGTGAGAATGATAAGTGATGGAGAGTAAGTGGACAGCTTCTCACTGTCAAACTAAACGTCTAAATTGGTTTTTGTACAGTATAACCATGGAACCACTAAGATGTAGAGATTTCTAACCTGTAATCTGTACATTGACGTATAAGCTTTAAAATTTCAATCTCTGTAGACATCATTACTCATTCCTCCACAACTGCAATCTTCTAGGAAACCACTGTCTACCTGAAAAAGACAGTTTGAACAAAACTTAGTTGCACGTGTAAGCGTCTACACCTGATACAGTAACTGTATGTAAATTATTAAGTACTATACAACTATATCAAAAAACTGAAACTAAAAAAATAAAATAGAGCCAAAGTAACCTCAATGTCACTACCCTGGCCAATTTCCCCCACCACCCCTCTTAAGAGGAGAAAATTAGATTCTAACCAAAAATGCTAGCTGGCCCAAAAAAATAACAGTATGTTACAAATACTACACAGGTATCTGGACATTACATCACCAGGATAAAATTTGCCAATAGCCAAGCAAGTAATGGTAGCCTTAGATGTTATTACATGCAACATTTCTCTATCACACAGCTACAGGCCTTTAAAACATGTTCTGTTCTAGTGAATAAACAGGAACACAAAAACTGTTCAACTGTATGATTAGTTTTGACAAGAATTCAATTATAGAAAACCTACAAAATCTATGTGTTGAGTTGGCAGAAGATATTTCGTTAACAGACGTAACTTCCCTAAAAGGCAGCTAACCCACCTTCTTTTCAAGTGCCCCCCACCCCCACTCCCAAAATAAACCATCAACAACTTGGACTGGACTACAGTAAAACAACCTTTGTCTTGCAGATGTTCAAAACCCTGGGCGAAACAACGAGGAGCAGTGGAAAGAAAAGCTTGAATAATGACAAAAAATTCATCCTAGTGTTTGGAATAGACAAATTTCCTTGCAAAAGCACTCATTAAATACAACCTATGCGCATTTCAAAACCATTCTTGATCATTGTATTTACTCAGTAGTACCAAAAATGTTAATTAAGGTTGCTTACTACAGGCTATATTTTCACTCACAAATGATGATACTATATACATAAATACAAACACACATACTATAGAGAGAATGCACTGTGAACTCAAATATCCTTGGATAATCAGTAAGTCAGTCATAATGGTAGGTCAGTCTCTTTGTCAACCCAGCCGGTCAGTTAGTCAGTCAGTAAGTCAGTCAGCCATCAGTCAGTCAGTCAGACTGACAATTCGTAAGTCAGACGGTCATTCAGCAAGCCAGCATTCGGTAAAAAAGTCACTAAGTCAATCAGAAGTCCATTCAGCCAGCCAGTTAGTTGGTCAGTTAGTCAGTGAGTCAGTCAGTCAGTTAGTCAGTTAGCCAGCGCAGCAGCCAGTCAGTCAGTCAATTGCCAAAAGCCAGTCTGCTAGTCAGCCAGTCAGCCTGTCATTAAACTAACCTGGCAGCCAATCCAGTTGGCTGGTCAGTTATTCAGTCATCATATTGTAGTGTATTATGGTGAAACTAAATGACTTACATGAGGTCCAAAAAGGATTCAGGGCCATAATGGACCGGAATCAATGATGTATAAACTTGAGCAACCTAGGTTTGTCAAAGAGAACATTTTTTACTAGCCCCAGCCTTCCACCTAAAAAAGCAACCAAATGAATCTGTGGATGTTAATTGGATGCAAAATAAAGGCATAAAAAAAAATGTTTGCTGGACACTACAGGGCTTTTTTGACATATGGAATGATAGAGAAAAAATCACCTCTGTGGATAAACAATGAAAAAAAATTTGCTGGGCTGGTTTTTTTTGAATGATTAAACAATGAACTGCTCCGGCTCCTAGATCCCTCTTCCTCCCCCTGTTCTCCTGGGCTCCCACCCCTCTGCCCCCCTTCACTGGCTTGGAAATAGGATTAATCAATCAGAGGATGGGTAATATGTGCAGTTTTGTCATAAATACTTAAAAAAGCCATTTTTCCAAGTTTCAAGGTTATCTCTGCAAGTGCTGTTGAATACAAGATTTTCGTATAACTTCGTACGCCATTATGCATACGGTTCGTTGATAAAAGAAAAGAATGGTGAAAGCAAAAAATTGCCATGGAGACTGAGGCTTAAGAGCGTATAAGTCTCCTCATCAGCCCAGTGGTTTAGCATACAAAACTAAATGCAAAGAAATTTAACGTGAGCATGAACGTTTTACTAGGTTACATATAACCAAATCCTTCTAATGGAGGTCGTTGCTGGAGCAATGATATTCTTTACTGAATTATTGAAGTTTCTGAACTGCAGCCGATAGGCGGAGTCAATTAAGCTAGGCATTGTATAATACATAGACAAGCAAAACTGCTTGAAGCACTTCAGATAGAAAACAAACCTTGGTAAACTTCTTCTTCTGCCACATGGCCACCAACCAGATTAGCCATCTTGGATTTCAACGACAGAAAGACCCTGGGGCCGAGAATAACAGTAATAAGGACTAAGGACTACGGACCGCGGAATACAGACTGGGTCAGTGTGAAAACACGGGTCACGGTCTGCAAACTCGAATTGTATCATACGAACCACGAAAAGGGGTCAGTATAAAATGCGGAATACTGATCACAAGCATTTGAAAAAAAGGCATGAAGTATGTGTAGGGCGGTTTGGCAAATATCTTTTGGTGGGTTGATATTACTGCTAGTTTGCTGAGGAGCAACAGAAGTCAATATTTTGCGAGCTTCTTGGATATAGCCTACATGTAGAATTTAAAAATGTATTCCCTTCAAGGACCTTAAGACAGGATGCTTTGGAAATTCTTATTGCTTCTGTAGAATCTTAGCGATTATAAGTAATCTTGGTTTGAATTGTCTGGCGAAGGATGTATGGATCGTCGGTAAAATTAATTTCCACAAAATATTATGTCTTCCCAGAAAATTAGAACCAAAGGTAATGCTTTTGGTTCACAAATCATCAGGGTTATAATTCCAAGCTATTAGATCAAACAGCACATAAAAGCGATTTGATAATGACATTAGTGATTGTGTAAACGATAATTTAACCCTAAACACAAACTCTAATCATCTTACGTCCATTTCATTTATCCAGTTTGATGCCACACTCCCATATTTCCTGGCACAGGTTACCCACTTTCTTGGTTTAAACATCGGGAAAAAAGTCAATCGTGATAAAAATAATTCTAACTTTAAAAATACTACATCAATACAAACTCGAAACTCGAGCTAGGAAACACTCTGAACATAACATGATAAACAACTGCAGCAACCATCCCAATTTTGGATCAATACATTCTATTAAAACACTAATAAAACGCCGCGAGATCTCAGTTCTCTTGTCTCGGTAAGACTTCGCCTGACGGTAGTAAACCAGAACGGCCCTTTTTCAAAAGTTGTAAACCACGAAAACGACCGAAGGCCATGTCTTAAAATTGAGATAATTTTTCAGTCAAATTTAATTTCGAGAACTCAAAGGTGTACTCCCTTGCAGAGCTCATCCGGCAAACCGGACGAAAATCCAGCTTCCTAAGTGTTACCAACCAGTTCTTGTTTTCAAAAGTAGCATAAATATTTATGGCTAAAAGGTATTTTTTACAAATGAGGACAGAATTCCGGATTGCAGAGAGCTAGACGTCGACGATGAAGTATCCTTCTTTTATGAAAACCAACTCCCCATTCTGAGCATACAAAACAACAAAACCAATGAACATATTTCAGACAATCAAATATATGAAACGAAAAAATAAAAACAAACCCAGTAAGTTTGGCTTAAGTTCAACAGAAAACTCTCGGGGAAGCCAAGAAATACCTGTTAACTTGTCACGGGTGATTAACTGTCAATGATGTAACGCATAATCCACGTGCTATTATTGGCTGATTATTGACAAGCTTGTCTTTAATATACAAGATTACCACCTGTCAAAATCAGTGTTTATTCACTGACGTAGTGATCCTTACCCGGCGTTCCAAACCAGCGATTCACGTACTCTTTCAGGAATTAGGTAATTTTTAATTCATAAACGGTTCGGAGATCGTAGTTTGGTTAGGGTGATCTTTCGTCTAAAATCTTCAGGGATTCAAGGTAAAATATTCGATTATTTTGCGACCGTGTTTTTCAGGTTGAGAGCAGGAAGTTTTGCTCGCCGAATTCTCTATCTACTATTCCTGCATAGGCGTTGGTCGATGACAGCTCCTCTCCGACTTTAGTTTTCGAACTTGTCAACAAAACTACACGGTCAGAAACGGAGAGGGGAACGACATTTATAACATAACTAGCAAGTATCGTCCAATTCGTTTGAATATAACAGTATTTTCCTGTTCTTTCAAGACGTTAAAGCAAGCCCTGAGGTACAGTCATTTTAACGAAGGTGAGTGAGTCATGGATTATGTTTGCCCCCACGAGACATGTGTGATCGAAGCACTGGTGACTTCACTCATAAACACAAAATATCACTCCTTCAGTTATTCAAGCTATAGCTTTTGTATTTATGCTTCAAACTTAAAAGAATATATCACTTCGAACTCTCTTCTTGTGAAATTAAGCGCTGATAGAATCATAAATACAATTTTATTTGGTCCAATGTCAATAAAATTGAGGTGAAGTCACCGGTTCTTGAGCGGGCCAGTTTTCATGACAGGTCTGATAGTTTTCACGGTGAAAATTTTGAATTCTTGTGTTAAAGTTGAAGCAATCACAATCTTGAAACCATAAGGAGTTATCAATCCGTCATTGTTAATATCAAGTACGTATAATTCCTGCAAGCACAAGGGAACCCTAACTTTAATTTGTATAAAGAGATTAGCAATTCAGTTCTCTTTACCTTAAATTCGGATAAAATTCAGGGAATCAATCATGAGATTCAGGGGCTTCCTCATTCCGGGAAAATGCTACTTTCTCAAAATCAAGTAGAGTAATCGAATTAAAGCGCTGGAAGGAATCTGTGAAATCTTTTGAAGTTGATTATGGTTTGGAGTAAACTAAGATTGAGTTGATTGTTTACCCATTAGGATAAAGGCCAAATCATTCTCTGAAGGCTAGGTTCAGTTATATATTTGAAGTTTCCTCAAAACCAAACTTTTACTTAGGGAAAAAATTTGACTGCAAGGTTATAGTTCTCATTGACACCATTTTTGCTAAACTATTAACTTTCCGGAATTGTTTGACCAAAATGAATTCGACATTTGAAGCAGAGGAATAACTACTGATTAGCTCTTGTTTCGCGAAACGTTTTAGTTATGATCGTATCATTATTCTATAATACTTAGAAACTGAGGAATTTGTGATTTAAAGAACATGTAAGAGTACTTGAGGTGCTTTTCTTGATTGGTGGAACGCATTGGTTCGCTTTGACATTGAAATCGCCAGTGACCTTGAAGCATCGGCTTTCTAGAGTTTCACAATGGGGAAAAACAAATAATTTATATTCTTGGTGTTCAAATCGCTTCTCAATACTCAGTTTGCTTAGGTTGTCCATTATTTTTACCCATAGCGGACCGCTGACCAACTAATATGACACGAGCAACGCTACTGTTGTGCTTCACGTTATTTGTGCTGACGCACGGTATGTACAAACTGTTATGTTTTGTTCGATGACAAGTTATTCATGCATGGCTGGTACGGGTCTTTGTTCCTTAACCGTTGAGCTATATTAAAACAATGCTTTACGATTCAGCGGCGCCCGAGCCGAGCAAACGCGGCTGTTGCGCTCCAGGCCCCGAATGTGACAATCCGTGCCTGGATCAACAGGATTCAGCCCCTGATCCTCAGGAACAGGCTCCACCTATGGCTGGATACGCTCCCGCTGCTGATGGCCAACAGTTCATGCCTGGACCAGAAGAACAACAGCAGTTCATGCCAGCACCAGACCAACAAGCTCCACAAATGGATCAGCCAATGGATCAACAGCAAAATGACTGCTGCCAGCCTGGACCAGCCTGCTTCAACCCCTGCGCCCCACCACCTCCTCCTCCTCCCAGTTTCCTCGCCCCTCCTCCACCCCCACCTGTAGCGGGTGCCTGTTGTCAGCCAGGTCCCACATGCGACAATCCTTGTGCAATCCCCCCACCCATGCCAGACATGGGAATGGCAGGATGCTGTGACCCGTCCGTCATGCCAATGTGCGCAAACCCCTGTCCACCCCAGCATCCTCCCAGAACTGCCTACGCACCCTACCCAGGTAAGTAGTCCCGAGTCACATGTTTTTTGATACACTACCCACCAGTTAGGTTAACTATAGATCATTTTTCAGAGTGCTTTTCTGTCGCTAGCAATTTTCTATTAGATCGAAAGTACGATCAGACACAACCTTAGGGGAAAACTAGAGATGGGTAACAAGAAGTCAGCTGACTTTGTTGATATACAAACTGTGTGCTTGTTCCTAATTAATGGCTTGAAAATTTTCCAGGTGAAATTACAATGAAACTCAAGCAGCCATGGAAGTCAGAATTCACCGATCACGCTTCTGCTGCTTATCAGATCTTAGCGGGAAATCTTGCCACTGCCGTAAGTTAACAATCAGAGTCATTATAAATTGAATATCCAAGGTTATCTAAGATTTCATTGCTTTTTGTCTTATTTTGAGTCATGCCGAGTTAGTGAAGAAAACTCCACCACTTCCTAAACCTTATCGTAACTTGTCCACGCGCGTTTCTCCTGCTTTAGGTGGTTTTCTTTAACTTTAAGTTCATTGTGGTTCTTGCGGTATTTCAGTTCCTGTGTACCTTATTACTCATTGTAGGTTCATTCAATTGCCGTACGCTCTTTTTTAGAATGAAGAATGGTAATGCTACTACATTGATTTTCTCACTTCATAGAATACATCCTCTCATTTTGCCTTATTAGAAAGCAGTGACAAAGGAGATGGGCAGAATTGCGTTTCTCCATCTTTGAATATTTTGCCTTCTCTTAATAGCTCTTTTACTTGTGTTTGAATAAGTGATTCCCTTAATGGAAAGTTTACCTGAAATATTCTACCTTCTTGCAGATTAAAACAGCTCTACGCAGAGAAGCCTTTGTCAACAATATCTATTTCAGGTAATTTTGTCTTTTGTGACTCTCCAAATTTTTAATGTTTAGCGTAAGGATTAGCTTCAACGACTTAGTACCATAGAGACATTTTCCTTCAAATAATCAATTCAGCCGTTACCAAACCAAGCCCCTTATGCTTACCAACTAACTTAAAGAAAATTTTTGGAAAAAGGCAAATATATTTTCCTTACCGATTACTACCCACTATATATGCTTTTACTCATACCCGGATTTTTTTTTTATTACCTTAAAAGGGAAGGTTACGTGCCTGGAAACCCTTCAACTCAACCAATCACAGTTGCGCATTTTATGGTGGACGGCGGATCAGATGATGCATCACTTCTTCAACAACAAGTAACTCCTGACGAGTCTCTTGGAGATGGACTTAAAGTTTACAAGGACTCATTCAATGCGTACTAGAAAACTAACACTGACAAAAAGGTGCAGTTATGCTCTACCCTCGATAAGACCGCGAATGACACTTTTTTTACACTTATACGTTTTAATTACTTCAACAGTTTCACTTCCTAGATCTGAATATAAATTCTCTGCACTATCTTTTACACAATTCTTATAATTTCAGCAATAAGATAAATAATTGATTGATATTTATCTTTCTTCCCGTCGCCACTTTGCTTGAAGATGTCCTGATATCGGTTGAAAGAAATTACTTTTTGGTCAATCTTAAGAAATGGTTAAAGTGACTTTGGAGCGTTTTGTAGTGGTTTTCAGATATTCATTTTGCCCTTTTATTCGTTGAAGTAGAGCGACAAAAGTGATGTAGCTAATCACAGCTAAGGAGCTTCTTGTCAACCATCAAGGAGAAAAATCGAAATTGCCATCTTTAGGCACAGTTTGCTATGTTTGGTTCACTGTAATATTTGTGAATCCGCTTTCAAGATAAAGAAGACTAAAAAAGGAAACAAATCATTTATATTCTGACGAGATCAAACAATATTTATACGTCTAAAAGGGTTTACTCCAAGACAGTGAATTCTAGAGAATAATGGTCCAGTTATTAAAGCTAAAATCCCATGGCTCCCTATGAGGAGTTTATTTAAGATATACAACACTAAGAGCTTTGTAACATATATATGCGCGTTAATTTAGCCAAACGAGGCTACCTCTGAAAATACAACTTGAATGCAAACGCCTTGTATTTCCTTTCCTACTTCTACTCTGCCTCCCTCCGCGTCATGCAAAGGAAATAAAAGACGTTTACGAGCAAGATAATACATTGAGATGATTTTACTCTTGATAGGGATTTAATGAGACAAATGTAATGGACAGCGCTACTATAGAACTGCTAGGGTTCCATGATGAATTGAATTTATCATCAATTTCATCAACTATGTGCGATTGATGATTCCACGGCGCTATTATGGTAAAGTTTAAGATTATCGAAAGAGCTCCAGAGAGAAGCCTAGTTTAACATATTTTTGTACTTAAAAGGAAGCAAAATCAAATAAAGTTACTCCATTTTCCGGTGTTATATTCTTACTTTCCTTTGCTGACTCTCTTTTTTATTTCTTAACAGTTCACGCACGACTTGCAGGACAAACGACAGAAAGAACTACAGACCGTTATGGTTGGGACACTACACTTCCTTGTACATAGAATCTAAATCGACTGACACCTTTTTCTAGGTTTCAAAGTTTATTTTGATGTCGATATGTGGTGAATGGTTATTGGTTTTTTGCGCTGATGGACGCGTGCATAATGGAGACAGTTCATGCTCAATACGTGCAGAGCAAAGTGAACCGTGTAAACGCTACAGCAAGTAGTTTAAGCCACTTCAGTATTGACGAGTGAACGGAGGGATGGATCTTAATACGTTGTACAAAAGCATCTTTACCTTCACAAGTATATGTTATCGATTATTCGCGTCTTTGATGAGATAGAAATTCAATTCAGGTGTAGTAATTGTGAAAACAAATCGTTGCTATAAATTAAATATAAAAATTCTTAACGAAAAGCAGACAATATTTGCGTATTCAGGGATTTCCAATGACTACCTTTATTTTAATTTGACGCTATAGAAATTTAAATCATGGAAAATTGTATTTCAGATTTGATTGTGGCTTTGTAGACCAAACATTTCTTCAAAGCGTGGGGACTTCGACCGTCTGACGGTCTCCTTTTCAAGTCATGACCCATCTTAAAAGTATTTGCTACTGGAAATGATAATTTTCCACTGAGCCGTGACTGATTCGTGTATGAATAAAGTATTAAGTTTAAGCCGCGTTGACTCCCTCAGGAGCATACAAACCTATTTAAAAAAAGGAATGTTCGCCAGTTGTCATGGAGTGTCCATGTGATATTAAGTAGAAATACCTCTTACCAACCGAGATCTAGCTCCCTAATGAAAGTCAAGGACCGCGTTTTTCCAGCTCAGATTTGTGGCCCAAGTGGGAAACGCGCTTGCCATAATTCGCGGGCGTGCCGTTAACCTGAATGGAAAAAATGAGGTATAATAACTTACAGTGCGGACCAAGAGAACGAGGTCAGTAACATGTCCGTCATATCTCTGGGTACAAATAGAGGGGGAAGATTAAAATTCAAACAAACTTTTCACTTAACCGAGCCATACAGTGAAATACGGCCCGAAAATTGACTAATCATAGAGCACGTACTGAGAGAAATGGTAATATCCCATTTGGACAAAAGCTCTTGTCAACGGAGGTACGCTTGTTCCTATAAAAACAGTTTCTATCTTGATTTAAGTCTTCACTGGCTACTTAGCACTCCCTTTACTTCCATTATTAAATATATATGAAAATCGGGAAGAACTCGGAGGATTTCTCATTCATTCCCGTCCTTTTAGAAACGGACATCAATACGAAGAGTGCGTTCAGCATAATCAAACTTACGTGACACGTTGCTTAGTAACACTTCTGACCGAAATGTGGGCGTATTAAATGTTCGGCGTTTCACGGCACTAAATGACGTCATAAAAATAACGTGACCATCTCGTCCTATTAAATATTTTTTGAGTCATGACATGAACTGTAAACTAAGATTTCTGATATACTTTATTTCCTAGAAAATACTTAAGGGAGACATTTATTTAATCCTAATTTACTGAAGTACAGGCACAATTTTGCAAGCAAACCTTTACATCTCTCTGGGAAAAGCCACGTCGAAATGATCAAATTTCATCCAGTCTTTACGAGAGACGAAATAAAGGCAGATCCAGGAAACGCGCATGCTTGTCTTCCCCAGTGGGGTGCGGTAAAGATTTCTGAGTTTTACTGAGTCGAATTAAGAGGAAAAAATTCCATTACAGAAGCTAATTTTTCTAAACAGTATGCACTACGTATTTCAATCAAACATACGATTCTATTTTGAGTTACTCTTCTGTGTCAAGAAAAGCTTGGCTATCCTTTCGTCTTCCCTTTTTTAACTGCGCGCTACCTGGCAGAGCAATAAATGTTCTATTACAGGACACCGTTTGCATCAAACGCTCTACGAGGCCAGCGGCTCGTGATGGAGCAATATAGTGTTCTAGCTATTGTTTTCTCTGCGTAATTACTTGGTCCCTTCAGGAAACAAACACAAGTCCTGACTACCGCGTCTCCATTGGATGCGATTGATCCCGATCTCTTCCTTCCTACCGCGCTTTCCTAATGATTATCCCGAAAGTGGTGATCAACTTATCGACCGGTTGGTCGGTCCGCAAAAGTTGTAATCACGCCACCATATCCACCCCTCCATCCACTTTGCCTGCTGTGCCTCCTCCATTGCTTGAAGCCTTCAGTGAGTTGTTCACTTCCCGTCTGAATATTGATAAGTTTTGGGTGAACCTGTATCAAATAACGAAATTTAATCTACTTTTTTCATTCAACACACTTATTTCACGCGAAGTTTCAACGAAGTCATTCCATATTACCAACTCATCGTACGGACGTACGGATTGTTGTTCTCGAAAGTACTGACCTGTCCCTGTTTTTGGTGATGAGCGATGGTTCTACCCCGTCCATAAGATTTCTAAAACACTGCGCCATATCTTCTTGTTTCTCCGGCGGCTGCATCGCGATAACATTCCGCTGTAGCTCTTGAAAATACTGAAATAACCACAAACGTTTTTTTTACCGGTGTAAAGTTGCATTAGAAACACGGTGTCGAATCGTAAGTCCTTGGGACCAAGACTGACTATAGTGGCATCCCTACATGCGATCGGACCGCTCTTAGATCATTGTCACACCGTATTTATACCTGTCTGCCTGGTAAGAAAGGAGCATTTTGAGACTGACCACTCTTGAAAAACATAACAAGCTTGAGTGAGGCTCAAAACACCACGGGCCTTGAAGATCTGGTCGAATCAACAAGGTTAAAGCACGAAACGATACCAATCCTTTTGAATTTTTCAAAAAGTTTATTGGAATATGTATTAATTTCAGGTCACATTTAAAAAGACAAAATTGAAAGGATTCAAGGTAGAGGAATAACTGAAAACGACAGAGTGAAAATAAATGATGAAAAGAAGATGACTTCCCTTTTGCTTTAAGAACAGAGAGGCACTCGTAATGAAAGGCAATCGGATACAGTGAGTGAGCAATCAAAAAGAATTCTCACTTTTTCTCTAGCTCGCGATCGTTCATTGAGCCGTCATCTTTGATTTAGTGAAAGAGAAGACGGGGAGAGCGAGGGTCGGGCAAAACCGAGCACTCAACCACCCGGAAAGGCTTCTTAATGAGAGCACCTCCTGATACGTTCCGCTTCAGATATTTCCACAAACAGTGGAAAAAAGAACTAATAAATTTCACCTTTGATAAACTTTTCCACAGGCAACCTCTGTGAAATTGGCAGGCGATTAATAAGCAACACAACAGGGAAAATACGCCACACCAATCATAGGCTCTGTTTCAGAAACTCTCCGGGAATGCGTATTTTTTCCCCCTTCCCCCTAATCGCTGCTTTCCTCTTCCCTGTCGTCCACTCTCTTGGAAGTGACCTGTTTCTTTTCCCAGCTTTCTTCTATTTAAAAATCTAAGATGGCGGCTTAAGTTTACGAACGCTCGCTTGACAAAAAAAACCCGGCACCTCAGACTTTTATCTTACCTTCTCGTTAAGCAGAATAAGGCCGAGGAGGGGCCTGGACATTGACCACTGCAAAGGGAGAAAAGAAATTAATTTCGCTGTGATGTTTCAACGTCCAGAGTTGCCAGCCGAAAGCACGCCGAGAGAACGATGTGCAAAGGTTATAACAGATGTTATAATTACCTGGTTTTTGCAATCTTCAAACATGACAATGTTCAATACTGTCGACAGCATCTAAAGTAAAAAAATAATAATAATCAAACCAACAAACACGAGCTGCGGTCACCGTCAACATACCCTCTCCTGTGGAATTCTAGTCTGAGGGCCTTGCCTTTATTTTAGTAAGGGGAAAAGAGATTTGAGATTTTTGGCTGGGGAATAGAAAACAAAATAAAATAAGACTAAACCACCTTTTGAAATGTCATGGCCGTCTACTTGAAATCGCCCTACAATTCAACGACAATCCTCTGATTATCTGTATTGAACCTCAACAGTTTTTAGTGTTTGATCGAAAATGTTTTAGCAGTATACAAAAAGTAAACTAAAAAAAAATCCTTTGTTAAATATACAGTAAATGTACAGGTGATCCTCCTGCAGAAGGACTAAAAAAAGGTTGTGGCTCCCGTCATATCATCACATCTTTGTATGATTATGGTGGCTTAATTTCTGAATCTTTTTTAAATTGTACGGTCTTCCCTTCTGACGAAAAAACTGTCACCCACCCATTATCCACTTCTTTCCCGCTTCTTTTTAAGAAGAACCGAAATCAAGTAAGAAAACGAGAACACTTAGTTCAACTGACCTGTTGGATCATTTCCGGGTGGGACTCTAATATTCGTAAACATGGTGGTTGCGGTTCCATACCAGTTAAGTTTTTCTTCCGTCTCTTGGATAGCGTTTTGTACAAGTGAGTCACTATGAAGTCTAGTGTGCCGCAACATCCTGTGCAGACCATAATGTCTTGCAAGAAAAACGAAAACATAGTCAACTCATGGATTCTAGTGATCTGTGGAGGTGAATGCGCTAATGAAATATAATCGTTTGTCTCACGATGTAGTCAATTGCGCGCGTGACTCACATAGGATCCTACCCAATCAACATCAAAAGCATCAGTGGAATAAAATTCCCTGACGCATGGATCCCCACAATCAAGACATAACAAATGGGGAGTCTTACGAAAGCGAAACGCTGAGCACACACTTGTTCCATGTACCCATCACAGCTGATAAGAACGGGTCAATCACAGTCGATTATAATGTTTCGTAAGGAGACGCGTTGCCAGTCCACCTCATTACCTGAAAGGTGCTGGCAGGTGCAGTCAGAACGTCGCATTCCAAAACAGAATTGAATACATTACGGCGTTGAGCATTTTTTAAACTAATCATAGCACACGCAAAAACTGGATACACTACGTGTACTTCAGTAACAACAAAAAGCACTTCCTCACCTAAAGCTGTAAGGCCCTCCAATATGGAGGATAATATATACATAAATACCTGTAAAATGAATAAAGAATCGTTTTAAATTCGCGGCATAAATCACTTTCAAATCTAGTTTGCATAACAAATTCCGTGAGATGTTATCATACAGGGTATGCCCGACTAAGGGCGCCTTAAAATCGATTAAAACGTATTTTGAGTCGTAAACCAAATGAATCACAACGCGTCCAATCAGAACAGGGGATAATATGTCAAGGGGAACCGACTAGAAAATTGGGTGAAAAGATATCAGCTGCGTAAAGTGCGGAGAAACGCGGATTACCACGTCACGATTTGTGTTGCATCTGATATTGGTCGAGAGGGTGGTGCGAGTTTTTTGAACCAACTGCAGAGCGTAATGGTGCAAAATTAGTGAAATTTCGGATTACTTCTCAGTCAACGGAAAATTGCTCACCATTTACTCTGCCTGTTATTAAAAAAAAACTTGCGAAACCTAATGGAGGACTACTTACTCGAGGTTCAAGACTACTAAGAAAATTCATGTGATCCTGCGTTAGAATCTCCAGCAGAGCATAATATGATTGACTCAGTTTAGGATATTCCTGTAAGAGAAAACTGTGTTACTACGCTGGCAGTATCATTTTATGGAGAACAAAACGCATTGAAGGGCCTGAATGGTTTTCATAGGAGCTACGCCATTGTTTGTGTACCCTGAATATTTCGTTCTTAGTTTTGTGGAAGTATTTCCTGATACAAGCTACATATAAGATGATATTCAGTAAGTACATCAAACAACAATTCAGTAAGACAACGTACCAGTAAATTGCTGTGAGGAATTGAAGATAACAGTTCTACGAACGTTTTCAACGCTTTCTCCAAAGCATTGTCACCGTACAAACCAAACACACCAAAGTTAACATAACCGCCACACAAGGCAGCCTTTAAAATGGAAAAGCAAATCGAGATTCCTTTGAGTCTGCAGGATAGTTAGGGATGAAAGAAACACTTTCTCTTGGCTAAGTGAGTTAGATGGCGGATTAAGTTTTCCAGTGTTACATTGTCTTTGTTGTTTTGTTTTTGTTTTAACCTGAATATGGCAATCAATAGTAAGTATAACTCTCTGCACTTCAGGGTTCAAAGGGAAGTATCAACCACCGCACTACCGGGCACTTAGTTTAAAGATATACCCTAACGGACAAAGATGAAAATTAAGAATTTCCCATGACTCATCTTCATAAGCTTCTGGAAATGATAATTTTACACTAAGCCATGACAGTTTCGCGTATGACTAAAGTTCTAGCTTTAAGTCACGTCTACTCAGTTAAGAGTAAAGAGACCGATTAAAAAAAGAAAGTTCACAGTATGTCATTAGCAAGGAACACTCAGAAAAGCCAATTGTTATGGAAAGTGTCCAAGAGGGATAAGTAGAAAGCAAAACATTAGGGTTACAAACTAATGAGCCACATTGCCCTACTCATCCCCTATACTGGTACAAAAATATCCTACCATGTGAAATAAGAAATTCCCTATAATTAATTTTAGCCTCGAACCGTTATGGTTACAAACAACTGACCCCCTTTCCCCTAACTCCCCCCCCCCAATCCAATTGATCTACTGATTCCTTACGCCAGTACAGATCAAAAAGCCTGCGTTTTACAAGTCATGCCTTGCGAATTTCGTAAGTAAAAAGCTGGGCAATTCAATAGGTACACATATCACTGGCGTCCTACTTACTTTAAGGATCAGCGATGTGGGAGGCGTTTCGAGTAAAATAGATAGTAAATTGTGTGCTCGGTCGTCGAATCAAGAAAGTAGTTATTACTTTTCTCACAAGCGTAGGACAAAGACAAATCTGAGTGAACCCCTGGCATTAGGATGTTGCTGTCTTCCTTATTATCTACATACGATGCTTTCATTAAACGGACTTTATACTGTGCATTATGGCTGACCAAGACGTCCTACTGTGGTTCAACTTGGTACGTAATCTAATCACAGTTTAATTTAAGGGACTTAAATTATCGACGCATCAAAGGATACTTTAATTTATACATCTGGTCCTCTGGCGTGTCTGTTAAAGTAAGGATTCGTGTCCCTAAAAATGAATGGTTTTCTTTCAATAATCGATGGCATTACAAAAAGTTTAACACCAAAACATTGAAATGTTGGGGACTGCTCGACAACATTGAACCGAATGTGCACTGAAGAAACTCATTAGACTAAACACAGTACAAATACGAAATTATTCTTTGAATAAAGCACAGAAATGTTCTCTCCACTGAGGTGAGAGTTTCGATAGAAGTCAACCATCTCATTAAAGATGAAAGATCGAGCCTAAGGACGAGTTATTACTTTCATCAAAGTAAGGTGAGGTTGTTTAAACAGAATCAGTAAATCTTTCTCCTTCATTGGGACGTTTCCTTACTACTTCCTGTCACTAAAAGTTCCTTGAGAACAGGAAATCAGTAAAAGATACAGAATAAATTACCGTAAGCTACGATCATTTCACTGGTCACTCTAAAAAGTAGGATTCCATTTGGCGAGGAAACATCGAAGTGTAATCTCTGTGAACGGTTCTGCACAAGTTCAGCCATGAGTTTTAACACTGGTGTGGACACGTTAGGATCGTGATACCACCATTCGATCGCACGCAGGAGAACAGACGTGTATGTGGGATAGCTTGAGATAGTTAAGGTTATTCTTCTGAAATGGAACCTGTGCTGACGTTTCGTTGGACTAGTCATGGCTACTATAACCTAAAACAGTGCCATTCACCGAGTAACTCGCTGGGGATTTGCGCCCGAAATATTCTAATTGTTGCGGGAATAAATGAGTTAAAATCACTTTTTTAGTACAAACTAAGAGAAGTATTCACCTCAGTGCCACCAAGCCACCTTCACTTCGGTGAATAGTTGTTAATTATCAGTTGAGTGAGACGCAGAAAAAGTTTGGTGACCGGGTTTTGACCGATAATTACGGTGTCGTCACGGGTAACCTTCCCCCTTTCCTCGTTTACAGTGGTAACCGAATCTCAAGAGGTGTGCGTCGCCAACTGTCAAACATGAGAGCCTGCCGACACGTTGCCCCTGGAAACGGAGCCAGTTACCCGTGACAACAACACGATTTTAACGCCAAACTTCCCGCGCCTCACTCAACTGAAAATCGCAGTAACCAATACAATATAAAGGATACATCCAATCAAAGAGCATCATATAACTGGACTTGCTGTTGAACGCAAAAGCGAGTCCGCGTATATCTCGACAGAGACCAACCAAGGTACGCTGCAAAAGGAACACTACCATAACTATTCGAAAACCAGACTTATGACAAAACACAGACAAACAACCGTTGATTCGACAACGATAACGATTTTCTTTTGGCAAACAGCCGTCCTTTTCAGGGCTACCCTCGGCCAGGTAACTACATTACACCATGCGATCAAAACTGAATATCATGCTCGTGGCGTTCAGATTAACTAAACAGTTTTTTAAGGCTCTACTTTCACTACTACTGAAGTGGTGTACATCACTCTCATCAAGAACAGTTTCCAACAATTTTGAATACGGTAATCAAACTTGGAAACAGGGCTTAGGTGCAAATGGGTTTCTTAACAGAACATATCAAAAAAACGAAAATACCTTCGTCTCCTCTTGTTGGAAAGCATTGTTTCCAACAGAAACCAAATGACTCGCTACTGAGTCCATGGTGGCTGAAAATTAAAAAAAAAATGAATTGAATAAGAAGAAAAATAAATAGTGATGTGGCAGATAACGAGATTGAGAAGATAACAATCTGCCAAAATTTGCGCGAGATCTCGTCTAGTTCATTATGCCGTTGGTTATTGTACTAGGAATCTTAAAAGGGAACAGCGCGATCGAGAGTGTCTTGCAGCGTTTCCCGCAAAACGTGGGTGTCCTTTATAACTTTACCTATTTGTTGGTAATGTCACCACAGGATGGGTGGATTTATGTGCACTTTTATCGCATTTGTTTCACTGTAACAACAAAATCAATTCTTACTTGTAATCGGAGACATGAATGATTCGAATTTCTCCTCATCTTCGCCTAAGTCTACCATCAACAATCTGCCAAGGGCAACATAAAATGTGGTTCTACTGCGCATGTCTTTGTACGCTCGAGAAGCGTGCGATCCCAGAAATGGAAAGTGCTCACTCTGGAAGGGAAAACAGAGAGAACAAGTTTATTTTCATGACTTTCCTAGCTGTAATCAAAGTAATTTCCGACAAAAGATTTGTTTTTAATTACATCAGCTTCAGTAAATAAGAGGAATTAAGTCAGAAAAAAGGACTGGTCTGTATGAGTCAGACTAAAACTCACAACATAAAACAAACGTACCGTATGATTGTTGAGCACAAACTGTACAGCTTCCAACTTCACCAATTTGCGAGCGCTGCTATAGTTACGTCATGTTAAGGCATAATTATAAAACACGTTAAAGCACAGCTACTTCTTTATAATAACTTGAAAATGAAAACGCTGCGCTAACTGCTTTTGCAATGCATAAACCTGCGAAAAAAAAACAATAACTCAAGAACACTAACATCACGAAGGCATGGAAAGTTTCACAGATGTGCCCTGATTCAAATGACTGACTCAAGACTCGCTCTTACTTTTAACACCAAATAAAAATTTGTTTGAACTTCGCTGGCAAGATTTCCGTTTTATCAATATTACCAGCTGACTTCAACAGCTCTGAGAAACTAAAGGTCTGTAAAAGAAACCCTCATAAAGATAACCAATCAAGTTTGCTTGATATTGAAACTGGGTATCACGATTGTTATATCTATTCTGTAAAGGATGATGAGTAAAGAGAGTAGCACGTAGCGTGATCTTATTTTAATCATTATTCAACAAAAACACGAGCCTTTCTTGTTGCTAACAACTAGAAGATCCGTACTAACATAGTTTGTTATTCACTCTCTTTTTCTGTGCACGATAGTTGATTGGGGTATCACTCCTATCAGTTATCAAGCGATAGAAATCTCGAGCTTATAACCTTATTGTTAAGTTGTATAAACTTGAATTGGTAGACAACGCTAAAAAGGATATCCAACGGATAGATCACTCAGAAGCTGCAAGGTTTTAGAGATGATGGCTTCACTGGTGCCCCAGAACTTCATGTTCGTGATTCTAAAAACAAGATAAGACATCTCGGTGGCCATTGTGATCACTAAGGGTTTAATTTCTACCCACACAAGCGAAAAGCTTGGAACGACCCACCAAAGGTCCACACTAACGAGTGCGAAGCAAAGTTCGCTGGAAGGGAGGAGAGTGGAAATGAGAATTTAAAAAAAAAACAACAACAACAACAACAACAAAAACAACAAAAGCCGCTTACATTTTCCCCATAAAGACACTCAGAACGTTTGATTCATCGTGAAGGCCAAGTCTCTCTGAAAGTCGCCTATAAACCTGTTTGTTAGAAGAGAACAAAAGTTACTTGGTGACCGCACCAGGCTTGATCAAAATTTTCTTGCCTAAAGAGTTTTGATTCCTTTTTGAAAACTCAGCTCAACTATGACGTATTTTACTTTAAGCTATGAAAAGTTTGAGTTAATCATGGATTTACATACACTTAAAATCGTAAAAACCAAGTCTTTACATAAAGAAACATACTCTCTTAAAGAACATGGTTATGTCAGACGTGATGAAGTGATCCTTTTGAATTTATAACACAGTGAGGTGTCTTTCGAGTGCCTTGAGTGTAAGGAAACTCATTTCTTTTTCACCTTAGATGTCTTCTGTGCTTGATCTCCAACGTACATCTTCCGAAACTGTTCAAAGAAACTCAGAATGGCCAGCTCTAACTTCTCACTTCCTCGTTGAGAAAGCTGAGAATCTGTAAGATTCATCAGCTGCAATACCCTTATAAAAAACAACAAAAGCAAGGAAAAAAAAAAGCTCTGTATACAATAATCATTCGGGTGAGGGGAGTCCTGCCTGAAAATGACATTTGCCAATACCAGTGACTATCATTTCGACATCCTGACAAGCAGGAAATTGTCCTGAGAGTTAAGTGAAGACTTCGGGGCTGGTCGTCCGAATGATTGAGGATCGACCACTCATGGGGAATCAGATTCGACAAAACGTCGCAAAACATCTTTCTCTGTTTCATTACCGAGCTCAAAATTTACTGATCTCTTTTTCTGTTTACGCACATAACGCTTTCGAATTACCGATCACAGAAGTATGCTGTGCGCATGTCACTGACATATGAACCTTAAAAAGGCTAAGTTCACCACAGAGAATTTCTGTGGCTCCATGGTAGAGCTGCGAAGCGACAACATTCGAGAGAAGACGAAAAAAATGGACTTTTTCGTCGAAATGTCAGTCAATAATGTCACCTTCAAACCATCGTTTTCAGGAATACATTAAGCCAAACAAAGAGAGTACACAATCAACTATTACTCCTGTTACTCTTCCTATAATAATTGCTATCATTGTTACTTAAAAATTTATCTAATTAAAAATTGTTATACTGTTTGCAAATAATTCAGTCCTCACTTGAAATACCTCTCTTAAGCTTTCTAATCTCTATCTCTGCGTTTTGCACAATAGGACAAGAAATTGCAATAATAATAATTAAAATAATAATAGTAGCGATTATAACTTTCTTCATGCCTAACATTCACGATTTCTTTGCCCAATGACAAATAACGCTTAACCAGCCAAAAGCCTGGTGTTGAAAAAAAAATATAAGGTCAAGCCCATTGAATCATTAAATAAAAATTACCTGCATCGAAAAACTACAATGCACATGACAATAATCTTTGTTACAAAATACAGTGTACCAAAATGAAGCTTTCACCTTGATTCCGTTTCAAAGAATTAGGTCTCTGTTATAATAGAATACAACAAGTAAAGTATATAATCTCTACTTGTGTGTTCCATCGATGACAAAAACCCTGACGGAATTTTCCATTCAGTTCAACTTAGACTTAAGTTTTCCACTATTAACAAAACATTGCCTACCTACTGGAGCATTGAGTAGGATGTTAACTAGAACAACATGACAACGATAATAGCAACAACTGAGCAGCAGCCTACTTACCTACACACAAGCTCACCATCCAGTGCGTCATACTCATCTACTGTTGCATAAGACACTCTACCTCCAATAACAGAGCCAATAATGTACACAAGCCATGTAAGGCGACCTGGAGAACAAAGGCAAAGGTTCATAATGGTTTATGGCGGGATTTTCGACAATGTGTCGTCGGACCGAGACCTAACTAATCATGAAAGCTAATCAAAACAAAAATTCTCAAAAGGAACTTTCGTACTCACAGTTAAGTTAAAAAGACACTTTATTAACTACCGATACAAAGCAAAATTACGACGCAAAATAACTTCCAATAACTTATTTAATAGTCACATACTTGGTTTAAAATATAAAATTTACAAATTTCTCGTGCGTTTCACGAAACACCCTTCTCTCATGAATATGAAAGCGACCTCCGCAATGTTGAACACTACTTGAGCAGTAGTAAAAATGAGGCCTGTAAAAAATTCAGGCCTATACGGGATTTGAACCCATGAACCCAAGACCTCTGAGATACCGGTGCAGAAGGTCGCTTTCATATTCACGTCTTTATCAGCAGTTCACATAAATGATTTTATGATTTTCATATATTCACAGTCATTTACTCTACCCTTACTTTCACACGACCTCATCAGCTACATTACCATAAGACATCTTACTTGCACATGTCTTCATTAGTACTCTATACACTGTAGAGCCACCCAGAACTAAAACTAAAAGAAGCAAACTGCGCGCGAAGGGCAGTTTTGCATCTATTGAATTAAAACGTTGGCGCCAGTTTTACATGTTAATTAAAATCACGCATAAAATATTGTAATACTGTTTCCAGTTATGTTGTCACCCATCGGTTGATACCTTCCTCAATGGCCAGGTCCGTGGTTGAAGCAGAATTGTTTTGTATTAGTTCTTGATATCGCTGAGCTGATTGGTCAAACAGTGAAATTAGCAACTGACAAGTTTTCTCGTAATCGCATCTCCCAAATATAGAAAGCTGCAAATAAAATATCATCCATTTTAATGAATTGTAATGTATTTTGCAGTTCTATAAGTATAAGTTTTTTGTAATTAGATTTTTTACTAACTGGCCGCCTAGACTAGCATCCGCTATCTGCAGGCCAGGAAAAATTGTCACTTGTCTTTAGAAATTTGCATTAATAAGTAACAGTGCCCAAAAAATTGTCAATAAATTTCGGAATGAAACCTTTGCTAACACAGTGGATTGACATCTATAAGGCAATCCCTGTGTACACATTTTCATCTGAGATCAGAATCTCTTTCCCTTTATGACTGAAGCTAGCCAGAAGGTAAGTTGTAGTTTTGCAGTATTTTTATACTGTATAAGACAGTCACGTTACCTGGTCCAGCTGCTGTTGAACTGTGCCTGAATCATCCAGTGGATCTTCAGCACTATCCCTAAGAAACAAACCAATTCTTTGTGAGAATAGAGATCTAAAACTGAATTCTCAACAATGTCTCCCATATACTGTTCATACTTTCAACTCTGAGAATTTGGTGTTAAATCAAAGAACACCTCCTATCTTATATTTTTCTTGCATCTCTTCACCATTCTGCTTCAGACAGTTTGGTTAATTTTACTTTGATTTTTCATTGGCTCTTGAGGGTATTTTCCTTACTTCTGATTGGCTGTTGTACTTACTTTGGTTTTGGTTTTACATCACTCACTTGAAAAGCACTTTGTACAATCTCCTACCTTACCTAATAACAACTTCAACAGAAGCCATCCGTGACGTGACATAAGCTTTGGTGACCTGACAATAGACAAGAAGTGAAAAGACAAAAATAAACCAGACCATTTGTAAACAGCCTCCTTTGACTACTGTGGATTACAAACTGTAAACTGTTAGGTATGAGGATAATACCTCAGGGGCATAAGTTACTAGAAGGTGTGGTTCTGTGTTCTTCACATAGGGCATTGAAGCAACCATCCTTTGCCACAGACTCAAAAGGTAATGTAAACTATTAGGAGCAAACTGCCACATCTGAAAAAAAAAAAGCACAAAATGCATCAGGAAGAGTATTCTTTGACGTCTACCTATTTGAATGACATGCAACTTATGGCCTTGAAAGTCATCCCTTTCCATCCCAGGTTACTCTCAACAAAATGGAGTGCCTTCCGGAAAAATCACCCTATGCGTGCTACTTCTGAAGAAACCAGAGAAACCTATATATCACAGCTTATAAACTATGGGTTATGAAAATAACAAAATTTTTTGCAGTTTTTGTTTTTGACAGATGTGTGTAAGACTTTAAACAGAAACTGACGATGTTTGCTTAACTGCATTACCAGCCTCTGTCTTACTGCGGACCTCCACACATATTGAACGTTATTGCTCAGCAGACAATAGGCTAACCAAGTGTGAGGCTTTTTCGATATTCCTATTGGTTCCTAAGACACACAGTCACACAAGAATATTGACTTTGCACTCAAAGAAGCAGAACAGATCTCAAAACTCAAAAAATTTATTCACAAGGACAACAACTACATAATTGAAAATTCCAAAAGTGCCAATGTGGACAAACATGGTTAGAGGAAGTGACACTACTGACGCTACGACATAAATAATTATACTAAACTGAATGATTCATTGTTTCGTCTTACCTGCAAACTCGTCACTGTAAACTTTGCTATAAGTGCTATAAAGTCAGCGTAACCTTCCACTTTTACAATCTCCCCAAGCTGATAATTCGACTTCAGCCTTGCAAGCAGCCGGCAAAACTCATGGTAGTTATTTGGATCGGAAAGAGACTACAGTAAAATTAAAAAATTGAGTAGTAAGCCCTTAATTTTTCCAGTATCCCTGAATTAAAATAAATTATTCAAACTGGAACATTGATTTTGATTACTTGTGCACTACCCAAAGAGAATCTTTCTAGTAAATACATCCATTGAAAAAGGGATGGTGTTTAGTCTGGTCTCTGCTACAGGTCTTCTTGATGCACTACTATTGCTCACGGCCTTTTTTTTAAAATTAACTTAAATTTGAAGTAAAAGAAAATGTGCTGACTCTCACTGAACAGAGATAAATTTCTCCCAAAACTGCCACAAAGGAAATTTCTTACAGAGAGTAATTTGCTAGACACTTTGGGGGTGTATATATTGTTCAAAGCAAATTATTGCCTAAACATTTGTGCCAGAAAAAACTAAAAGTATCCTGAATTTTCTGAGAAACTTCTTTGAATTTACACAGTGAACTAAAATTTACCATTTTTCAGTGAAAGGCACAGAAAAGTAAGGAATTAAAAAATTTAACACCTAATACCGGTACTTTCACAAAATACTACAGGACATACAAGTTCATGGTCATCTAAAAAACATACTTGCGGGGACTCCAATATTCCCTTAACACCCTGAACCAACTGTTCTAGAAACTTCGCTCTCTCATTATTGTTAAATAACGATCTTCTGATGGATGCTAGTTGGACTAAACATGAAAGGGCCTGCAAGATATAATCAAATTTTACAAGTATGGCTGTGTAACAGTAAGTGCTCTCATTGTAACTGAAATACATTGCTTAGTACATGACTATACATCTGTATGTACTTATATGTGTATAAGCAAGTTTCATAATCGTGATTGTATTACAGTTAGTGCTGTCACTATAGCGAACAAATTAAAAGTAATAGCATATAACTTAATAATTAGTATAAGACTATATTTTTGTGCATACTTGCTAGTACAGCCACATCTACGCAATATATTTACTTATGATTTGGAGATGTCACTCAAATGTCATTAGAATTGCCCTGGCTATTACACAGTAATTCTCAGAAATGTTGGAAAAGTCCATAATTTCAAAACCACCAACTGCCAGCCATTTACAGTTACATATCTAACATTTCAACGCAGTTTTTTTAATTACCTCAGAAAAGTTTTGCATATCTTGTGAAAAGTTCATTGTACATCCTATAAAAAGATAACTTACCATAGGAGAGAGTGAAGTTGGGAGAGCTCTGTATAAATCAAAAAATAATTGCAGAGTGGCCAAGTTTAAGAATGCTGAGGGGATAAGAAACAAAAGTCAGAACGGTGAAAGGCAGCACAGAATTACATTAAATTTGAACCCAAGAGTTTCAAATAAGAGAATGTAAGGAAAAGCTACTCAGTAAAAGTACAAGTCAAACAAAACCAAAACATAGTACAAGATTGTTTTTAATGCTGCTCACTCCCATCTACAGTCATCTGTAGTTATGGTATTAAGAAGAATTTTCAATAAGAATCAGAGTGGGCAGAAAAAAGAGTATATTTACAGATGAGGCTACACACACAGTCAAGGAATTGGGGTGGTTTTTCACTGTCATGTTATAAATTAAGGTACATTGTGTTTACATTTACCCTGCACCATATTTCAATGGCTCAAAGGAGGGCAGAGGTAATGGGATAACACTACAGAACATGTTGAAAAATCAACTGTTGATTCCAAATATTAATGATTTGTAAGTCAAAGTTCTAAAGGACAGTAATTAACAAAAGAAAGAACACTAAAGACAAATCTTTCCTCCCCAAAATGACAACCTCCAGTACTAGGGTGTCCAAAGTTCAAGTGTGTATGCACATGATCTATCAACTATCATACTGCCAAAAACAAACAACTGCTCTGTACCTCCTCTCCAGCTGGTTGGTATTTGGACTGTGCCAAGGTCATCTGATGACTCGTCCATGGAAGTGCCAATGAAATCAAATGAGAGACAGTTACATGTGAGTTGCAGGAGGTAACTCATTAGACTGTGCTGTGGGACAATAACATTATGACAAATCATTAACAATGATACTTGTAAGCTTATGGTAATCAGTTGAAGCTCATGTGACAGCACACCCTTGAAAAATGAAAATGTGCCTGCATCTATAGCACATGTTAATTTGTGAAAGAACAAAATAATCAAAAATTGATTGATTTTGTTATCATGTGACAGCATATCAGCCTACCAGGTGTGAAAATGCAATTGGGAATTTTTTCTAACTAAAAGGAGACAATTAGCAAGAAAAAAAACAGGGGAAGGGGGAAGAGGAGGGGAGGGGGAGTGGAGGGGGAGTCAAGAAAAACAAAAATGTTTCATTTACACCCCCTCCCTTATCTGTCCACTAATAAAATATCAACCTCAAGAGCCCTTTGAACAATAGTGAGCTTGTAACACCAAATCATCCTCCACTGTGTTTACATTTCCTCCAAAAACGTAATAGATGATATCAATGGTAAAACAATGAATAAAACAATGAAAGAAACAAACCTGACTGCCATCTTGTAAGTTCAACTGTTTGTTATAGGCCTTCAAAAAATAAGTCAAGATACAATACACTTTTGTTTTGTAATAAGAGAGTTCAACTAAACAGTCATATCTTAACAGAAAGAAATGTAATGGGTGATAGAGTAACTGTTACCTCGCGTAAAATATTTATTGACAGGTTGAAGATGTTAAATAGGGACAAATCTCTGAAAGATGATGCAATCTGAAAATATACAACAAAATGCCTTACATATCAGACAAAAAGGAAAGAATCAAGATCACTTGTCAAAAGCTAAGAGCCTTGTACTGTACCCTACTTTTTAGAGGAATAATACTGTCAGGTACATACAACTGTAGAGTCTGCTTTTGTTGTTGTTTTTTTCATAAAGTCACTCAATTCATAAAACTTCCCTTGTTCTTTTCAATACTTTTAATGCTTTTAAGAAACATTCCCTGTCTATCACATGCTATCAGACTTGACCCTCAATTTGCAATTTATGGTAAATCATTTGGAAAACTAAAATTAAGAAAATGGCCAGGAGAAAGAAAATTTTTGTCCACAAAAAAAGAAAAAAAAACCAAAAAGAAAGTTTGCACAATGTTGCATAACCCAATATACTGCTGAGCACATGGTTTGCATCTGGAATTGCCAAAATGGCAAGTGAGTCAGCTGGCAATCATTGAGGGAATTCATGTACTATTGCAAGGTTCAATACATGAACAACTGATGAGAAAAAGTAAGAAATTGAGAAAACTTAATTTAGATTGCAAACCCTTACCAGTAGTGTTTTAATTAATACAGCTCCTACATGACTGCCAGACACAGGTCACCAAATTGGTGACTGCAAACTCAGTCACCAAAGTTTATTTTACTTACCAGAACAACTAAAACAGTTGCAGCTTAGAGTGCTATACAAGCTCTATTAACATAATTATAACCATAATTATTGCCATTAGTGTAGTAATGTTGGACTAACCTTTCTGTGTTTGGTGAGTGATCTTGTAGAGTCAGCCTTAGAAAAAGAGAAAAGTTAATCATTGTTATTGCTAAAGGTCTGCTGAACCTTCCCCTCTTTACCAATTCATCTTGTCCAACACCCTGAGTGGCCAAGTCACTATTAGAGTGATTTTCAGCTTAGCATCAAAGGTAATCCAGAATTACTTCAGTTTAACTTTAACCTGGTAAGTGAATGCTCCATGAAAACTTGTGCAATTGCAACTTATTATATTGACCTTTTGTTAGGAATCGCCAATGTTGTTGTTTTTTTTTTGTCAGAGTCATTAGAAATAACCTCTAATTGTTTGTGGTAATAATTATGTTCCCAGTTATCATCTGATTGGTTAAGAGGTTGGAGAGAAAGAAGAACAATGAAATCCAGAGTTATTTTCAACCCTGTGCTAATTTTCCCCTGACTAGAGCAATTGGTGTACAATAAGGAAGGTGTCTATCTGCATGATGGCTCTACAGCATAGCTTTCAGGGCTAAGAGAGGATCCAATATTTTTACAGACTTATACATACTGAATTATTCATACCTGGTTCATCTCACACACCAACTGTGACAGTATATGCACTCCAATAATACAGTGATCCACAGATCCCTAGAAAGTAACAAATACAGTTACTTGTCAAATGAAGCATGTTTCTTTAATAAAGTTGAATGATACCAGACCACATGTAAAAGCTTGATTGTAGTTGTGGCAGGGGGGGGGTGGGGTGGGAATGTGACAAAAAAATGAATTCCTCCTCATAACTGCCTTAGATCACAGCAGAAAACAAATGGAAAGGATTGAAATCATTTTGACTTGAACTTCATAATCAGCTACTATGTGTGCATCCATGCACTAAGAAATAGCTACCAATCAAGTGAATTACCTGAATAAATTTTCCCACATCTTCTACAATGGTTCTAAACACCAAATCATTTTTCTGCACATCAAACCAGCTCAATTTTGTCAGCCTGGCAAGAAACTAGACAAAAATGGAGCAAAAAAAAAATTAGAAACACAGTAAATAAAAATTAATCACGAAATACTAAATACAATAACAATCTCATTCCAGCATATTCAAACTCAAAGCTGGAAGCTGAAAAAGTTGAAAAAATTAGTTTTGTAAAATACTACAGAAAATGACCCAAATAAAATTACTTTTAATAATCTTTCCAGCCAGTTACAGCTATAGGTCTTACACACCAACTCTGAAAAATTGTTTTGTTTTATGTCAGAAGTTAAGAGTGGTAGCTTTTCAGTGGTATCCGGTCACTTCGCCCCATGGTCATTTTGCCCCCAGTTACTTTGCTCCAACCAAAAGTCAGTTCACTCCATAATCGAAGTCACTTCCCTCAATACAAAAGTTACTTCTCTCCATGTAAGAAATTAGTGAAATATTGTTGTGAACCTTTTGTTTTGATGTTGGAGTTGGACTGATTTTGAACTTATGCCAGTTCAGATTTATTAACTAATGCAGCTTCCACTTATGTTTGCTTACACTTGGTAACACGAAATATCATTTTGCAACTTTTGCATCAACAACATCAGCATGGCATCAAGATCGTATTTGTAAATAAGACAACTATAATGTACAATCTTGTAAGCATATTTACACTTCTTGAAATTCAAGCACATTTCAAGATCGTATTTATAAAACAGATGACTATAACATACAATCTCGTAAGCATATATACACTTCTTGAAATTCGAGCACATTTTGAATGCATCAAGATGGTATTTATAAAACAGATGACTACAACATGAAATCTTGTAAGCATATATACACTTCTTAAAATTCGAGTGCATTTTGAGTGCATCAACAACATCAGCATGGTGTGGGGGACAGAGAGAGATTAGGGCGAGTGAAATGAACAATTACAAACATGTTGTCAAGATTGTATAACATAAGTTAGGCAAATAGAATCTTGTAAGCATATATACACCTGACTTGTAACATGGAGCAAAGTAACTTTTGTATGGAGCGAAGTAACTTCAATTATAGAGCAAACTGACTTTTGGTTGGAGTGAAGTGACTGAGGGCGAAATGACCATAAACCGTTTCCAATGAGCTGAGTTTCAGCACTACTGTGCAGTTATCTCTGCACATAGCATTCACTGCTCTCAGTACATGTTTCAAAATTGTCTTTGAGTCAAATATGCAATCAGCATTGATAGGATAAACAGAACTTTACATCTTTGCCAGTGGGTACAAATTATCTTCTCTTGTTGATAATTTCGACTTAACAATCAAAGATAAAATTTGTATCCACACCCATCCATGTAATATCCTCTAGCTATTCTCCATATCTTAATAAAAAAAGTAACTCTGCCCATCAAAATTTAGCGGGAGAATTCGGCACAGTAGCAAGAGAATTCTGCATGGTAGCCAGAGAATTCTCTGAACACTGACATCTAATTAACACCCAGCATTTACTTCAGCCAAAGCTTATCTAAATTTAATCACCTGTATTAGTGACTGTGAGACATAAGTAGCAAGGTTTGGCCTTGTTCCAAGGTAATTAAGAACATAGTTACCTGAAACACCATAAACAATCTGAGTTATTTTAAATCTGTAAAAGTACTTTAATAATTTATTGATAAAAAAAAAATTCATGGAATAGCCACTGATATCAACCTTCACAGAAATCAGCATCAAGATAAAACATTTGGCTGAGCATAAAATAGAGCCCCTTAAACTCATTTCTGGAAAATGAAAGTTTTAAATTTACAAGTAATAAAATGATTCCTGCTGGTGAACTGTGAGTAAAGAAATTTCAGAAAAGGAAGGCTGAAAAGATTAAGGCTTTGATGACTAGGGTAAGGGGGGGGGGGTCCTTCTTACATTTTACATACATCAAATAGTAAAAACAGTGATAATGAAGATAAGAGATAAGATCAGATAAACAACTTAAAGGTTTGTGTCTCACAAAAAATTCACAGTTTACTGGATTATAATTTTGTATTTTCACTGGTCAGGAAAATTTCAAACACTTAATCCTGTATCATGCATTACCCTTTTCCCTCCCTCTTTCATGGCGCTGGAACCCATGCCTACCAGATACTAGTTGAATGTCACTACCAGCTAGGCCACATGTTGGTATTTTTTTTTAAGGATTATATATTCATTAAAGGATTGTGTTCACAATTGAATGTAATCATATTATGATTTTGTGGATGAGATATAAGTGACAAGATAACAAGATGATCCTGGCAAATGAACTGCATACATAACAAACTGCAGGATTGCAGACTGAATTCGACTCCACCCTGTCCTACCATCATTGTCAACTTTCCCTAAAAACCAAGCTGAAAAACTTACGCATGTCAAGTCTTTGTTCCACAGGAAGTGTTGTGTTCTTACTGATAAGTCTTGTCAAAGAGGATGCTGCTATCAATTGGGAATAGGAAGACTGGAAAATAGAATTTTAAAATGTAAGGGGTTTAGTAGCAGTGCTGTGAGATGTGTTTATTTGTTTTCGATACATTAAGTTGTATTTTTGAAAGCTTCAATCTCAATGTGCAGACTTTACCTAGTAACTAAAAATACGACCAAGAATTATGGCCCACAAAATTATTTCCTATGTGCTACCTATCCCAATCATTGCTAAACGTCTATCTCCAAAGTCTCTTTTCTGACATCATCACCTGAGGGTGACACCAGAGTGTCTACTTGGGAAATTTGATCATGGCTACTGCTACTTTTGATTATGAATGTCAAAAAGTATTCATTATTAAGTGTAAAATAAGGTTCTCAAATCAGAAGTACAGAATTTCACGAAAGAAAGTATGACTGTTTGCAACATTAGGATGGAAATACAGCATTCACACATAATGCACTGCAATCATCTTGTCATGAAATACAATCTGATTGACGTTTAGATACCGAGAAACGTTTACATTTGAATCGACTAGGCGTCATGTTTTACTAGAGTAATAATAAAAAAAATTAATACGTCAAGCATGGCACATGCACGTGCAAATAAAAAAGAACAAACTTAAATGACAAATAAAATTAAATGATGACAATCTGTAAGAGTATTCACATCAAAACCAAAACATTTAAATAAATAGGATTTTTATTCTGCGGTATGCAAAAACGCACGTGATAATTAGCACGGGAATTAGATAGGTAACAGACAAGGAAAAATGCCCTAAAGATATAATTAATTACGCGCGCGAAACCAAGCATAGTGGCATCAGGCTATAGTCCAGAAGTACACAAACTGAAACAATAAACACTTTTTTGTGAACAAAATATCCGTTACATTGTAAGCTGCAAAGATGTTATGAGAAAACTTACACTCCCGCGCTCCAAAAGATATTGACACTTGGTCAGACAGTCAGGGGAGTTTGTGAAAGTGGAGAGCGCCCTTTCCGCCGCATTTCTTGTCACGGTATCGGTAGCTTCGTATAGCTGTTTGCAGAGGAGGTCAAGTTGAGCAATCTCCTGCAAAGAGAGACAAATTATCAGGGAAGCCTGCACAACAAAAACAATCGCAAAAGGTGTTTTTTCAAGCTCCATATACTTTATCCCAGATTACCTGTTCCTCCATTTTTGTTTTGGAACAAGACGTGGCGCACTTTGCATGCGCAGAGAGAAGAGAACCGCTGATGACGTCATGTTTTTGGTGATTTTAGGTTTATAAAGAACATTGTATGGTTTGTCGGGCAGACAACAGAATTCGCTTCTTTAGAGATATTTAACAGACATTGACTAGGTAAAATGATCCAGCATCTTTACTTGAAAAGTAAATAACAAACTTGATTTGCCAAAAATGGTTGATCGATTCGTCCACCCAGGGGTCATAAGCGTCTATTGCGTGACGTTGTAACTCATAAAATTAAGAATACATTTCAAAGGACTAAGCCAACCCATACTGCCGAAATCACAAACCATATTATCACAAAACATTACCGAAAAAATCCGTAGCCTACGTGTAGCCGTACCCTCCCCCTCCCAAGTTGAAACGGAAGCGAGGGGAAGGTACGGCTACGCGTAGGCTAAAAAATCAGCTATAATTAATTGCAATACTTATCAAAGCAGATACAATAGTAATACTTTCAATGCTATATTTTAAGTGCATACACAAAGCCCTTCTAAATGAGAGTTAAATGAAAACAACAACAACAACAAATCATAAAAAAAACAACATACAACCTTTGTTGTAAAGTTTCATTTACTGTGATGAGTCTTCAACGGATCTACTCAGCGCGGAAAACTAACTTTTTGCGTAATTTTTTTCGTGAAAAACACCGAGTAGCTTTTTGTCACAATCACTGAATTTTTCTAATTCCTCGCTAAGGTTGGTCTGCTTCCATCTAACAGCTTAAACCAGGTGATACGCTTGGCCTTTTTATACGCCGATCGGCGAAAATCACCAGGTGTGCCCGGTGCTGCGAGAGCGATTTTGGCCGACCGGCCGAGATCGGCACATAAAATCGCAGATATCTGTCGGCGATTTTCGCCGGAAATCAAATTCGTCGCGATATCGGGGAATAAGAGCGCCAAGTATATCACCGGTAAGATATAAGATACCCAACGGAAGTTTACTGGCATCTGGACACAGGAATAGCAAAAAATAAAAGGTGGCTCGGTAACTTTTTATTACAATAGCGACATGGAATGAAGTAAGTAAAGACGAGATGATTAACCAGCTCTCAACAGCATCGATGAAGAAGATATATAAATGAATCTCCTAACTGAATCATTCAGTTAGGAGATTCAGTTATATATCTTCTAGGAGGCTCCTAATAAAGTTGTTTAGGTTCAGAAGATATGCCATAAATCCTCTGTGGAAGATAAAACGAAGTTGGAAAGAAGGTTCATGTCACTTTCGCGTTCCAAAAAGTCTAGGAAAGGTAATAAAAACTTTTCTGACTGGGGAACAATAGAAACCGTTTTAGGATATCGGTCAAATGCTACCATTAAATGATTCGTGAGTGAAAAAAAAGTAAACATATAATCACAGAAGACCAAATATTCAAATTCGAAAAAAAAAAAACTTTTTACATTACGAGAGAAAACTTCTCTTTGCCAATTATAATGCAAAAGTGGCTGGAAAGTATTTTACAATATCCTTCAAAAGTTTCCTTTTTGTAAATGTTGTCCTTCACAAGTTTTTTACCAATCACCTTGTTTTAAAACCGGCAAGACAGTTTCTGGACAAAGGACTTTTCGTGGGATAACATGTCTTATATTTAATCTTATATTTCCTAGAGGAAAGTTTCCTCAAAAATCTTGTCAAGGAAAACGTATCGAAGTAAGTGTCCCATTATTTTGCATCAAGAGAGTCTGTCTGTAGAAACATTTTGGCAGCAGAATACATTCTGAGATAAATATTTACCTCTTTTTCTTCAGAGACCTTGTCAGAGTTCCAAGTACAGATATGATTAAAAGGAATTTTGCTACCGGAATTAAGGTACTAGTGTTTCTTACAGAATTTCCTTGGTTAAACCTTGTTGCAAAGTTCAAATTGGTAAAGCGACGAAAATTCAACAGAAAATTTATTATTTATATTATTTTGGTGACGCAAACAGATCTGGGACCGATCTTGGAATCGAACTAAATACGGCAAGCTTTTAAGTAGATTTTCTCGTGTCCACTAAAAAGATGAAACGAACTAAAATGCTCTTTTCAGCTTTATTTTAAGTTATTCAAACTTCTCGTTTCATGTCCTAATTTTTGCGGCACCAATTAAGACAATCCATATAGTATTAAGGGTAGATTATAAAAAATTCATGTCTTGTCTACGGTTAAATCCACTTACCTCAACGAAAAGTTCCGCTCATTTGGTGTCATGCCAACGCGGATACATGGAGCTCTTGCTCATGATGCCGGTGAAAATTGAAGAGATCTAGACTTGGCTTCGAAACTCAGGGTTGCGAAGTGGTGCCTAAACATTAAACTGACTCAGTACTACGCGTACTAAAAAGAAGTCAGTTTGAGTATGTTTTTGGGGGTGTTATATTATCTCCTTCCTCTATTGCAGGTAGGAACACTTAAGGTATTCACAATTAAGTCGTGCAAAATGTTTTGTCACCGCAGAGGCAAAGCAAAAATTAAGTGAGCTTTTCTATGTGCCGGATGGCCAGACTGTTACGTCATGCCTCAGGTTTATAGGTAATGCTACAGGACACAGAGACTAGTGAACTGCGGCTAATTTTTTCAAAGCTAAAAGATGAACTTTTTTGTTCTTTATTTGTTTTCGTTGATTTTTGGGGTGGTGAGTATCTCTTGGTGTATCAAAACTGTTTTTGGTACGAAGAAATTACACTGAATTGTTGTTTTTTACAATAACGAACTCTTAACGACACGAATAGATAGACGGTCGTTCACAGTTGACAACCAAATATTTCCGGTACATTTTGGAAAGCTTTGTGTATGTAGCTAGTTTCCGAGCAATGAAAATTAATCTTCTCAACGATATCATTTAGAAGCTACATAATATGAAACTGGATACTTTGATGCCAGTTTGAGGTCTGTTACACAATTGCGGTCCTACAATTTAACTCACCGAACAGCGAAGAGAAGTTGCATTAGTCCAAGAAAATTGCAGCCTTTGGCTGCTTCCTTTCCTTAGCCTTTTGTTTATTTTTCACTCAAGGCTTATGTGGACATTTTTTTCTACAGGTTTTGTCTGATTATGAAACACAAGGAAGCTTGATCATCAATTCATCACAAGGTATGTACGATTGAATTGAAATGACAGAAAACGTTTTCGAGAAAACACAGACTAAACTCATCATAAGCAGAGACTCTATTTACTTTATTTGTGCTTTTTGTCAACATCTTGATGAGGGTGAAATGTTTTGGCAGTTTCTAATGATATTTGTAGCTACTAAATTTATTCATTCTTTTGATATCAGCTCGAATTCCAGGTAACACGACAATCTAGATCCTGATTCGGCCTCTCACTGAAAGGATTTTGCAAATAACATAGGAAAGAAGTGGGGTGCCTTAGCATTGTCACAACCCGCCTCCCTCACTTTCTCACTTTCCCAAAAGAAAGAAACAACCGAAAAAAAAGGGCAAAATCCTACGTAATATTATTAGGTTAGTCAACTGCTTTGTTGTCTCCCGAGTTTTGAGTTTTAGGACGCGTGAGGTAAAACAACTTGTGTAAACGAAATATTTGAAAGGCTCGCGGAACCTGTTAATTTTTCATTGTTAACTGCCGTTACTCTAGCTCCTCATTCGAAACTTATGTTCTCTAGTTTGAAACAATTTAAGTTCAATGTAGCCTTGTCCTCTTGACAAGACTACAGCGGCGATCATTTCGTTTTGCCTGAAGCTTTGCAAAACCCTTAAAAACTCTACGTTGGCACATATAAAACAGCTGAAGAGTCGGAAAATGGTATAGGAAATGTCTGCTAATGTTTGAAATTGTTTGATAACCAGGCACATATTACTAACTTTTGTTTTCGTGTTTTTGCCGTGTGCGCCGGAAAACGAACTGAATAAATATGGATTAAGGGTGGTAATTAGATACAATGAGGAGCATTACATGTGATGAGGGATTTTAAAGCGGTTAGAACACAGATTTGCTTTCGTAATACTTTTCTAGGTGTCTCAAAACAATCATTCGTAGTTTGATCCTGTTTACACAGGAAACAAAACATCTGCACGTTTTGAGCTTTCCAGCGAAAAAAAACGACCAGCATACATGACTATGGAAAGACACCTTCCCACTAAGTCAATGAAATCTTTCAGGTGCACAATTGATACTTCTCTATATTGTTTTAATAGCATCTTAGACACTAGTGGCCTTCAAACCGGATTAAGTTTTGCATACGAACAATTTAGCTCACACTTCCTTGAACCCTCTATGAACCCATACCAATTATTTTGTAGCATCCCCTCAAATTTCTTTGTTTCAACCAGAAAATTCATCAGTGCCCTTTTAGATTCGTGAGTAGGGAAAGACATTACGAGAGTGAATTTCCTCTCTTAGCAAAACCCAGTGATCCCCAAAGGGCTTCAACTCGGCTTTCACAGCACTTACAGTTTTATTATAATCTCCTCTAATTGTGGCAATTGTCGGAAAACCTGACTGTCTTCGGGTACGACTTACACAGTATACCGACAATTATTTTCCGAACGGAAAATAACTGCGTTTGCGGCAATATCAATACTTCAAAATGTGTTGCGTGTTAGGGACACGGGCGATTTTTCAGTGAAGCTGTAAAGCGTTAAATAACTAGAGAAGACTATCACACATTTGATTCTTTGCTTTAAGTAAGCTTTAGGCGTTATGAGTGCAGTCTTTCAAATCAATTCTGCGGAAGAATTTTCTTTTCGTGCAACGAGACCGCTTATTACATACGGTTTTGCCTTTCAGTGTTTGAAACGGAATATATTAAGATCGACAACCAAAGAAAATACCTGTTGTTTATTCGCTCTGTCATTGAAGAGGCGGATGTGTAATCGGTTGCGTTGGCCAAATTTATTCAACTTAAACAATTTGGAAAGGATATCAAAATGCATCTGCTGACATACTCGCCCGATAAAACGAAGATCGAACAACGAAAAATTAAGGAAGAAGGAGAAAATGCCCTATAAAAACTTGGTAGCTTTACCTAATTTTCAAACTATTCGATATAAAAATGGGATTTCATGCAACTAACCACTAAAACGCTGGGATGAAGCTGGAATATTAGTCAAAAGTATTATTCTCGATCCCAAGTATTAGCCAATGTACGTCAAAGAAACCAACCCGTAAAGTAAAGCTGCATTGGCATTAACTTTCCCTCAGTCTTTTTCTCTTGATCATACAACAACACGATGGTTAGCTTCTGGATCTTTGCCTTGTCATAGCTGTTTTCCATCGAAAAAAATTCAGCCCAAATATACTTAGTTTCCAGGTTGAAGATCTCTGTTGATTAAAAAATGATTCAGCTGGTCCTTGACGCAAGAAGATAGGAGAATTTTTTGATAAATACTAGGCGGCTATTGAGAACGAAACATTTAGAAGAAAATGTTTAAAATAACTATAAAACGGTTTTTTTTAAGTTTGAAGGTAGTCAAGAACTTCTTTTTTATTTCCAACTCGCCTCCTCTGTCACAATCGCCTCATTTTCCCACTTCTTCTTCCTTGATAGCTTATTACCACTTCTGCGAGTTCCAAGTTCTTCCTAAAGCAGTGTACCCATTCAATAACATTACCGTCGCCAAGGATGTCTCGCCTTACAAGGGCGTTGGCTTTGCAGCAGGAACAGAATTCTCACCGGGAATTCACGGCGAGGAACAAGGCTCCATTGAAGTCCAAGGCCGCGCAGACTCTTACATCGAATTACGGAAAGACGCCGGGAACCTGAATATTAAGAGGTCTATCACCATCTTGTTGTATGTGTATCCCCTCGGTAGGGCAGGTCCTATTGTTAACTACAAAAAAGATGGACATGGAGTTCAGATTTACGAGGATAGATTTTCAGACAGGGCATTGGCAACGCGTGTCAATCGTCGCAATCTTCGGCGAACAGCAGTTATTAAGAAGACTGGAATACTGACCCGAAATGAATGGCATTATGTCGGAATGACCTATGATTACAGTAGCGGGTTGGTTAGCCTGTGGCACAACGACCAGGAAGTCTCATCAGGAAACATAGGAAGAACAGAGATCGCTACACAGTTTGATGTACGCATCGGAGCTCGCCAGACATCAACGGACGACTTTTTTAAAGGCAGGGTGGCATGTCTGCAATTTTACTCAACAGTGTTGACGCAGAGACAAATCGAAAAGGCACGTATAGCGTGCAAACCCTGTAAGTAAACAGTCACTAATAAAATTAATTGTGCGGTTATCATTTTAGCTGGTCTAATGCAGTTAACAACCCAACCCAACATCCTTTCTCTCCAACGTGATAATCTTTAGCCAAAGGTTCAGAAACTCTGAGATCACTCGTCCCTAATTTCTCCTCCTTACCTTTTAATGTACCTTGTTTTAACGTTTTCCACCCAGTCATCCATCAGCAGGTATATTATACTTTCACAGGAAATTTTAGCGAGTGATCTCCAGCCCTCTGAGTAGCGTGGTTAGAACCTGTTTAGGTTTCACCAGTAAGGCAAAGTTTAGTTTCTGCATGTAGGAAAACTTTAATTGATGCTGATCGGGTTTCCAGCAACCAGCTCCTTTCAGAGCTCAGTTTAAAACATACATTGATGTGTTTTTGAACTTTTTAACTCGCCGCAAATAGAGACGAGGACGAGTAAAGGATGGCAAAAATAAACTCGGAATACAAATGATGACCTAAAAAATTCGCATTTCTAAAGACGGACAAACCGTAAAGTAAATCCTTAAATAAGTTTGGCTTGTTTGAGAGCAGTTACTCAGTTCCTTCACACGATTTATCCAGTGATCTTTTATTAACTTCATTTCATAGTTGAACCCGTCAGCAGGATTAATATGGTTATACACCACAAAAGCAGGTACATTGAAGTCAACGAAAACATTTCAGTGGCAGTGCACAACGACAAGAACTCAAAGTTTAGCGAGTACGTATACGATCTAGGCGACGGAAGCCCGACGGTCACCTCCGATCGAGAAGCAATTCACCACCGTTATTCAACGTATGGAGATTTTTCCGTGAAGGCCATCATATTTAGCCGTTGCCGTAATGAAACTTTAGTCGTCAGAGCAACTGTGACTGTTGAAAGACCTTTGGAGCTCCTGGGAAACCTGACCCTGTCTTATGACCCTGTATCATTCCCCTCCGTGTTTATTGCAGTTCTGAGTTTAAATCGAGGCACTGATTTCAAATGTAATTGGAACTTCGGTGATGGTCACCTGGCTGAGACAGACTTTGCGCATCATGGGTTGATGCACAAGATGAATTACCAGTTTAACTCAGCAGGAACGTATACACTTAACGTCAGTTGTGTCAACAGGCTTAGCACAGCAAATGTTTCCTCGCTAGTATTTGTGCAAGTTCCCATCACAGGTCTCGTTATTGACAAAATTACTCCTAAAACCTACCTCAGCGAGTTCCTTGTCACGTGGCGAGTACAAACTGGCAGCGATATCCACTACACAGCTAGATTTGAAAATAAGGAGCTTAAGATATTCAAAGGTCAGAATGATTCACGCGGATGGGCTTGGATACGACGTCAAGATCACGTGAGTGTAGGTCTCTTTGACGTCATTGTAACAGCGACCAATAAAGTAAGCGCAGTTTTACAGGCTTCAGAAACGATTCGCATTGAAACAGAAGTACAACCCTTTGTGCCAGTTATATACCATTCAGATCGAGACATCGAAGTTAACGAGACTGTTGTCCTATCTATGACAAAAACTAACGAGGAAAATGCGGCCAATCCTTACTATCTTATCGACTTAGGAGATGGAAGAAATCCATTGAACACAAGAGGGATAATGACAAACATCAGCTATCCAGTCTACGGGGACTTCTTGGTGACAATTAATGCCTCTAACAACGTATCTTTCTTCATTGCGAATATTTTGATCAAGATTCACAAACCAGTGCTGTTGGTAGAAGATTTGTCCTTGACCACTGAACCGACAATCTTCTTACAAACTACAGTGATAAGTGCGCACATTCCAAGAGCCTCCGATGTTATCTGTAGCGCTTCATTTAATGAAATTCCTAATTACAGCAAGGAGTTCGACCTCCGCGCGCAGTCCGCCTGGGATCCTGTCAAGGATCCAATGAATATGAACGTGCCTGATGTCCAGTTTTTTATAAAGCGCAATTATACAAAAGTAGGAGTTTATAAAGTGACTGTCACTTGTAGAAACCGTCTTAGTGAAAAGACTGCAACAATTGCTGTTACTGTCCAGAGACCAATCATTGGTGCTCGACTCATTCCCATTAAACCTATTATATTTGGAAAACCGATCAATATTAGCTTCGGTTTTACTTCGGGGACCAACGCCTCTTTCGCAATAGACTTCAACGAGCATAGATTCCGTCGGAACATGACAGGTCTCTCAGCATTTCATATCTTAGATGAAGATGTTTACAAATTCCCAGGGATACACGAGTACACTGTGGCCGTGTGGAACCTGGTGACGTCTCCGATTTGGATTCAAGGGCACGTTATTGTCGAGATTCCCATACATAGTCTGACAGTGTACATCATGGGAAATCCACGTGATATAGAAGTGAACGAGAGCGTGTCCATAGTTACGAGTCTCAAAAATGGTAGTAACCCAGAATTTAAGTTTGACTTCAATGATGGAGGTGAGCTGATGGTCACTCGAAGACATCTTGTTGATTACAAGTTTAATCCTCATTCTCATTATGTGGTTAATGTCACTGCGCGAAACAATGTAAGCGAAGAATTTGCGCTGCTAAAGGTAAAGGTTGTCAAGCCGGTACTCGTTCTCCGAGGTCTCTCACTCCGTACCGCGCCAACTGCTGTGAATGACTCAACTAAAATCGTCCTTTATTTGCGGGAGGGCTCAGATTTTTTCTGTACATGGCAGTTTGGAGATGGATCAAGTCTGAATTCTAGTTACCACCATCTTAGCTTTTATGCCGATGGGAAGACAGCGGAAACAGAAGCCTTTCAAAACCTTAAATTTTACGTTGAACATAGATTCTCATCTGCAGGTATCTTTGTTGTCACAACCCGTTGTCAAAATCGCTTGAGTTCCGAAGTCGCATCGGCGGAGGTCGTGATTCAAACCCTCGTCGAGGGCTTGAATATTCCAGTAATTCCCGCACAAAGTATTGGTCGAGAATTTCGAGTTTTCTGGAGCATATCATCAGGAACAAATGCTACGTTTCAAATCAGTTTTAAGGGAGGAAAGATCACTTCTATTCACACTTCAGAATTAGAAGGTCACGCTCGTGTGGTGGTCAATATTCCTGGTGAATATTTCATTCAGGTAACGGCCCATAACTTAGTAAGCCCAATACAAAACAGATCAGCGGTCATCTTAGCAGAACTTGCTGTCACAAATATCATCGTCAACGTTACATTTGCATCACGTGAGTTAGAAATTGAACAAAACGCGACCTTCACCGTTCAGTTAGGTGCTGGAACAAGCCCAATGTTTTTGTTCGACTTTGGAGACGGCAATAAAGTTAAGAATACTTTGGGAAAGATCTCACACGCCTACGCCTACAAAGATATTTATCTGACACAACCGAACTTCACCTACCAAGTTTATGTGTCAGCCTATAATAACGTGTCTTCAGTCTCTACCATAATAAATGTCACCGTGCATAGACCAGTTCTTCAACTACATAACATGAAGCTGTCGACGTTGCCTTCAAACGTGTCTGAAAACGCGAGAATCGTGCTTTCAATCGATCAAGGCTCGGATTATTTCTGTGATTGTGATTTCGGAGATGGAAGAGCGCTACACCGGCTAAACATCCCAAAAAAAGTGTATCTGGGCTCAGTCCGAACACCAGTTAAGAACTTTAACAATCACAGTTATCGAATAAGTCATGTCTACCAAAAATCTGGAAAATACCATTTGCTTGTGGAATGTAAAAACCGGCTTAGTTATGAAAGGGATACCCAGGAAATTACTATACAAGAGCCGATAAAAGATCTCAAAATTTCTAACTTGCACCCTCGACAGTTTAACGAAACTTTTGTTATTTCATGGCAAACAACCAATGGCACCGATGTAAACTTTCGGATTCTTTTTGGCAATGTAATTTCTAAGGAGTTGGGTGGGAATCGAAACGTCACCATTAAACCTGCAGAATATAAAGCTGCGGGTGTATTTCAAGTAGTGGTTGAAGCATGGAACTTCGTCTCCAGGGCTGTTGCTAAAACAGCGCTGATAATCCAACATCCGGTACATATTGAAGATGCATATGCTAGGTTACCCCAACAAGGCGGTTCACATGGTGGGCAAGGTTTTCATAGCAATAACTTTCCAGCTTGCCGCAACGTCACATTCCAAGTTTTCGCGCTAGGAACTGACTTATCGTATCAATGGCAGATCGATAATGAAAAAGGGAAATTCGGACCAAAGATGCGCATTCAGCACAGTTTTCGCCGTGTAGGAATTCATACTGTGATGGTTGTGGTAAGGAACTTGGTGAGGGAGGCGCATGCGAACATCAGTGTAATGATTCACTACGCCATAGAGGATCCTATCTTGCAAATCAACAGCCCTCAGAAAATTAATCAACCAATTTTATTTTACATAAGCGCTAAGCAGCTCGGCACAAATTCTTGCTTCTTTGTCGATTTCGGAGACGGGACACGTTCCTTGTTTGGACATCCCGGATGCAAAGCAAGAAACTCAACGTCCAGCTTTATTGTCAAATCAGCCGTTGAAAGCGTTAAGTTTGATCATGTCTACAATCAGGTGGGACAATATGTTGTTGCCTTAAACGCTTCAAACGAGGTATCCTTTGTTCGTGTTTTTAAAGATGTCGAAGTTGTCTTTGCATCTTGTGCAAGTCCTTATGTCAAGATTGAAAATCTTGGTGAAACTTCAAATACCGCCCCAACATCACTCAGATCGGATCCCTTCGTTGTCCGTACTCTGATTCACCTTGACTGCGAGAGATCCAACAAAGTAAAATTTAGCTGGAGGCTACTGTTGCTTGACGAAAACGGAGTTCAAAGCAAACACAAAGGAAATATTATTCTGAATGAAAGAGAACTAAACATTCCCAGGAAAACGTTGCAATACGGAGTGTATGAAGTTCAGTTCACAGCGCAAATGGCGATACCTGAAACAGACAAATTTCGCGGCACAACTATTGGTTACTTAAAAATTGTTCCATCGCCCCTCATAGCAAAGATTGACGGCGGTAATTTGATCAGTCGAGGATTTGGGAAAAAGATAAAGATCGATGCATCACCATCGAAAGACCCGGATGTTGAAAATGTACAAGACTCAGGTAAGGGCAGCAACTTTTACCCATCCCAAGGGCTGGGCCAAAATGGATTAACCCCGCCTCAAAACTGCTGAGCAAACCGATACAAATTCCCTAGAGAATAAATTTTACCGTACGTTGGCCTGATCTAGGCTTGAACTTCCCTTGCCAATGACACTACTGAAGGAAAAGTTGTTAATTGTTCTGTAGCATGACAATTGTTGCGGATTTTGCGAATAGCCCTTGATCGGCAAAAATTAGTTTTATGCAAAATAAAAAGCCGAAAAAAATTAACTATCTGCTGCAACGTTCTTAAATCGAGGCCTTGAATGATTCTTTATGTACATTCCTTGTAATAAGGACCATTTATCTGTAATAAGGATCATTGCTCCTTCAGTTTGCATGTTGTGTGCCCTTGTCTAACAAACTAACCCCTTGGCAGGCTTGAGTTACACGTGGCTATGCAGGAGCATTTACACGCAGTTCCCACAAAATCTTTATTCAAATTTAAATCTGCGCACCCCATACGACACCACCGGTCAAACGTCAACACCTGGGAAAATGTACTCAAAGGGTTGCTATGGAGATGGAGAGTTTGTTTTGGCTGGCAGGGATAGTTGGCTGACTCTGGACACGTCGCAGATGATGGAAGATGAAACATACGTGGTGTTTGTGGTCATAAGGAAAGGAGGAAGGACAGCCCATCAGTACCAAGTGGTGGAAGTCATCCAAGGAGATCCTCCTGTGTCAAAATTAGAGTAAGTGAAATCATATTGTTTGACTCTAACGTTTCCCAAACATTTCTACATAACGTGGTTTAAAAGTAGTGGCCACTCTGCAATTGGTATCTTTTTCATGCACGAAACCTTAAGTTAAGAAGGTCCTAAATCGGATAAAGATCACAAACGAGACCTGCTAGGTTGGTAAACACTTCAGGTATGAGTCTTTTCACAAGACTTATGGACCCCTGCTAAGGTTACCAGGTAGCATGGAGACTCCAAATATAATTCAATTAAACCAGTGATAGCGTTATAGGTTAACGACAATTATTTCGTCTCAGTAGACAAGCATGACTATTTGGAATAACATGAGTAGCGCTGACAAATGTTCCCTTGAATCATTACTTCATCCAACTGAGTGCTGCGTGACCACATTTTAGAAGTATTTTTATCCCTTTGGTCAATTTAACAACTGAAATATTGTTTTTCAACAGGTGTAAGCAGAACTGTGGAGAGAAAATCTGTCCGTCCAAACGATTTTCCCTGGTTGGCATCTGTTTTGAGGGTTGTATTGGACGCCTGATCTACGAATGGCGAGTCTACAAAAACGTTGGCAACGACTCCATCAAGTCCTGGGAACTGCAACAAGATATCGCGCAAAGCTTGGCCGAGGTGAAGGATACCACAGGTCCCATTTTCACGCTGCCTAAAGACATTCTCCATGGGGGCAGCGAGTACCTCATTCGCCTTTACGGCCGCCGTGCGAGGGGAGTCAACGGCAAGACAGAGAGTGTGTACGTAACGAATGAAGTTCCTCAGGGAGGGGCCTGTTTCGGTTGGCCTCCGAGCGGTGATGCACTGGTAACAAATTTCCATATTTGGTGCGAAGGCTGGAAAGATCCCGACATGCCCCTGAGCTATCAATTTTATTACAAAAATGATGAAGGAAAACTAGTTCTGTTTTACTTTGGTCATAATAATTTTACATACTCTGAACTACCTCTGGGAAATCCCACGCAGAATTACACGCTGGAAATAATCGCCAAAGTATTGGACTTCTACAAAGGAGAGGCCAAATACTCTCTCCTTTTGCAGGCAAGAATTTAATATGACTATTATCAGTTACTTTGTCGCGCTAATGTCAGTTGTCCTTTCAAAGGCTTTGTTTTTGTGTACCAGTCTTTCTCGTATTTTCGACCACTGTTTCTAATTCTGGAGGTCAACAATAATTATCATCCTTCTCCATCCTGGTTACAACTGATTCAGGAATGATGCTTATAATAATTATACTAAATACCATAATAATACACTCTGAAGAAAATTCTCTTCTGCTGTGTATTAATCGAGAGGTTTTTCTTCAGTCTGTAGAACCCAAGATAGAAGGAGACCAACTTGATAATATGCTTGCTAACATGACATCAGGTGAAAACAGTCAGTTAAGCAACCTGGTGAACGTAGGTGATAGCCAAGCCGCTCTAAGGATGGTTGGAGCCATCAATTCACTTCTGAACGCGCAGAGCACAAAAACACCATCCGGTAATGACAGCGAAAGAGAGGGTGCCAGGAAAGAAAAGAGAAAAGAGGTAAACTGTTTAAAGATGATAAAATTTGTCGCGCGTCTGGTACAAAGAAAAATCCGTGTACCCCTAAATTGCACTGCGATCGGATACTGTACCAGTGAGCAACAGAGAACTTGTTGGCGAGGAAAGTTTTTACGAGGTTAAAATGTAAAAGGTCGAAGGTAAATATTTATTTTATATCAAGACATAGAAGACAACCCAGAGGACTCGATATTTGAAACATCTGTATCGGACTGACTCGGGCTCGTAGGGCTTAGTGATTGGTTGATGCAAATATACCTAAAATGTCCAGCATATACCTGTTCAACAGCTGACAAGTTTAAAATGGGCTAAATGTTGTAATATTCGCTGGCAACATCAATGATGGTTTGAGAATGAGCTGTATCACCTACTCGTGTAGCTAATAAAACGGTTTTATAGACTAGAGTTTTATCTAAATTAATGCGAGCACCACGAGGGTTAGGGTAAGCTGAATCACGACATCACCCGCGACGAATCTAAGAATCTTTTTCGAAGGACCGAAAAGAGCAAGTGAATAGCGGAACAGTCTTATCAAAAAAGAGAGCGTCGCATTTTTTATGGCGAAAGCGAGAAAATACAGCTAAGGATAGTTTATTCCTGTCCAATTTGTTTGTGTTTAAACTAGAGAACGACCTTATCATGAACATTTGAGTAAGGAGCTGATTCACTCAGTGTTGAATTGTCAGGTTCGGACATCAGTAATCAAAGCGGCGGCGTCCCTTCCTGTGACGTCATTAGAGGGCCTGCAACAATCTGCTGACACGATAGCTAGTGCCTCCATGTTCACCGATGAAACATCAACAACAGCTATGGTATATTGCTACCTTGAGATCTTATTCATTGATTTAGAAAATAATTCTTAATTGTGTGTCTTAAAACTAACCACTAAAAGAAAAGTATTTGAGCTGTTCGGAATGCGCGAGATTCAAAACTTGTTAAGAATAAACTGTACGAGGTTAAAAGTCAAAAGTAGACCATTAAGCAAAGAGACCTCAAATCAAAAGTCACGTCCGTTTAAGTTTTACGTCTGAATGGCTAAGATGAGGGCGAGAGGCTTTCTGTAAAATTACTCAGAGGATATATTTTAGCAATTATTAAACATTCCAAGATTATTATCCAGTGGTATCCATTTCCAGACGATATGCAATACTGTAAAACGATTTAGGCGTATCGGGGGTGTCTTAAACAGCCTTTTTTTGTATTCTGTTGCTTTTTTCTGCGATCGTCAAATGAAGAGTCTAATACTTTAACCTAATGTTATCTCAAACAAATCGAAAGATATTTCAACAATTTACGACATTTTATGACTTACGTTGAGTCGTGCAAAACAAACCATAACCTAGTCATACGTACACGAAAAATTTGCGTGGAATGGCTCGTTACCCAAATGTGTTTTTTACTTTACTTCATAGAATGCTTCAACAGAAGCTTTTGAGAGAATGTCAGCCCTGTTAAAGAGTAGTTCCGATGACTTTGCTGGTTACGACGCAGTAGTTAGCAGTGCCGAGTCCCTCTTGTCTGGAATGGGACAAGTTCTTAATGCCGCCGGGAGCTCCGTAGCTATTAAGCCCAAAAAGATGAATGCTACGAAAGCCCCTCCAACATGTGGGCCTTACGATTTTGACTGTAGCGAAGTAGATGATGAATTCTCTAGAAATTCTACGGATGAAGAAGATGTAGAACTTGACGAAGAATCTGCCAAGGTTAGTTTTATACATCAGATATGCAAAATTGTTTTGGGTAGAGTTGGTCGCACATTGTGATCTTACAGGTTAGGAACATACTGGAAATACTGAGGAATTCGTAAAAAAATCCACAGAACACTCCAATGCGAAGCTTCACTTAATGTTTTTAACACGATCACACAACTTGCAGTTCCCAAGACGGGCAATTTGAAAACATTTCTTCTCTCTGTCTGACACAGAGCCGCGATGCAGCTAACGCTATCGTGGGAATGCTTGGAACAGTTAGTGGCTCTGTCCTGGAGAACAAACTCCCAGGTGAACAACCAAGTGTTATTTCAACTGCTAAGCTCAACATGGCGGTAGAAAGGGCTGACCCAGACTCCCCAAACGAATCTTCTATCGGTGACGGAGCATCAGGCTTCAAGATGCCTCCTTTAGGAAAGCTGTTTGGCAAAGCAGGCTCAGACCTTGATGGCCCTGTAGACAAAGAGGTAGGTTTTTGTTACATCAAGAGGAGATCAAAATAGGAGACTGAGTTTTCAATTTAGGCCTTTTTCCTAATGTAATCCTTGTTAGTACCTATAAAATGTTGAAGATTATAATTTATGGGATTCCTGTGGTTTTGCTCTACAACGCTCTGTGATTGGTTTGAAAACTCCACCAGTCTCTGAACTAACCAGAGTCTAAAGTAAAACCAATCCGCACAAATTGGTCTCTTTCGTTTCCCGTTTCCTTGGCAGTTTGCCTTTTTTTTTCTTTCAGGTCTAATTTGCTGATGATGATAGTAACCCTTGTTTTTATTGACCATTGAGATAAATTTGGTTTTTGGTTTTTCGGATCTCCATTAGACACTGCTTTGAGATCATTTCAGTTAACGAAGACTCTGGGTAAATGTTAAAAAAGGGCGAGCCCTATTTCATTACTTTGCCAAATCTTCTGGAGATGGAAGGGGGGGGGGGCAGTCTTGACTAGCATCCCATCCGAGGAAGAAGAAGCAATGCACCTAGTCACGTCACGATACAACCTCCGCAGTTATGCGACTAAGTGTCATACGTAGAAAGGGCGCATGTTTATAAATAAGGTTAGTGACCCCTACGTATTATTTGCTTATGTGTAGATGGCTGCTGTTAACGAGAACCCATACACTTGGGACAAAGGATCTTCGAGTATCACCGGAAAGGTCGTCAGTCTTTCTTTCAATAGCAAAGGTAAAAAGTTAAGTGTCTCCAACCTGGACGAAGATGACCCAATAGACGTTTTTATTCCAAGAGATTCTCCCGTCAGTCCTCCGGAAAAATTTATTTACAACTGTTCTGTGCACCGAGGAAGGCGTACGCATAAGCTGTTGGTTGACAAAAATGGCACTGCCGTCAATGTGGAGGTTCGTTTAGTCGGCTCAAGTCGGCAGTTTGTGGTTTATGTCAGGCGCGGGAAAGCCCCGACAACTACAGAGTTCGACTGGAGAGCAGTTTCTCCCAACATAACCGAAGAAGAACGATTGAGTCCTAATGTTACAGAAGAAAGTACAAACTCTACAGACCAAGATTCTACCTCTTTCAGTACATCATTAAATTCAACTTTAAATGAGACAAACACTCTACAAATAAATCTCACTAAACTGGAACACGCCAGAGATAATCTTCACGACTCCAATGTTACATTATTTCTATCTCAAAAGAGACTTTACATGGGTACATATTTCGTTAGCATCTATTTTTCGCCACCGTCTTCGTTGGATGGACAACACGACCCAGCTGAATGCAAAGGCAATGATTTGAGCATTACTTACACGCTGAGAACATTTAAATCCAAATGTTTATATTGGAACGAGGAATTTCAAAAGTGGAAGAGCGATGGCTGTGAGGTAATATGAATTTAGTGGATGTGAATTTTGATATAGGGTACTGTAGGGGAAGTAAGATAACAAAAATGGAGTACATTAAAGATAAAATTCGCTACACCACATTCCTAATTTGGACCCACAGTATCTTCAATTGAGCTCTGATAATAATTCGAGAATCACTTTCAAAAACGAGTACGAAAGGAATGACCGAGGTACATCTGATTGTACGTCAAGTGGCAGTGTGTGTTTGTTTTTTTCTTTGTTTGTTTTTGTTTTTAGCGAGAGCTCCTCATGAGCACATTAATTAGGGCAGATGTGAGCTATCCATTTCTTAACCTAGAATTAAAAATTCAGTTTTAATTAAAATCTCCTCCCTCTATTTGAACCCAGAGATATGATAAATAACTTTCTAGCCTCCTTTTTCTTGTTTCGCACTATAAGCTACGGAACCTCGCTTTGAAAGCCCGCGCACCTCGCCACAAATAAGAGCTGGAAAAAGTCAGTTCGTAATTTAAAATACGGACCTCGAACTCGGTTAGTATTAACGAGGTATATATATTTTTAGTTAATGTAATTTATCTTCAGATTTCATTGCTAAATTAAAATGACATTTTTTATGTGTTTTTTAGGTTGGTAACTTGACAAGTGTCACACGCACCCATTGCCGTTGCACGCATTTGACAGCATTTGGTTCAATGATGGACGTCGCCCCAAATCCAATTGATTACAGCGCCGTATTGGCTGGATTCAGTTCAATGTTCGAAACAGGGAACGTAGTAGTGTTTTTCTTTATCCTCGTTATGTTTCTCCTGTATGCTCTTGCGTTGGTGTGGGCCAGGAGAGCCGACAAGAGGGACATGGAACAGGTACTGCGGGTTTGATAAGTCAATTATTGTTACACAGTCGAGGAAATAAATCATACGCACTTCAAAGTTCATACCATCACAATAAGCTTTTAAATTAACCAACAACACAGTAATAGTTTGAAACAATTTCCAAGCAATTCGAATGAAGACGAGTGAGAAAGTCATGGCCAAAAAGACGTTGACCAGCCATTTGACAGTAATGTGGCACTTTGTGTGTGAAATACGGACACTTCACTCTGGGGTTGAGTGTCACTCAGCTTTTGGAAACGTCAGTCTTTATCATCGTTGGTAGTCTTTTTCAGAACTAATCTCATTCAGACGATGCAACGATCTGCAGAAATCAAATGATTTTCCAAATGCCTCGAGACCCAATTATCTAATTGAGTATATAGCTTATAGACAGTTTTGTGTACAGCTATGTTGTCTAGTGCTATGCTCTATGGGCAAAATGTATCTGTAGACAATGGCAGCAGCTTAATCCCGGGGCCCATTGAGGTGAACTTAGTATCGATTATGATTGGTATACAGTGTAGCCTCGTTATCATTCCAGTTGATGTTGTTATAGTTACCATTTTTAAGAGTGTGAAACCCAAAGGAACTGACAAGACTGGTGAGGAAACAGAGAGGGACAGTTCTCATTAGACGTATCGCCATCCCGCCTACTTGTTAACTTGTTCATTAAATACCAATAGGTTTGGAACTTGGTTAAAAAGGTAAATCTGTTTCATTTTTGTCATTAGGTTGGGGCAACGCCTATTCCCAGCAACGTATATAATGCCACATATCATTATGAGCTTACGTTTTTCACTGGTCAGCGGGGTGGTGCAGGTACAACAGCCCAGGTGTCGTGTTTGTTGTATGGCGAGGGTGGCGATAGTGGAATCTGCATTCTGAAGGACGAAAATCGTCCTACTTTCCAAAAAGGTAGCGCCAACTCATTTGTAATCTCTGTTGCAAAGTCTTTGGGTCCAATAACGTTCTTGAGAGTGTGGCACGACAATCACGGGTTGTCACCTGCCTGGTTTTTGAAACGGGTCCTGGTGCGAGACATCCAATCAGGAGCGATAACGATATTGATCTGTGAACGATGGTTCGCGCTGGATGAGGGTGACGGCGAGATCACGCGCGACTTAACTCCCGCAGGGGAAAAAGATCTCACTTCGTTTTCAAGACTTTTTAATAGTAAACTATACAAAGACTTTACGGATGCTCATTTGTGGTTCTCTGTCATTCTAAAGCCATCTAGGAGTAAGTTCACTCGATCTCAGCGCGCGTCGTGTTGTCTTTGCCTTCTGTGTACGGCTATGGTGTCTAGTGCTATGTTCTATGGGCAAAATGTATCCGGGGACAATGGCGGCAGCCTAGTCCTGGGGCCTATTGAGGTGAACTTAGTATCGATTATGATTGGTATACAGTGCAGCCTCGTTATCGTTCCAGTTAATGCTGCTATAGTTACCATTTTTAAGAGTGTGAAACCCAAAGGAACTGAAAAGACTGGTGAGGAAACGGAGGAACAGTCCTCATCCTCATCAGATGAAACAATTTGTGTCTCAGAAGTAGAAATTTCCGACATAGACGAAACAAAGACAGGAATTGAAAAGGAAACTCCACCGAATAAAGAAATTCATCTGAATGGTATTGATTCCTCCGAAGATGGTTATGGCAGTGCTGATAATGAAGACCTCGTCGTAGTAAATAAAACAGGGGAAAATTCAAGCGGTAAAATGGATTTCTTTCGAAACAGACGAGATGGAGGGCACAAATATGTTGTCCAAACAAACAGCCTTGACTCACAAAGGTAAGTTAGAAACATTTCCCGGACACCACATGCTCAATGTCGGCCCAGGTGAGTATCATCTAGAGGGAAGAGGAGGGTATAGAAATGGTAGTTGCGCTAGCTGACGCTCTTCATTATCGTGTTTAGCTCTAAGCCCTTTCGCATTCTGACCCAGTTGAAACTGATTTTGCTCGATAGGCCAAAAATTAGGGAAACCCGATCTTGCTGTGAATAGTTTGCAGAAAGGGAACAGTAGATGGTTCTCTTTTTGGAATTTCTTTCCTCGATAATTTAAACATCCAACGCATTATACACTTCAAACTAAAAGATATTTATGATTAATTTACAGCTCTGACTTTCTCGACGAAACGTCCGAAAACTCAGTAAATGAAAAAAAGGGCACAACAAAATGGTGGTGTTGCAGAAAACGAACCGAAGACATCGAAGACGGCGACAGTAAGGAAAAGAGTGAAGAACAGGACGAGAAAAAAAAGAAAAAATCCGATGGCTTCCTTCCACATTGGTGTTTATATATAGCATGGACTCTGTGCATCATGGCGTCTTTTACATCAGCTTTGTACACCTTATTTTACAGCATGATGTGGGGACGGGATAAATCAAACCAGTGGTTTATTTCAATGATCCTGACGTTCGCTCAAGACACTCTCATTAACCAGCCAGCAAAGGTTTTGTTCTTATCAATGGTGTATGCCATCTTCATAAGGAAGAGTGACGAGGAAACAGATGCCGAACAAGGAGTTGAAGACCCGCGAAAAGGTAATACTTTTGAATACTAAACGTTTCTGAAGAAGTATACTTTTAAGCTGCGTTTATAAGTGCTACCAAGGTTTCCTCGGCGAGTGCTCTTGTTAAGAAAACCTTGTTCGTTATATTTCGTTACAAAGAAAAAATGACTGAGTAAAAACTGCGGTAGTGAAAATTCCGAGGCAAATGTCCTTTTTAGGCGACCTATACTTGTAAAGTTTGTTCTTAACTGATTTTTCCCTTAGAAGTTTCTTTGTTCAATCATACTTTATGTAGGCAAGAAGAAATATCAGGGAAAATCTTAATAAATTTTTTTATCCAACGGCAAGAAAAACTTGGGGAAAACTTTCCATTGTAGATGCGACTCTCATGTCTTGTTTACTGAGATAAACCATCGAATTTAAGGTGTCACATCGGAGAAGTCGGTTGGGATTCTGACAAGTCAAAGGAAATGTCCTGAAACATTTAACGGAAAACAATTGATCGGTTTGGATAGGCCATTGTTACGCGACATAAGGGCCAGAGAGAAAGGTTACCAACCATTGTTTGATATCAGGAGCCTTAGAACATATTTCACCGCTTTAAAGAAGCATTAATTTTTTTATGTCCTGCCACCTTCACTAATGGGTTGCCTACTGTCTTGGTAACAGATGATGACATGCCAGAAACACTCTGCAAGTACAGATTCGAGTTACAAAGAGAGACGGAGTGGGAAAACTGCAGCCTTTTTCATTCTTAATTTATTGTGATAAGCTTGATCTGCAGTAGAAAATGCCTTAGTACTAACTGAAAAATAATTCATTGAACGCATCTGCGATTTGTTGAAACACAGGGCAAGATGAAGAGTGGCTTCATGGCGACACTTTGGACAACGAAGACAGAGAAAAGGAACTGCTACGATACAAACCTCCTGACGAAAGCAAATTAAACGCCTTGCGAGAAACCAGGGTTAGAGAAAAGCAATTAAAAGACAAGTTTATCAAGCTGGGAGATTACACTTTTGTCGTTCTTGTCCTGGTATTGCTCAGTTATGGCAACAGGGACCCACAGTCGTTCATGATGAGAAACTCGATGGAAAAGGAATTTATACATCCTCTTACAGCATCTTACCCCCAAGGAATTACAGATGTAAGTCTTATTTAACAATTATAATCGACCACGGTCAAGTCTCTCCTAATTTTCAGTTGTCAGAATCAAATTTAGATTCTTAAATTTCTCATGTAGAAAGGAAGATGTGGGTCAGAGGCCTGACATAGAGGCAGCTTGACTGGCAATCGACAGAAATCAATGGCGCTCTTTCGCCGGGGCCTTTTGTGTGTAGACGCACGTAAAGGAGTGACTAACCAACTAACATTCCTGTGTGCGAAATGATCAGTACGAAACACTGACCCCTCATGACTTAAGTCATTCCTGTTCTTGTATTTACCAATTTCAACAAAGGTTTTTGAAAGCTTCCCTTATTTTACAAAACCGGTTTGGCAACTTTTCTGCTCACGAAATCCACCTTGTAATAGTAGCTTCTTAGTAACCGAGAGTGAAGGAAAAACTTAAACTTAGGCTGCGACTGAGATTTTAGATTTAAGACTGGAGGGTCAGGTTGATAAGTTCAGTACTCATAACTGAAGAAGGGGTAATAGAGCAATTGGAGAAGGGAGAGCGGCTGGAAGAAACTGAAGAGATCTCTCCTTGACTTTTGGCTTCTCATCTCGTACTAGCCCTTCGTTTTCTAGTCACAAAAATCGAAATGACGTAAGGTTCGTGTTCGTCCTTAGGTGAACAATTTGCAGCTATTTATGACATGGACAGAGCAAAGCTTAATTCCTTATTTGTACGAACATGACTGGTATAATGGAGAAAAGGTAACGAACAGAACTGGATACACTTCAGGAAGACAGTCCAGACGACTTGGACGGATTCGATTGCGTCAAGTTCGCGTCGAGAACGGTAAAGTTTCTTGATTGATTCTCAAAAAACCAAAACCAAGGTAAACACAACGACCAATCAGAACAAAAGCAAATTTTAGAATTAATTAGAACTCTGTTAGCTATCGGCATCAAGTGCAGGAAAACATGAAAAAATTGGTAGCAATCTTATCTTTGTCTGCATGTGACTAGCCAGGAAGAAGACGCGGACGCGAAATAATTACAGAATTAAGTACCATAGGAATCATGGATAATTTTTAAACTATCAAATTGGAAATTCTCTGTCAATTGAACACTTTAAAATCATACTCGGCAGATATAATGGAGGAGTCTAGGCGTTGCTCGTTATGTCTGCTCGTTTACTAAACATTTTATCGTCCCGAATATCATATTTTTCCACCAGTAAAGCGAGTTTCAAGTTTTGTTTCACTTTGCAAAGTTTCACTTTTGTTCCAATAAGTAAGACTTGACAACCTTATTCGTTTCAGAAAGTATTTCAACGTTACTCAGTTAAATAACCGCACTAAAGATGTTAAGCAAATGGAATCCACTCCAATGTAGCATACATTTGCATTTGTGTTACTATTTTCTGCTTCTCGTGTGAAACACCTCTATATCACTAATCATCTTAGGAATGGTTAATCATGTCACCTTCCATATAAAATGCAGGTAGCTGTTCTGTGACAAAAGTGTTGAGAGAAGTTATCCACGAGTGCAATCCTCCTTTTGATGAAAAGCATGAAGATACCCGGATGTTCAGCCCCGAATGGCGCGCTGGATATCAACCGGCAGAGGACACTCCGCTGTTCAAAAGAAGTGCATCGGGGCAACTTTCTCCATGGGCTTACTTGGACCCCACGGAATCAAATTCTTCATTCACATTCTACGGTAGAATAGCGTTTTACCCTGGTGGTGGTTACGTGGCGGAGTTTGGCGATTCCTTGGAGGAAACAGCCGCCTTCGTGAAGTATCTCAAGTCGACCCATTGGATTGACAAGTACACCAGAGCTGTCTTTATCGAAGGAGCAATATACAACCCTAACACGAACCTCATTGGAGTCATAGAGACTGGTGTGGAAGTAACGTCTGGAAATGCTTTTTTACCGCGAGTTGATTTCAAAATCTTCAGGCTATTTGCCCGGCTGGATCCTTCGTACGCCTTTAACTCAGCTTGTGAGTTGTTGTTCTTCGTGATTATCCTTTACACTCTGTACACGATTATCAAAGGTATCTATCAGCGGAGGAAGGAGTACTTCTATGAAACAGTAAGTCAGCTGGACATTATCCTCTTTGTGGATGGTGTTGCTATCGTAGTTGTGTATGTTGTTCGAGAGAGCAAACTCAAAAGTGCCGTGGCTACCCTTAAAAGTGATCAAGAATGGTTCATGGACTTCTCTGAGTGTGCCTCTTACAACGAGACACTCGTCATCTTGTACGCGTTTGCAGACTTCGTCGCCATACTAAAGTTCATTCATTTCTTAAGCTTCACGCGCGTTGTTCAACTTTTATCAACCACTATCGCAAAATCTGTAGTTGAGCTACAGTCCTTCGCCGTCATGCTGTTTGCCATATACATGGCGTACTCTTCAATGGCATTCACAGTCTTCGCGCCTTACGTGGAAGACTACAGGTCTTTCTCTGCAACCCTTGCCTCTTTGTCATGTCTTGTGATGGGAGTTTTTGATCATACTGATTTTACTTCCCAGTCTGATTACAAAACTGTGGGTTATTTTTTCTTCACGACTTTTTCTGCCAGCATGATTTTTATATTTACAAACGTTGTTATAACGATCATCAGTGTTGTGCACCAAGATGTCTGCACCGACGAGGAGCTTAAGAAAAACCAAGATTCTTTTTTTAACATTATTTTGGACAGAGTACTGATTTTCACTGGGCTCAAAGGACCACCAGTCCGAGAGGAACCAGAAATTGAAGAACCTACTATATCCGAAATACAATGGAATTCAAATGTAAACTATATAGAGAACAGTCAATTGAAGCGGTTCAAAGGATTAATAAAATCTATTTATGATTACGATGAAATAGAGAATATATCACTGATCAGAGCGTATACGTGCACGTGGGAAAGAAAAACGATACGTGATTCTGGTTACCAAGGAGACACATCAAGATCAAATGCTGCTGACCAAAGCAACGATGACGAGCACGGGTGCACAAATGATACGAAAAGTCTAGATCAAAGAGAGTCTGTTGCGAAAGATGAGCAACAATTGGAAAGTCCATCATCTATGGAAGAAAAAAATAGTCCAGCCGAAACTTTGACTAAGTTGATCGCCAAAAAAACTGAAGAACTGAGAAGACTGGAGGAGCAAGGAGTTTGTGATGAAAAAGAGAGATTACGTTGCGTTAGAGTGATTGAGTGCTTTCAGGACTTGTTGAAGAAATCCGTGGGAGACGAGGACTCTGCTAAAATGTTTCTAAGCCATGAAGAGGAATTTGAAGTCTAATTAGAAAAAAAATACAGAGTAGAAAATCCAAAACCCAGTAAAATGTGTAACAAACTTCGTATTCATGTACTAAAATCTTAACTTATGACTATTTAAGGTCGTACAGACTCACATTCAGTCATGAACTTCCTTGGGTTTCAATAGTAAGACAAAGTGGGGACAGGGAGAGTCTGTTCCATTTGTATTAAATTGATGGTGAGCTTAACATAATTTTAATTATTTATCTCTTAGTTAGTACGTGCGCTGTGATTGATCAATTTAGCGGGCCCCTATTTTCACTGTATAACCCGCCAAATTCCTGGAACGTTCCTTTGAATTGAAATCTACGCCTTCTATTTGAACCCAGAGATAAAATAACTATCTCTGTAAATGGATTAAGAGAGGTGGTAAGTTTTGAGGTTGGTGAAGAAGTAGAGAAAGGCGTTTTTCGTCTTGTCATCAGCGTGGGTCAGAGAAAAACTTATGAGTCCCCACGAGGAATTGAACCTTGGACATTCGGATTCCGCGCCCTGATGCTCTACCACTGAGCCACAGAGACTCTATGGTAAACGAGGTCTATTATGAAGTTCGAATTCATATTACACGCGTCCTCCATACGGCTAGGATCAGTAATGTCGATAGCGTCATGTTTGTAAATAGAATCGGAGAGATGTGAGTTTTGAGCTCGGTAAAGAAATAAAAATTTTTATGAAGTTACTTTTAGTCTCAAGATAGCTGATCTCTCGGAATTATTGTGGCATGTATTCTCAACTCGCGTGTCATGGGAAAGTTTCGGTTCCAGGAACGATTAGACGCTGGATGTTCATATGGGTGAGACGATCTCACTGACGTTATCGATGACGAATGTTTATCTTCAGATTCTCTCAAAAACAAGAATGATATTAAGTTACTTTAAATGAATTGACGTCAGGATAAGGCTCATATGCTAATTCAGTGTTATGGCTTGCTTATCTCTTGCTTGTGCCAGACGATTTGAGCCATTTTCTTGAAGCTGTTCAAGAATCGAAACAAGGAGACTCTCAGATGTCCCTTCAAATTACATTAAGTCGTTGCTTTACCCCTCCCCCCTCGTTCTTACCAATATACCTAACGATTCCTTCTCACAATTATTAAGCTAGGTTACCCATACAGTACTCCATTCCAAAGGATATTTAAACCACTTCCGTGAAAATTAACCATTGCTTTATTAATAAGGACATGTTTGCGAGTTAACCTTGGTCATCCATAACGCATGCATATCCAATCTTTAAACACACCAGTGTCACGTGCAAAAGAGAATTAATTGTACGGCAAAAAAATCTAGACTAACTGGGTGACTGCCATTCTTACTTGCCGGAACCTAACTTCCTAAATTTGATTGGGAACTTCCTCATTTTAAAAGTTTTCGAAAACATCTTTCGACCATGCTTCTAGAATATACCTATGCAAATTATTGCCGCAGTTTTAAAGCAGCGCGCGCTTAATCAATTAAGAACACGAGTCAATTGTTACATCAAATTGCCAAATTTCTGCGTAGTGTTGACAACTTTCTTCAAGTACCTTTTTGGTTGCATGACGAAGAACATATAGACACTTCTGTAGCAGTAATCAATTGAAAATGGTCTCGACTGTGACTGAAAACAGGATGCAATCTTCGAGTGCTGTACCTGACGAAGACGAAAGCGCTGTCGACAAAGTGAAAAGACAATTTCGCGAGCTCGAGAAACGTGCTAATAAATATTTTGATGACTTGGATAAGGTGGAGGAAATGTGCTGGAAGGCTAAGGAAGATATAAAACGATTTCAGTTGAAAGCTGAAGCGGACAAGCAGATGGTGAAAAGAGATCGTGATGTTCAATTCAAGATTTACTCTTCGCTTGAAGAGATGAGTCATAAGTTAAAGAGAATGGAAATCAAAGAGAAGCCAAACACGGAAGAGGAAAAGTTGCCTGTCATGCCTGAAGAGGCAAGGAGAGCTTCACAATCTACAATAACTGGTCGAGTTTGTCACTATGTCAAGATTGGCTGTTTGTTGGTGGTAGATGCACTGGCTGCGTATGGAATGTTTAAATTGACGCAGCCAGTTTTCTTTGGATAAAAAAAAAGCAAAACAAAAAAAAACAAAAAAAAACAAAAAAAAACATAAAGCAAAAAAAAAAACAGAAAACAACAAAAAAAGGAAAAAAAACATGGCGCGTTCTTCCATCCAAGCCCTGGCGAAAGGTATGACGTTATAATAATGTTCACTTCTCAAGTTATTCTTATAATTTCAAGACATTGTCAAACAGAGAGGCAATGAAAAGTTAAAAATCATCAACCCGCGACCATCAAGTTTAGGCATCAACCTTGATTTTCCTCCCAAAATATATCTGGCACCATCATCAGTAGTTGCTAGACTTGACTTTCAAATCTTGGTGGTGAAAGCTCTCGACTCAGAAAATCTCCTGTTTTTCTTTTATGCTAGTATTGCTTTGAATGAGAGTAGGCGAGCCCCCGATCGTAAGCACCGAATCAAAACTGCAGGAGAGTGAAAGAGAATAGATGTGTTGTTTTGCACGTTATTGCAGCCCTATGAAATTACTGCAGCATTATGGGAGACTAAGCATGCGCATGTCGAATTACACCTCAGCTGAACGAAATTCAAAATGGCGTAGTAAATCGATTAGGCAACTACTACAAAATGTTTCATAAAATAAGATCTTTCATCCATGAGGCAGTTGAAGCTGTAAGTCTGTGATTTTAATGATTGTAGAATTGCTCTTGTGGTACGAATTTGTGGACCCATCCGTTGTCTTGCACAGCTAGACAAGAAATTTTGAGCAATTTTCGGAGCTTGTAAACATCTCATATATTCACGTTTAAATTAAAACCTCACCATATTACTGGTAATTTTTAGCTCGCTCCTGACGTTCCTCCTCAAGAAACCTTTGTTTTCCACTGGAAGGCCATCACAAATTATTTTATAGAAGCCACAGGTAAGCCACGAAATCAATGTTTATGTTTACATGGTATACAATCTAACGTGCATATTTTAAAGATTATTACTTTTGTTTGCTTCCATGTATGCGTTTGATTAATTATCAAACGTTTCCTTTTTCATGATTGGCAGATGAGAAGGTTCCAGTGCAATCCACAAATATTCCATATCATTTGGAACAAATGTTAGATATTCTTAAGCATGAGGAAGATGACCCGTCCAGTGGAGGAACTACGGTAAATTTTAGACCAGAAATTTAATGAATTAATCTTTAGGCTAATTTTTTTTCATTAAAACGGATGCCTTAAAAATTCCATTCAATCTTTCCAGTGATTATTGTCATCCCTTTCCCAATTACTGAAGCCAACAAATTATGGTTTCCCTGTAGGAAAACTGTGGATACTCTGCATTACCATGGACTCAGAATTATGGGGATATGCTCATCATGACCCAAATTTCAGTTCCTCTTTTCACCAATTTCTGATCTTTTAAGTTCTGGACTACTTTACACATACAAAAAGATATGTTGTTAGTCATAGTATTGCTTTCTATTTTATTAGTACACAAAACATTTCTAAACACCACAACGGACAGAGGCTTGTTTTGGGTCTAGGCAGTTTTTAAATGTATATATCCTGTATAATATATCCAATTATATCAAAGGTATTCAATGGATATACCCTCCAGAATTCAGAAATAAATTACCAACACAATTGAAATCAAGAGATGATCAAAACTTCCTATAGTGAAGGCAAACTAAGACTCTCTTAGAGGCTATAAATAAACTTGTTGCTTGCTTGTTTGATTGCTGATAACACGTGCTAAAATAATTTAGAAGCAATATTTTTAAAATTATTTTGAAATTAAAATATGGTGGTGTGGTACAAGTCTTATGACTTGCATTATTCTGAACAAATTGCTTAATCTAGGAAAGGACTAATATGTAGACTGCCAGTACCAAGTTTAGGCCTCTCAGTCATCAATATCTCAATTCATTTGAATAAGATTAATATTCACTTAAAATGGACAGAGACATACTCAAACCCAGCTTTGACAATGGTGTTAGTGCAAGGGAAATGCTTACACTTTGGTTCATATGGGCTCTGTTAGGTTCTTGAGGTTCTGGTGTAAAAGTTTTTTGCAGGGGAATTGAGTACAGCTGTGTAGTGTATATGTATTTTCTTGGACTCTGTCTCATGCAATTTTGTTCTTTTTTGCATTGATTTATCTTGAGTTTGAGTCAGTGATGGGCCATAGGTTTTAATGTATTCTTTTCTGGCAAATAGTTTTCTTCTTCATTTCTTTGTGACATTTTTACTTTTTTTCCTCTTTAAGGGTCCTTGTCTGGAATATCTTTTGCAGCATAAAATATTGGACACTCTTCACACTCTTGGCAGAGCAGATGTAGGTATCTTATGACATTTCCTTGAGGTAATCTGAGAGAGAGACCTCAGTGATAACTCATACAATGTATCTCTCACAAACAACTTATGTCAATCGTACCACTTGGACATCTAAAATCACTAATCATATGGAATTGTTTAAATTTGAATCTTAAAGCCAATAAAATTATGACAAACTGGAAAATCAGTTTTTAAAAGCAAAGCTGAAAACATTCAACTGAGCGATCACTTTTTATATGGAAAAAAGAAGTATGGGGCTTTTCACTTGTATAAAAAAATCATGATGGTATTTCTAGTAAGCCTTTTTTGGTAGGCTATAGAATCAACTCAATGCATGGAATCAGTGTAGCTTTATGTTTCATTATTTTACACTTCATAGGATTAACAGAGCTGATTTATGCATTTTGTTGTCAGTTTGTTACATATTCTTTGGTAATTTCTACCTTCATATCAAATCTTCTGGGATCCTTCATGTTTTAGTGTCCTCCTGGGATGAAACAAAAAGTATTGCTGTTTTTTGCAAACCTGCTGGCCAAGATGAAACAACCTCTTCTACCACATATAAATGTTTATCGTCCAGTTCATGTAAGTTTGGTTTTCCCTTACAAGTTTTTGTCAAAATTAGTGGGTATTAAATATTTTTATATACAACCCTGTGGTATCTGCTTATGTAAGAGTATGTTCAAGCAAACTTTGACTGTTGATTTGTTAATGATGATTATTGTGTTGAGGAATTACCAGTTAGTATAATACATTATTTTCCAATTTCTCTTTAGCATGATGTTTTTTGAAAAAGATATGGATCTTGTATATGCACTGTAATATAATATATAGATCTCGTCTTTAGATTTTCATTTTCATTATTTTCAATTCTATTTTTTCTTTTTGTAACTCAGAGACTAATCAGACTCTGTGGTGAGGTGAAAGCTGCTCCTTCTGAAAATGAAGAAATCCATTTCTTATGTGTTGTATGTGCAAAGTTACGACAAGATCCATACTTAGTGAACTTCTTTCTTGAGGTGAGCTGAATACAAACTCACTCCCTAATCCATATTTTTCATTACTAATGAAGGCAAGAGTACCAAAATTGACTTTAACCCTTTAACCAATAAGAGTGACTGGCTTCGCATTTTTTCCTTAGAGTATCACCCTTGAGTAAAATATAAAAGACAGATGAATTATGGTAGATTTTTAAAGTTGTCCATGTTTTAAAATTTGATAAATCTCTGAATTAAATTGCGCTCTCTTATCTGATAAAACTCTGGAGTTACATTTATGAGTCAGTATCTTTACCTTTACATGATAATTAACAATTTTAGTGAGATCTCAGTAAGTTCTTAATGCTGGCAAATTGCTTTAAATATTTTAAGTGTCTACAGCTTGGTTTTACATGAAGTCATAGAAATTTTTCATTTTTATTATACATGTATTCTTTGGCTGCTTGCTGAGCTGGCATAATAAAAAAAAATCTTGTTTTGTGGTACTTTTCAAATTATTTGGTGTAAACTTGTTTCTTTTAATAAACCCTCCTTTTACTAAGCTTGATTGGTTGAGGTGGCCAGATAGTGGCCATGTACAATTTTGCAAACCTAGCAAATATCTAATAATCTTGAGCTCAAGCTCGTTCAATGACACATATTTCTAACTGTGTCATTGTGTTGCATTCTAAGGGTTTCTGGTACTTCTGATACTCAATGTTACACATGACACCCCACTTTTATCTACATGTATAAGCGATAGGTGTATTTTTTGAACTGTCTTTTCCTGTTCTCAGACAAACTCTACTCCTACACCTTTTTTGTCTTCCCATGCTGGTGAGCCGGTAGGAATGTCTTTCTCTTTATTCTCAGACACCAATCATCCATGGTATATCAGGTTTATCCTTCACCTCCTGGCATACATGTACAAATACTAACTGCTTGTTCTATCATTGTTCTATCATTGTTCTATTATCTTACATGTGTGAATATCACTGGTATATAAAGTAAATGATACATTTGCTTGTTATAAACTAATTTACCCATCTAACAAACTATTTGGGATAATCCCATGCATGAAACATGTGCTGAAGAATTAAAATGGAATTTTAGAAACTAAGAGTAACTTAGCATCCCATGTGAGGTGGCTAAAATTTTCAAATGACATTAAATACTTCTGTCACTATACAGTTGTATCATTGTTTATGGATACAGTAACCCTCAGCTAATACCTTGTTAAAGATTAAACATTAAAATGCATTATAATTTTTTGTGTGTAAAGTGATTGTTTTACATCACATTTAACTCAGTGTTTGAGACACTTTCAAAATATTTGTGACCTTACGCAACAATTGCAACGTACATTGTTCTACAAGTCATACTGTAGGTCTCATGAAATCTGCAGTTTTCATTGTTATAAGGAGTAAGGATGTGAGAAAAAAAAGTAGGTTTCTCAGCGCAAACTTGAGTTAAAGTTGAACCATATAAATACAAGCCCATTATTGATTCTTTCCAGGCACTAGCTTCTTCTCCAGCATCAACAGCAGACTTAGATTCCATGTCTGGTCCAGTGAAGGCCCAAGGACGTGATAAACCAGATTATACACTGGTTAATTCTCTACTTAACTTGTCAAAGAGTGAGGTAAACATCAAACTTTTGAACTTCTTTTTTTTTTTTAATTATTTTGAAATTACTTTGTATTCTCCTCTCTGATCCTCTTGTCAATCAAAAAAACTTGAATGAATAACTACATTGTTCTGGTGAAAAGACACAAATTCCTTGTATACAAATTTGTAATAAAGCTTTACGCCAACTCTTCTGTGCTCTGTTCAGCACTCATCTTTTTTTCATAAGCTGTTTGCAGCACATTTTCATAACAAAATGTTACTACTGTTTGTTGCATTGCAGGATAGTAGAATAGCAGTGAAAGCTTGTGAGGGATTAATGCTGTGTGCCTCCCTTCCTGAGGATCATGCAGCTACTGTAATTATCCTGTACACTCCATTCTGTGAAGTTATGGTTAGTTCATAATATACTTTTTTGCAATGTGTTATGCTATATTACATCTTTTGCTCTAACTTTGAGACTTTCACCAAATGTTAACATGATAATTATTTTCTAACCATTTCAGGCAGACAGACTAAAAGTATTATTTGATGCCTTGCCAAAAAATATAGAGCCACTGGATATTTCTGCTGTTGCTGCCAAATGGGGGTAGGTCTTTGACTTCAGTAGCTACACAAAATCTATGACTGTGACAGGGTTCCTAACTAGAACAGCTTGCATCATAATTATTAATAACATCTTTTATTTTTGGTCAGGCTTGACCATCAGAGTGATGATGAGGATGTTTCATCATTCCCTGGCAAGAGACGGTTGATCTCATTTTTTTCTTGGTTGGATTATGTGGATCAGCTTTCCAAAGAGGCACACAAGGTTTGTAAGCAAAATTGAGCACTTACAGTGATTTCTTTTAAATCATGAAAGCACAGTATTAAGTGCAAACAATGTCTCTTTCAAGGTAGGAAAAATAATATTTAATGCTGCTACAAAATCTGTGCATTGTTTTCTAAATTTTGTTTTTCTCTGATAGTGGTACTAATTGGCAAGTAGGATTATCAATTTTTCAAAATTTCTTTTGCCACAGTGTGTATTGATCAATAAGCTAAGAACAAGTAGCCCAGATTTATAAGATGGTGTTGAAAAATTGTTGTGTAGTTTTAAAACTGACATTTTAGATCCATAGGCATGAGATCCTTGGATGATTCCTGATTTTTACACTGGAGATAATCAATGTTTGTTGTAAAATAATTTTAAAAAATCCATAATTTACATGGTGATCCATCATTGGCTAGAAAAGAGTTGATAACTCTCATGATTTGTACAGTATGGTACTAATGCATCTGTATTGTTACTGTTTTATAGCTTGTGGCCAAAGCTTTAGCAGTAGGTGTGAGAGAACGTTTTCTACAGACAGTTATTGAGCCAGGTCTCATTCAACAGTGAGTGTTGTTTCGCTCAATCCTTTTGTTCAAAATTTAAGGAAATTATTTTGATAATTATAGTTTCAAAAGTGTGTCAATGTTAAGAAGCTACATAAATTAATTTGTGTAGTGTTTGAATACTTATTTCAGTCACTACAACTGTATTAGACTGAGGTGTTGGAATTGAATCAAGTGAATGTATTTCAATGAGAAATTTTTCTACTATACTTTTACCAAGGTGGTATTAATAAAATTAGAAAGTCATGTTTAATACCTGTGTAAATATGTTTATAATAAGCTAAATCCAGCATGTGTATTATAATCATAGGGTCTTACTTCATACATGTACATCAGATGTGCATTGTAAAAACATATGGAGCAGGCTGTGCTAAATCTTTGTATTTTATTTCATTGTTAGATCAGAGCTTGGTATTATCACTACGACAGCTGTGTTGAGGAGATGTGTGAAAGCTCTCACTTCACCTCAACTCCTACGAGGTATCTCCTCATACTTGTACTTTGAGAACTGTGGATGTTACCCTCCTAGCATTGGAAAAACTGATTGTTACAGACTGAGGAAGTTAAAGAAAAAGTGCTCCTCAAAATTTATTTTTTCTTCAATCCATTGTTTGTAAAACCTATAAAATGATTTTACTGTGTTATGAACTAATAAGGATAATTCTGTCTACTATAGACATAAACTTTAGGTAAGTACAGCTGTAGGTAGCCTAAGATAGGTGATCACTAAGGAAGTTTTGCCACATGAATTTTAATCAGTATTTGTCTATCTTTTTCAACAGAAATGTGTATATTTCTACTTGGAGAGGAAACAACACCAGAAACTGCATTTCAAGCTGGAGATCATAAATTACGGCAGACACTTATTGAAAGATGTGATCACTTATCTGATGAGGCATGTGGATAAGATGTTAAAGTCAACTTTCAAATTTTAATGTTTTTTGTTTGCCTTATGGGCTAGTTTATTTTGGTAACCCAGGGTACTGAAGCTGCCAACTCCTTCCTTGTTTCATTATCTATTTTCAGGTCAGTATAGAAACACTAAAATTGTTTGAGACATTACTCGACAAACCCTGTGATATGATTCTAGACAATCTTGTACTCCGAAACCTGAAAACCAGAAAGTATTATGCTGCGCCTACAGTTACCAATGGTGATACAACAATTCACACACCAGTGGTAGAGAGCCAAGCAGAAATTTCACCAGCTACAACTCCTGTTAAAAAACCTCCACCATCACCAACATCACCTTCCACCCCTCCACTCACTCCAGATGGGTTAGGACCAGGACAGATTGGTAATGATATTGACAGAGAAGAAGTGGAACAAGTTGTAAATAGGTACATTAAAAAAAATCTATATGGCAATAGTATTTGTACAGATTTTCACACCATATTTTTGTCTCTATTAATGGTTTCTGTAACAGTTTTATTTCCCTAGTTCCTGATGAAATAAAAACATCAGCACTAATTGGTGATGCAGGCTATGACACATACTTGAGAGATGCCCACAGACAGGTAAATAGTTGAAGTTACTTCAATTGCATTACGTTTCTTTTTAATTACTTATCTGGAGAATCCCTGTTTTTTTTTTCTTAGTTTTCTTTTTCTTTTTCATAGTGTAATCAGCGTGCTTTACAGACAGGTGCATTTGGTTGGCCCTCAACTCCAGTGCCCCCTCATGGTAAATTGCTCAAGTTATCTCAACCTATACTGAGTTTGTGTGTTCATGAACATGTATATGTGATTATCTTTTATAAATCAAAGTGCAATGAACTTTTCTATCATGTACTAATTGAGATTTTATTTAAAGTTTTGACTTTTTTTTTTCCAAGATGTAGAAGACAGCAGAGAGAACTTTTACGAAGGGGCATTCTTGAGTATGCTCTTCAAGAAACTACAGAGATTGTTAGATCAGGTATTTTATTTGATCAGGCTAATCATGATTAAATTATTTATATTAAGTACATCAAGGTGGTGAACAGAGCTTGAAGATAGTGATAGCCAGTGTGAAGCGGATGTACTTGAGATCAACATTGGATGTAAGGTGAAGTGGGTTCATTGTGTAATAGAGGATTCATATCGTGAGGAGGTATCAAGGATATCAGCCATCTCATCCCTCTACGCCAAGAAAAATTGATAAATATAAATCTATATTAATTATTTGAACATCATGACATGCCCCTAGATGCAAATGGTGACCCCCTACCTGACTACACATCCTGTGTTAGGAAGAATAAAGAAGGACACTTCTAGGTTATAGCTTTTACAGTGATTGTAATGTGTAAGTTTGTGGCTACTTAAAATCTGTGTTTAGATTGTTATTTGAAAGTAGGTGTTTTGACAGATATAAAAATAACAGTTAGATTCCTTTTTTTGACAGCCATATGATGTGAACCTCCAGGTTACAAGTGTAATAGCATTGTTATCACAGTTCAATCATCCTCAACTACAAGAATTCCTACTGAATGCTTCCCTGCCTCTGTCACCAAACTGCCACTCTCTTCATTCAACTCTTCAAAATGTGAGTACTAGAAGGTATAATGTATATTTGAAACTTTATGATCAGTCAAATAATATTTGAACTTGATTTGTGTGTCTTGAAAGTCAGCAAAAAAGTGAGTGAAGTCTTTTTACCCTCTTGGTTTTCTTTACTTGTAATTTTTGGTTAATCTTACCTCTATCTAGTTTGCTTTCATGATTTACTAAACATAACCTTTTCTAAATGTTCAGTTAACTTGAAAGTTTCATGTCTCATAGCAGAAGTTAAGAGGAGAAATTAAGCTGGTATGATTTTTTTTTTAAATATGAAATAATGTTTGTATTACTCAATCCATTTATTATTTGTAGGTTGTTCAAGATCTGAGAGGCAGAGTACAAAGACTACCCAACTTTCAGAGAAATGTTGTTGCTATTAGGAGACAACTGATGGGCCTTGCCACATCACCTGAGCATAAGAGGTACGCAGCCTACATGTATGCATTTTAACTCCTAAGAGTGACTGGATCTAATCTCTCCTTACAGTATCACTGCTGAATCAACAGTTAAGGTCAAGTCATGAGAATAAGGAAAATTATCAAAAACTATAGAAGCTCTTGATTTTCAACCAAATTATCCTTGTCAGTACAATAGGAAATTTATAAGAATATAGATATTGATGTGAAGGTGTAAAGGGTTAACTTGTACAGAGTAGCAGTATGTTATACTGGCGGCCAAAGTAACTTATTCTTTTATAAGCAGTAGAAAAGTTATTTTCATTTTAATCTTTAAAGAGCCAAGTGTTAGCTGTGACCATACTTGTAACAAAATCAAATACTACTTTTCATGATGCTCTATGATTATAGTGTAGTCTCTATTAATCATCTATGTCAACAAATTAATTTACTGAACCATTTGGGTTGATATTATTTAAACAAACTACTGTTATCATTTTGTAGTCTCAGTGAAAGCAACCTCCTTGAAGCTGCAATAGTACTAGAGGAATTTTGCAAGGTGAGAACATGTAGAAGAGCATACATTTATGTAGCATTGTTTGCAATGTTTGGAAAGGCATGGGGACAAGAAAAACATATATATGGCATGTTTTCAATGATTTTGTTCTTCCTTTTGTCCGATTTATGTGCAACAGTACAAAGTTAGTGAGGAATTTACCCTTAACCCTTCAATTCCTAGAAGTAGTCAACATGTAACTTCTCCCTGTAATATCCACACATTATTCAGCAAACAGGTAATGAGAATACTCAAACTTACCAGGTAGTAGTTATCCCGGTCTAACACTGAATTCTCACAACTAACTTATGTAAGGAAATGTGTACCAGCTAGAGGGGAGAATTAACACTCAGATCTTGGGATTTAAAGGATTAAATACCCAAGATCCAGTAAGCAATTCTTCCTTCTAACTACCATTCATTGCTTTGTGAATTAGACAAATAAATGTGGTTTAATTTAACTAGAACATTTCATGTTGCCGCATATCTGTTCAGTAGTAGATCACAGATGACCTTAAAATGTGGTGAAAACCCAAAAAATTGGCACAAGGTACAACCAAGTGTCTCACTGATGCAACCTTCCCTCCCTAGTTATGAATAAAATGAATACTGTCATGTTAACCTTCATATTAATAAAATAGTTCTACCTTTTGAAACAGGAATTGGCAGCAATTGCATTTGTTAAAGCAACAGAGAGGGTACAAGGCCGATGACAGGATGACTAGTTGATTGCATGAAAACAGTAACTTGTGTATATCAATAAATATAGATCTAGATAATATATTTGTGGCTTTATTGTTTGGTTCCCTTTTAATGGAAAGATATGGGACCAACCCCATGGATTTGGGGATATATAAAGTTACAGGATGTGTTCAGGGGGGGTTTACTTTGTACTGGCTTTTTTTGCAAACTTAGGTAACCAAGAGAGGAATCACCTTGAGTTTATTAGAGTCTACACATAATTTCAAATGAGTTGTATTCATTTCAGTAATAGTTACTGAAGTATGTTTGAAGTGTGTGTATACCCCAGGGCTGTTGGATTTAGTCTCTGCTGTTTCTGTGGGTGTGATCTTAACAGTAGTTGTAAAGGGATTATTTGTCTCATTCAAATTGATCATCAAACATTTGTCATGTCTTTTTTGTGGTTGTCTATGCAACCTGCAGAGAGTGATAAATTAAGACACATTGTATATGCACCAAAATGATTAATTTTCAAGTCATTTAGAAGGTTCAAATTGGCTTGAAAAGAGATATTGAATTCCAGAAATGTTATACAACATCAAATTTTGTACATTGGTTTCAAATAGTGAAAATTATTTCTGTACTTGGTTGAAACATTCTTTTATGGGGATTAACCAGGTACCAGTAATATATTTTTCATAATGTGGTGTAGGTGATCCATAATTACATACAATGCAATGATTCCTTAACACTTGGATGAGGCTAAAAAGAAATAAAATGGTAGCTAATAGTAATTGGGAGTTGTCTACTTTACAAGGATTTTCTGGAAATGGAAAAGGATGATGGTAAATTTTAAGTTGTTGAGGAACTAAGTAGCAGTTTACAAAGAATCCTCTCTTCAGTATAATTAGGAAGTCTAAAGGGAGATATAAATTATAATAACACTACACTTGTCATCAAACTTTATCTTACATTCTTAATTTTAAGTTTGGTTTTATTCTCTTAAAGGTGAAAAAGTTGAAATATTTAATAATAGTATTATTAAAAAGATTATCTTCCACACATCTTGCAACTATATTATGTACTTCAACTGTTGGAGATATTTGTAATAAAAATGTTTACCAGGAACAAGACAAACATGTGTGATGTCTTTTCTGTTTTGCAACACATTTTTAGCAAAAATGTATACTATTACGTTTTCACATGCACAACTGTACATAGAAAAAGTATGCAAAACTCAAGATTCCAATCTCAAGGAAGTCTTTTAGTGTGTAAACTCATAAACTTTGGATTCATTTATTGATCTTGAATTTGTTTATTGAAAAGGTGTTCTAAAATCGCACTTTGAGTAGTGGTAGAAACTTCCTGCTCTTCTTTGATTAGTCACTCTTCCTCCCCTTGAATAGATCAACTTTCTCCTTTTGGTAGTGAGAAGGCTTAAAATGATACACATTTTAAGATGAGGCACCTGCTTTGAATTTAGTTGTCTTCTGCCTTACAATGCACTACCAAACACATTGACCATGTGTGACAGCTCATTCCCTCATAATTTGCTTTTTATTTGAATCATTTTACCAATTTATGGTAGTTTTGAAACTTCCTCTAGTGAGTTTCTGGAACTGGTTGATAGGGAGTGAGATGTGTGAAATTATGTTGCCTAGTTGGTTATCCTTTGGATATTTTCTTGCACTGGGCTTCCTAAATAGACAGCTTGTGAAGTGAAGAACTGTAGGAAATTTAATATTAATCAAATTTATTATGTGCCAAGACAGATGTAAAAGCCCTGAACAAAAATTTACCCCACAACTTCAGGTTCAAGGGTGAACTTGAGATGCTTATCCCCTCTCTTTACTTCAACCTCAAAGGTTTCTCCTCTGTTTACATGTCGGTACACTTCTTTATTGGACACTATTTTGTTGCCATTTATTTTTGTTATTATATCACCAGGTAGCACACCAGCCCTGAAAGAAATAATTAAAACCATCTTAAAATCATATGTATCTCAAGCATTAGTCTAAAATAAAATCTTTGCCTTCATCTCCAATTGTAGGTAAAAAAGTCTTCCTGGTTTATAATTGAATGGTTGAAAGAGAAAACCTATTCTTGAGTTTTATAATCCCAGAATAACAAGCACTACAACTAAGTGAAAGGTGAGTTGGAGCACAAGAAGTTCAAGCCATAGCACCTTTCCTAAAATGGCTTCCAAATTAAAGATGAATAATTTTGACATGAAAATACATGATCTGGATATTGTGTTCTGACCAATGTGCCTCACTATATCAAATAAATTTGTGCTTCGAGTCCAACAAAGATGGTATAGTTCTCAAAACCCCTGACTGTATATCCACGGTTCCATAATTCCCCATTTATTGTATTCCTGCATTTTTGCAGATATGAAGTCACTATTTCACAGCTGAAAAACAAAATCAGGGTGCTTATTCAGAAGCCAAGTTTCCTCAGCCACAATTTTTGGAGAAGGATTTAATCCAACAATTTTTTCAAAATCCTACCTATGTGCTGGTGATCCATAGTTAACTTGTGGAATAAACACTCCAGATTTCACTTTATTGAAACTTTGGTCCCTTCGCCGCAGTTGCTCCAGTATCTGTGGAGTCAGTGTCAACATGCTGACACCAATATACCAGCGTTCATATGGAGCCAGTTGTCTCTTCAAACTTTTGTTCTGTGTGAGTTTACCACTCTTAAATCTCTCTATTGCTTGTGATAGAAACTCTTTAGCAGTGTCAATAGGTATGGAAAATGAAATTCCACTAGCAAATCTTACAGTTATTGCATTGATACCAATAACATGACCATCCTAAAACAAAACAAAAGTCTTGTCAGGAACTGGTATCTCAACTAACAGTAAAAAATTATGTTATAAATGCAGTGCCCATTCAATTTACCTACAATGTAAAACCATCAGGCATGCACACAAGGTAATCAGTTTGTTGAGGTGGTGAAAGGTGGTTGCAGTAATGAGTTTATGGAAATGAAGGTTTGCACTTGGAAAATAAAGAAAGATTTGGTGTGCCATAGACAACTACAAAGTGATTGGGGACAAGGCTGTGTGTGTGTCTAAGAAGGAGGTGTAAGATAAACTGTAATCTCCTTAATAATAATATGAAGAGCCTTGTAGTGATGACGTTTGTAGTTTACATTTTAAAATTTTAATCTATCCTCTGTTTTACTGAACTACATGTAGAGAGCAAAGGAAACATTAGTGAAAAAGAAAAAAAAACACCATGACTATGGAAATATTCATGTTCATTCAGGTCTGCAGTTGGTTAGTATACATAAATGAACACAAAAAGGATTCAATAAAGGGTAGTAGCATAACCATTATAAAAGAGGTGGAATGGTAGAGTTTTACCGACATGACTAAATGATATCATTCTACATAAAACAAAGAAAGACATGGCTTGAAATAGTAATTAACTTCTTTTTAATAAATATGACCATTCATACAAAGCCAAGTGAAGATCTCTGATTTAAGGTATAAAACATGGAACAGGGAATCTTATTGATATTATTGTTCATGATCTTAAGGATTCTTCCAAGATCATCAAACTCTTTTCTCTATGTCTTAATACTCACCAGATTAACCAGAGGTCCTCCTGAGTTTCCAACCTTAAGAAAGAAACAGATTCAACTTAAAATCAGCCTGATAATCAAAGTGTAAATAAAATTTTTATGGCTCCTCAAGGCTTCAAGCTTAACTTTTTTCAAAGTCACCATTTGACCACCTAAAATCCAAGAAAGGTTACCACAGTGATTTAAGAGTAAAGTGATTACAAAAAGTTGAAAACAACATCATGTACTGTAAGTAAAAACTTCCATTTGTTGGAAATCAAATTACATTTATTGCTGCATCTGTCTGGATATATTCCATCTCTGGGTTTGGAAGTCCAATCTCTCCACCTGCACGATGCACTGTACTGACAATCCCAGCTGTTATAGTGTTACTGAGCTGGAGAGGGCTGCCCATAGCTACAACCCACTCTCCTGGTCTAATTGTAGATGATGAACCAAGGGTAAGTGTTGGGAATTTAATATTCTAGAATAAAGATGAGAGAGCCTGCATGAAGTATTTATCTTATTATTAAGATATACTGATAAACAAACCTTACATGTTTGTTTGTTTGTTATGTTATCACTCTGATTGGCTGAAAAAAAAATGCAGTTTCCAGTTAACACAATGCAGAAGAGAGGTTATTCAGGCCAGAAAAGGGTAGTAAATATTCAGCTGGGGTCTCAACATAAAGAAAATTGTTGGTTTGATTGAACACAACTTTTGTGGCCAAGTAACACATATAAAATTTGCAGGGCTAGAAATTATTATCTAAACATTATATCAGCCCACTTTGCCGCTGCATAATTTATTATGTTATCAACATGTAATCACAATTTTTCATGTGCAATTTGGAATTAATAAGCACTAATACACATTTTAAAAGACTGCTGGCCCTATCAACTCATGCAATTTTGTTTGTTATTGAGAAAATTTCTTGAGCTATTATCCACTAAAAGCAACGCAACCCTAAAAATGTAAATTTTAGATAAGTTTGTACCTTATCCGACTCTAGCTGCACGACTGCCAGGTCATTTTCAAAGTCAAGATCTACAACAATGCCACTAAATTCCCTTCCATCCTTTAGCTTCACAGTCACTTTTGCAGCATTCTCTACGACGTGTGCATTTGTCAGAAGCATACCGTCTTCAGTTACTATAAACCCAGAACCCGAGCTAGTGGGACCTGTGTGTCCCATGAACCCGAATCCCGCGCGTCGTCCCGTGATTTCTATGTACACAACAGCGGGTGCAGCTTTTTCCACAGCGTCTGCAATAAAGTTGAACGTTGCAGATCGTGGGGGTGATCCAGAATCGGCTGAATTTACCCCATCCTGAAATTTTGTCTTTGCTGCAACCGTCAGGCTACGATTACCAGCCAGTTCATTCTCTCTGTGCCTGGATAACAGATATCCAAGGGAGAAACCAACAGCTAATGAACCCAATAAAGTCCAGGGAAATCGTTTACCCATTTCGTTTGTTTCTATACTAAATCTCCTACACAGAGGCCGAATTTCTCTCTCTTGCCATCGATGTGAAGGCCACAGCACTTCTCGACATTTAGGCCATCTTCTCCACATACCCTGAGCCGCCATTTTGATGAAGAGTATCAGGAACCACCCTTCCCCGGAACGATTGCGTCAAGGCGGGCCCTGGGAACTAAGGAAGAGTCTCACTAGTAGTTGTAGTAGTAGATCTTTATTTAAACTCGGTTAAGAATCTTCAGTTATACTAATAGTATTTTAATTACAACCATCTGTAAAAATTTAAAATAACTATAAAAAATGATTTACAAGATTGCCGAGTGGGAATCGAATGTTTCAAGTGCGCGGTTGATTTCCTTCTTAAACTGCCCAATTGATCTAATCGCCCTAATATTCTCTGGAAGAGAATTCCACAGTAAGGCACCGCTATAGCCAAAGCTACGTTTCAAATAGTCAGTGCGCGGCTTGGGTAAGTTTAACTTACGGAACGAATCACGCAAGTCATAATCTGTGTGTTGTTCACTGAATAAATCATGCAAGTACACTGGGGCTAACCCGTTGAGGGATTTAAACATCATTATAGCTTTCTGCTTTCTTCTTCTTAATGATAGCTGGTCCCACTTCAAAGTTTCAAGAAGCAGGCTTGAGTTTACCTCACAGTTGGCTTGTAGAATAACCCTAGCTGCTCGGTTTTGCAATTTTTGTAGTTTCTCACATAGATAAGAACTCAATCCATCCCAAACGGGGGCACAATAATCGAAATAAGGTTGGATTAAAGCGTTATATATTTGTACTGCAGTGGACTGAGAAATGAGGGACCTAATGCACCTCAGAGCACCTATTGCCGAGGATATCTTTCTGCATAGTTCTTTGATGTGATTAGACCATGAAAGGCGGTCATCAATAATCAAATCTAATGATTTGGCATGCTCAACCCTGCAAATTGGGTAGCCATCTAATTGGATATTAATCTCACTACAATTTTCTGCAAGAAACTTTTGACGAGTGGACCATCAATAGCATTTAAGTAACAAAGGGAATACATTACAAAATTGTCTCAAATACATCCACCATTGTATTTTCCCCCTTCACTTCTTCAGCGCATCTATTCGAAAATTGGCCGGAAACGGACGGAGCGCGCGGCGCAGGCGCCTATCAGCGATTACTCACGGCAAACAAAAATAATAATTCAAGAGGACATGTGCCTACAAAATGTCTCTCATCTCTCTCGTGCTCATTCGGTCGGCGCGTATGTACTTGGGTGTTATTTATCCCTCACCGCCTTTCGCACTTTGTTTTTTTTTCCTTTTTTGTATGGGATTTTAACGTCATCCCGGCTTCTGACACGATCTCGGCGATATATCCTGAAGGGGAAACCACAGCGTTGTCCTGAGCCACACCAGCGATGCAATTTCCTGTTAATTTTTTTTTTTAATTTGATTTATCCAATTTAAGTCTAAAATTGATTTTAAGTGCAGAAGCCACCAGATTAAAAAAGGCACATTCAAGTTTTAAGGGGAATAAAAATAAAAACGGAACACGGAAAGTGATAGACATGAAAAAGGAACGGCGAAGTGAATGTACGTAACGGATTCAAAAGTCACCGCGAAAGTACTAAGGTTCTTGAAACGCAGTAAAACGAGCCAGTGTAATACAAGAGAAAAAACCTTCGTAACAGCTACCAGCCCATCAATCTTTTCAGCATTTTTCATTTCTATCCAAAATAAGCGAACTAGTGTTTTAAGAAGGCACCCAAAAGGAAAGGGTTATCATTTCGTCAAGAGTAATTTGCGAACAGGCCCTCATTATAAGTGCTTTGGTACGAGTGTTTCTTCACCCGCCAGAAAGTATCCGACGACAAGAGGTCAGCAAGGGGTCTAGCACTTTAAAAATAAGTCCAAACCCCTCCCAACTCGTCTCAAATCTTGCCGCTGGCGGAAAAACGCGCCGGCTAGCCAGCCTACAGGCTTGCTTGCTGGCTCTCGAGTATATCCTCATCGAAAAAGAACTTAAAACTCGGAGGCGGAGTATCTCCAGTATGTTCACAATCCTCGGGGAAAGATTATCGCAAAAGAAACATCTTCCACCGTTGAACAATAAAAGGTTATCAGTCAAAGATAGCAAAAAGCCGATTACCAGTACCCCTGGCACTCGCTATAATTTCGGTTATTTCAAAACGACAACCTTTAAGTTAAATGTTATTTTATAACCCTCTGAAAAAGCTGCTTTCTTAGGTGAAGAAGAAGCCATGGAAATATGATAAAAATGACAAGAATAAGAGCTCTTGTCGTAGGAAGTTATTCCTTCTCATTGTTGATATCTTAACTTAAATTCTATGGAAAGGATGCAGAAGGTTTACGGGAATAATTTTTTTTTTGGACCCTGAAAATTTTGAGTAGTTCCGCTTGATCTTCTTTTCATCAAGTTACCAAAGTTGCGACAATGAAAATATTTTTCTGGTATTCACAGTGCGCGAACCACCATGATAACTACTTTGCTTGCGCTCATTATTGACTGTTTTCAACTTTGACCTCACTAGTAGACAACCGTCACAAACGCTTTGAGTGGGGGAGGAAATTTAACAAATTCTATTAACTCTTCTGTCGACACACGCGTACATGCCCTCCAGAAAACTAGAAATTATCAAAGTGGGAGATATTTGCCGCATGGAATTTTGAATAAACGGTTATCTAATTTCCATTAACTAGCTCAAGAATGTAATCCAGACAAAGTCAATTATATTCAAAACCAGGTTCACTGAAATCGCCACGGGAATTGAAATGACTACGACTGAAAGCCTCTCTCCCTCCGGAGGTTTTCCCTGTAATTCCCATGACTGTGATTGAGGCAGAATTTCTCCTTAATAATATCAATACAATATCAAGCAGGAAATTGATGGGAATAGAGAAAAATATCAATTAAGGAATTATTAGTCGATCCAATACCAAGTTCTATGAGCTAACATTGTAAGAATTGCATTGCAGACAGTAAGGAGAATTACTAAATAGACCTTGGGAGAGAAGGGGTTAACAAAGCCTTCTCAGTGTCGTCAATAGCCTTCTCTTTGACCACTCATTTAAGGTTCTACTTTTCAATATATGTTGGTGTCAGTAATTTTGCACAGTGCTGTGCGCGGTCTTAAACCAACCCCATAACAAGAATAGTTGACACTTTGTTGACACATTTTTTTCATCAGTTGCAATCACCGCAGGATATCGATAATCCTCTCTGAATATACCTTACGAAATTAAGAAAAATTGAGAATAATCTATCTTAAGCCTTAGGGCCCACTAAAATAGACCATCGTATTTAGTTTGGAAAATAGAGAACAACTTCCCTTCGCGCTGCTTTAAAGGTCAAGGAAAGTCTCACGTATGTTCAAGTGGATCCTTTTCTCTGATACTTACTGAGTTATCAAGGTGTTATGCAGTCACGTATCATTTATTCCTCCAGTAAACATCCTCAGAGATTTTACCCAATCTTGATCTCTGAATGATAAGAAAAGAATCGATTAAAGCAGAAGTACTAATTCATCCGTATGGCTCGGTAAAACAACTAAACGTTTTCCATGGGAAGTAGTAAATGGCCTTATCAAGAACTGGCCCAAAACCCAACTTCCCTATCTGATGAAGGGCTAACTCGCGAAATGTCAGCTTTAGAGACTCGTTACGATGGCCAATTCACATTATCATCTCAGTTGATTAAACCAAATTGTCTTTGCTATCTACAGTTTGGGAGTATAATACGGAACAACGCATCATTCTTCACTGTTTTATGTTCCATAACCATTTGTTACTTATCTAAGGAATTTTTGTTAACTGATCCTGAAAAAATGCTCCACGAATTTAACATTCTTGTGAAGAAAATAAGAAAGATAGTAAATTTTAACTTAAGCCGTCGAAAAAAAGAAAGATTTTACTGGTTTTGTCCATCGCGTGTGACAAGTCTGAGTCCCCCCCCCTCCCAAAACCGGGCTTTCGACCCCTTCTCATTATTCTACTTCATTTACACGCACAACACTTTCGTTTTGATACGACCTTGCCATCGGGTATCGCGCTCCTATGCTTTATCACTGAGTTAGAGAGAACTCGATTGCTATAGGTTAGCTCATTTATTATCAGGTTCATACGTTCCAAGTGTGTGGGGTTCGATTCCCCAACGAAGTTGGTGTCTGGTGACCCTCGGTTTATGGTGAACCCAAACCTAAGGCATTGTAAGTTAGCCATGGGTTTGATCAGACTTGATGTACGGCAGACATTGCACCGTCCTCACGAGAGCTTGGCCGTTCACCTCAAACACACACTCACAAGAAAGGTTCAAGCGTCCTACATAATGCAAGAAACAGCAATGGCATTCCTGTTGCGCTCTGTTGCGCACTCGAGATGTTATCGATGTTTTTTTTTTATATATTTGAAGTGTTATTGATGAAGAGTTTATCTCGGAACTATCATTTCTTCAACCAAAAGAATGTCTGGTAGAGATGGTACTATGCTATTTATCGCTTTCTTCTGGGTGGGCGCCCTTAAAACGCGATTGAAAAAATGTCGCAAAAATGACAAAAGAACTCCTATAATGTATATCCACAAGTTTATTCCGGTAATTTGTTGAAATCATATTTCACATGCAGGAAGTAGTTGGCAAACGTGTAAAGACACTAAAAATTGACTACTCCATCAATTAGCGGTCATAGAGTTCTCTCAAGTGGACATGGACAATTATTTGTGTTATGTACCTTTGGCCCTTGCGTGGACAACGAAAGCGCACAGAAATATAATAATGAATTAATATGGTTAGGTTGATCGAGAAGCTAACATAATATAGGGGAGAAAATATGTGGTAATAAACTTTCGGAGATTCTGTAATTAGGAAACAGGTCAGGTTTCTGATGATGTTAATTATAAGATGTTTAGACGGTGTTAACTTTTCACACCCAGGTTCGCGATGGAGACTATGCAGCTTAAGTTATTCCGTGAGGTTATCGTGGAGAGCGATTCAAGTGCAATAAAGAGTTTCCAATTATTTGAATACTTTCTGCTGGCTAACATAACACTGGTAATGCAAGTCTTTTTTCTTTGGTCTTTCTCTTCACAGTGATAATGTTCCCTCGCATTTGTTTTCCAGCCAAAAAAGCATAACCATAAAAGCTTTCACTATGTCTAGTTTGCAAGAAACATTCGTTTCCTGTAGTCATCTTTCTAGGTATTTGTGTGGGTTATGCCATTCTAGGAATCCGCCTTTTGGTGGTTTGAAAATGATCACTGTTTTTTCGAGACCGACATGTTCCCATTTTTACTTACTTGGGCTGCGCAACTGAGCAACAAATTAATATTAGCATGATGCCATCCCTTTATTTTTATCTTATCCAGAAACAAACAAAAAAAATACTAGAGCCAAACATGACTTCGTCGCGGAAAATAGAGGACATTAACATCTTTCGTGTATTTTCCGCCCAGATTTCAAATGGAAACTCGAGAGACTTTCCTTGAAGGATATCAGTGCAAGGAAGGAAGTTTACCGACAAAACAAAATTAGCATTAGCTTACAAAAATCTATTGTCGTTGACTTTTGAAAACAGAACATAACCTCCCTAAGTTCACATGCATTATTCCTCACTGTTCAGTGTTCCATACACTATTGTCCCCTGAGTGGGAAGTTGTGCCGATCAATATCGTACGTTTACTTCAGTCGTTCGCAAATCGTGATCATGTTCTCAGATAAACCCCACTCTAAGTTAAGAGGCCAGAAAAGGATCCGACCAAGCTCTAGTACACACACCTCTTCCTAATAGTCAAGTGAAGCATTTATCAACAGAACCCTAGTTACACGGCACCGCCGACATTTCATTTGCTTCAGGCTAGTCACCTGGATGGTCCTCCAGGATGGTCTCTATCTTTCGGCTTTGTCCCACAAGGGGAAGCATACAGGAAACTTTACTTTTCAACCAGTCAGGAAACCAATACAAATATCCTTACGTCGTTTTAATTGCATTTCGAAAAATTGTTATGATGTCCGCTTGTTTTAATCCATCAAAATAGATTTACACTTTTGACTTTAATGCCAAGATCTGTTCCGACAGAGAGCTAATTTGAAAGTTTCCCGCACAATGCGTACAGCTGCTAGCAAGTATCGTCAAATCCGTTTCAGGCGTTCAAGAATAACATCAGTTTTATAGCTGCTCAAGTTTTTATCTAACTTCTAAATAGGTCGACCTAAAGGTACAGTAACCCTAAAAAGTTGATAAAACTAAAGGGAATCTGATGATTTGAACCACAAATATGCAACTTTTATATCTCGATTTCGTGATGTCGACAGATCTTCTTAAGTCCCGCAACTTCATTACACCCGACACTGTGTGTGGCATGAAATACGGACAATAATAAATGAATAAACGAAAGAAATATCGCTACAACGACCTTCCAGGCGAACAACACTTTCTCGATGAGGTTAAATAAGCCATCTGCGCGTTATCTCCTTAGTTGTTCAAGCTTTGGAGCCGAATATAAGTTTCCTGCGCGATCATTTTTGTTTGGAAGTTCCTGGGTTTTTTTTTTTTTTAACGATTCCTCTCGTATTCTTCCTTTCCTTTCTTTCTGCTGTTACGAGTACAGTACGTTCAGTTAGCGAAGTTATGAGAAAGAAGCGTGAAAAAATTGACAACTGTGGTAGCACTAACACAGAAGAAGAATTTCCGCCTTTGGAATTTCATGTTGCGTGCCTCAGCTTATCAGTAGTGTATAAGCTTGTCTTAAGAAAACATAGCCCAGACTACCTATGGTTGGCCGCCACTCCTATCGGTTTTATCACATCAATTATTTGGCCGTCACACAATCACCTGATAGTGTTATCACTCAGTTTGCTTTATTATTAATATTAATTACAATTAAATTCAATTTATTTACAATTCGCTGGCAATATACCGTTTTAAAATATGTTTCCTTGAACATAAAAAATGCAAAATTCTTTACAACCCCGAGTAAGTTCTTAATGCTGCAAGGTTCTTAATAAACCGCCCCATAATTTACATAGCATTTTCCAAAATAAAGTCAGCGTTCTCGAAAATAAATCTCTGAATATGTCGGTCGCAACGCGACGATTATTCAGTCTACAAACCAATGCACCATGACATTAAGTGGTGTCGGTGAAAACGGCTGGAGATTATCATTGTTGTTGAAGTTGACGAAGAGATTCGATTCGGCCGCAATATTAAGGGCCCCTACTCGCACTTACGACTTTTACGTGAATTCTCCAATCTCCTCTACAGCGAGAAACTCAACCAAAAAAGCTCACAAATACTTGACAAATTTCTCTTCCACATGGAGAGCATAAGTCCAAAGTAGAGTCTCTTGGTAAAAAATCGCGCAGATTTTGAGTTAGACGAGCTGCGTCTTTTGATCCATACGCACCAACGTAAGCCTCCTCGTAGCGAGTTTTATACGCAGCCGCCTCGTTGTCCAGCCTGGCGTACTCCTCTAAAAGACAACGAGTCAAAGAACTAGAGCTTGATCTTCTTCGAGAATCTGTCTTTTCAGCCATGGTTAGTTTTCTTTTCAATGTAAATCGCGAAGACTCCGGAGCTCTCCACCTCTCTTTATTTCACAACAACGTAACCTCTTCTAAGCAGTATGCGGAAAATTTGCTATTTTATGGACAGTCAGGTCAACGCCAATAACTTTTCGACAGCTTGTCATGAGAACATCATTCACAGCACATCTGGTCTTATTCTTATCCGACGGAGACGTGATTGTGTGTTGAATCAGCCAAGCTGCACGGAGCACCGCCCGGTTGGGTCGATCTAAATTTAGTACCACCCACCGGAGGTGAAGTGTTTTGGCCCATTGTTGTGCAGGTGAAACGGAAGCACGTCACATCTCTATTTCAAGATCTACGCTGTCTCGCAACCTGACAAAGCTACGATTTATTTTGGAATGAAGTCCAAATAACCAATCCCACAGCGCTCCAAATTAACTTAAGAAAACCAGAAAGCTCATTGATGATCACTAACCAAATAAAGACCCATCGATATGAAAGTTGAATTGTTTTCGGATGAACTGTCCGCCCTCTAGGGCCAAAACAGAACAGATGGCGCAAACAAAGTCGGACAATACCTTCCTTGTAGCGCCATATGAACTATAATAAGTTTTTTTTCGTGGACTGCGGAATAATTGCCGGCGTTTGGGTTACTCAACGAAATTCAAAGACACAAAGCTTGTTACAGGATCTGCTTCGAAATAATTGGGAAGCAACTGATCAAAATAAGTGAAGTAAAATGAATTGGATCAAGTACGTGATAAAAATATTTGTTTGAAATAGCCAAGCGTTGGTGATTACTGGTAAGAATTAAAGTAGTTTGTTATGCAAAGGTGACAGCCGAACATCTTTCACCAGCCACAAAATTCTCAGAAATTGAAAAAAGAACGATCTGGTAGGATAAATCTGCAAACGCCTCTCGAAAGGACTGTGTGGAAAGTTTGTTTGACTTCTAAATGAATTGCAACATCACACAACGTGACGACTTTGCAATTCTGAATTGACACAATTACCCGAGAGTATTTTTCATTTTCTTAAGATCGAATTTATCTCTGTTTTCAAAGCAAAAAATAAAATTAAAAATTGGGCGCCTTAAAAACAGATGGTCAAGCTGTTGCCTTGATTTATCTACATATCGAGTCTTTTGTTCTAAATTTAGCCATTACTAACAACGGTACTTATCATAAATTAACGAAAAGTAAGCAATATCGACCACTTACTCCTACAGTTTTCCTTTGGATGGTGTTATGGTGTCTGATAGCCTAGCGTCAGTGTCAATAATTGTATCTTGAATTTGAAAACCCGTAAAAAAAGTGGGTCAACTGCACACAATGTGGACCGACAAAACCAAAAATAATGGGAATTTATTAAACGTGTGTGAGCGTTCAACTTCAGTTGATCTTTTCGTCTTCTTTAACACACCGTTTCACTGATAATCAACTACCTTCCGCGAATCGATACGGGTGAAAACTGAACAACACTTGTGGTATTTTAGTCGCATTTTCAAGCCCATTACTTCACGTTTCGCCATCCCAAATCTTTCCGACAATTTCCATATTTCAAGTTTGTGAACTTTCACACGTCTAAAATTTTCATAGTACAATTGCCACAAAAAGTAGTGTGAGAGACATACGTGCACCACAGCGTGCCCTTGTATCCGGTATGACGCGAAAAAAAGAACAAAAATAAATGCTGAAAATTTAAAACGCGAGAGCGTGGGAATAATATGAAGTAAATTCTGCGCTCATTAGTCCTCAAGAGGCAAAATATTAACCAACAAAATAATTTGTTTGGCTTTTTCGTTTATTTGATATGGTTAATTCAGTTACAAATGCCTGAACAGCCGACAATTCTCAAACTGGAAAAATATTTGATAAAATACTCATGACATGCCAAATATTGAAATAGACGATATTTTGTTTTTCTACATCCACTAGGAAGTCCGCACGACATCAACCAGGTGAGTGCTGTGATGAGCATTGTTTTACTTCAATAAGACGCTCAAAATAAAAGTCTTTTCTCTACTAACTAGGTGGACAAAGCTAATAGTAGCTGGAAAACATACACTGGTAAACAAAACGATTACGCAGTTGATAATATTTCTGGTTTCGATAGGGTGAAATGAGTGGCTCGTCATAAACAATAGAAAACCAGACTTTGCGTGCAAAGAGTTTTGTTTAGCCACCCTAACTTCACGCAATTAAGATATCAATGCGCATTTGCGAACTGGTCTATAAATACGTATCTCGAAATAACACGCATTGAGTATTTCAACGTGCCAGTGAAGTCATTGCCTTACTTCAACTGCTTTTATGGTGAGAAAACCGTCTTTTCCTTGAAGTAAGTTTAAGGGGAGTTTGTCTATAAATGAAGTACAGTAAAGACATTTCAAATTCCTTGAAAATGAAGAAGGGACACCAAGTCAAGCTATTGTCGTCCAAGAAAATTTTAACGGAAGAAGTTTTGGAAAAATTCGCAAAAATTGACAGAGAACATGAAGTATTCCGAAAACAGTTCCAAACTGCCTGGATGAATGTGTTTGGAGCCACCCTCACTTCGCTGCAGACTTCTTTACAAGACAACTTGTTCCCAATGGTCGACGACTGTTACACCGAAGACTGTCCAAAGAACGCCGATTGCGGTTTAATTGTGCAAGGATTTTTCGGTTAGACTAGAAACAGACACGGCCGCGGCACCTACACCATTGTATTCGCCCGAGCAGTTTTCTCCGCCCTTGACGCAATGATCAAAGCTGAAGTTCGATCTTGTTCAAGAAAAAGACAAAAAGGTTCTATAAAGACAACCTGAAAACTTCCATGGCTTGGAACAAAGAAACAGCGCATTACAAAATGGCGTTAACTTAGTTAATGAGCACGTTTTTGCTTTGAGTCATTATTTCCAGCCAATAAATTCTTAAAATGCTAGAATAACAAGAACTCGATCGGGCCTTCAAAAATATTTAATTAGCTTCAACCACAAAAAACAGTACTGTTACACAGAGTTAACAACTCACCCAACTAAGAATATGGTATTTCCTTTAAAGCCTAAAGGAAAATTCTTGAAAAATTATATTAAATAGGGTTTTTTTTTCGATCAGTATAATAGGGTTATTATCCGATCGGTATAAATCATTTGAAAGCGTGAGAAAACCTCAGTGGAATTGTACGAGACTAAAATGATAGCCTCAGGGTTTTGGAAGTCTGTGAAAATTGTATAAATAGCAGATAAAAAGTGATTAAACAATTGATAATATCTACATAACAGAAGCCACAAATCATCAAAACACTTCTCAATCTTATGGAACGAAAACAGGAAAACAGCAACTTTTCATGCAGTTGCGAAACAGTTGAACAACTCATAAGTACTGTAATGCTGTATACCTCATAAACTTCATTTATAGTACAGTATGTACACCCTTACCTTCGTTAACTTTTTCGCGCTTATAGCTATAACAAAGGCCACAAATACATCTGGAAAATATACATTTCATGCTTCCTAAATATAGATATACCTTTATCTCTTTTTTTCCCTCAGTCTGTGAATAGTCATAGCCTCACACGTTTTGCACGCAATGACTTACGGAAACACCTTGGTAAGAATTTCGCGGTTGACCGTAGAGTAAAGAACGTTAAAAAGCCATTTCCTGATTCCTCATAAAATTAATTAATATTTACAACAAATCTAAGTGTTTTAGATATGGGCGACAAAGATATCAGTGATTTATGTGCCAAACATGCAATATAGTTGATGTTAAAAATGCTCATTGATTGTCAGACACATACAATTCCGGCTGAAGCCCTCAGTTCCGTTGTTGAATGACCTAACCTTGTTTGAGAAAGACTACAAGACATGGCAGCTATGTCTGCGCACTGAGTCGAGAGAGAGTAAAAGCTTGTTTCATAGGCGGTGTTGGCCCTTTGAAGATGTTTCCGAGACAATGTCGATCAAAACTAAACATAAAGACAATGTACTGTGAGTTAAGTTTTCCATTCACTCACGTCGCATATCGTTTAAAATCCTGGCCGGCCCTTTCTCGAAACCCGCACCCCTGACACGAATCTTAAAAAGCTACATTTGCCTTTTGAACTCAGCCTACTTCATTGCAAAAACAGAAAGTGCTTGGTAGAATAAAAGTAGTTTGGAAAACATCGGCGATCGGCGATCAACGATGCGACCGAATACCAAGTTTTTTCATTCGGTCTGACTGTCCACTTCTTGACGTCGAGCGTACCGGTGAACCCCTGGGTATCAGACTTTCCCTGTCCTTGAGTTCAGCACCGTGATCTCTTCAAATAAAATTTAACAAGTGCCACGTAGAGTATGATATGCTTGATTATAACAACGGACCGCTGTGGAATGCGCAACTAGAATGTTTCTTTATGGTGTCTCTCAGTAAAAATTAATTTGTCGAGCATCGCCTGGAGTCATCTCCAGCGGACAATAAGGGCACTTCACTCTGGTGACAGAAAACAATGAGCTTTTCAGTTGGTAAGAGAACAATAGGGTGCTTAGATAGGTTTTCCATAATTAACCACACCCTTATCAACCAATCTAATGCTAAAAGAAAACCAACCGCACTTTGATCATTCGCACTTTCACGTGCTTCAAGCAATTTGCCTGAGTTTCCCTTTTCTCTTTTCCTTTCGTTCCCTTGATTATGACTGGTCGTTGTCAATTCTGGCTCTAGGTTTAAGATACTCAAATGAAATGCTCTCTTTGAGAGAGATTGGTGACAATGAAGATGAGAGTGATCATCAAAGTTATGCGACGGTCACCAACAAATGTATGACATTCAAATATTCACTGTCGTTAATGATAACAATCTTAAGATCTAAGGTTTATAACGGAATTCTTAATGTTAGAGCTAAGCTAACAATGGAAAGTGACTGGGCGCGGACTTAAAAGACTTAAAACTTCCTCTAGTATGGACGAGATTGCGATTACTCTTTAAAACTAAAATAGCAAGTTATTCCATAACACGTCATGACGTACTTGTTTCCGTTTGTGAGCTTGTTGAGAGCATCTCTAGAGATCACATGACCACATGACAGTCGAACGGGAGGGTTTGCATCTGTACACTGTTGCCGTAAAATGGGACAGGCGAACAGTGAATGGTAACGATACTGTGGGCCGAGGTCAACTTCAACCTGAAAACATAAACAACAAATAATAAGACCTCAATTACTATCAATCTCGTGCTAGTAGTAATTTGGTTCTACAGAAACGTGGTCAGAAAGTATTTCCATATGGCTTTTCTGACGTGCATTTAAAGTCCCAAGTCAAAGGGCAGGGCTGGTTATAAAAAGGTAAGAATACTGAAAGGGGTGTTCCAAGAAAACATTGAAATTCATTTCAACTGGGGTCGATTGAGACAGTTGCATGTGGACATTGGTTAAGCAGTGAACACACAGTCTCAATAGGCAGCCAAAAGTCCCTTCACCCGTTTGGAGACTCATTACATTAATTCATACCTTACAAAAATATACCACGTTCTCCCATTATAACAGATATGAATGGCCGATATATCTATTTACAAGTAGTTACATACTGACCCATACGAAAAAGCTTAAAATTTTTTACAAAAGTCAAAAGATGCTCTAAAACACATCAATCGCTCAAAATACCAAGACTTAGTAGTAGAAATTGTTATCAAATAAATCATGCATGATTCCCTATCCCCAGAAAAAGATGGAATGCTTTTTGAGTCTACGGTTTGAGGCAACGTAGACTCCTTGTTATCGTGCCCACGAGTTCGTCCGTAAACATTCCCATCGTTCGTGGCGGGCTTACACATACAAACATTACAGTAAATCATTTGGGAAAATGGCTGAAAGCAAATTTCCTAGTTATTGTTATGACCCAAAATTCACCCCTTGCATTGGTCACTCAATCACTCCTTCGTTCCACTTCTGTTAGCTTTTTGGTAAGTCCGCTAGTGTACATTGCTTTCGCATGGTCAGTTCGAATTCCCACATGGGGCTCAACTGATGGCGTAGAATTAGTCAAAATTTTAACAGTCTGCTGAAAAATAACGTGTATTTAACCGACAGCTAAGATGTGACACCAGATAATTTTACTGATGAATGAAAATTCGATTGAAATTAAGACTACATGCATAAGATCTCAACTCAGGGTTACACAAATCTTGCGCAGACGAGGCTCTCAGATAAATGTACTGATTAATGAGGGCGACAAGCTGTCTTGCATTTCAGCATCTATAAGCCTTATTTTTAACCCTTGTTGATCCGGAATTTGGATACTCGATCGCACAAAAACACAATATTGATCGATAAACTGTATTCTGGAATGACCTCCCCTTTTTTCAAAAAGCAGAAAAGGAAAAACAGACGTAATGCTTCGGTAATTGGCTTCACGAATGCCGATTTCTGTTCAGAAAAAGGTGACGTTCCGAATGAAGAGATTAAATATCATATGCTTGTGAAAGATAATTAAAAAAAAAAGAGGAAAATGAAAAAAGAGAAAGCGCCTGGGGTGGATACCTCGACCTTTCGCTCATGGGGAGAAGCACAATCCATTGCGCTAAGCAAGCAACCTTAATTTGAGCGTGACAGTGTGCCATCAGTCAGAGGACCAAAAGTTTCAAAATACGAAGTCAGTTCAGTGGCCTCGGTATTTCACCCCTTCATAGTTCATTTTCCGAGTTCAGAGGCCCACAGCCACTTTGACTTTCACTTTTGTTCGCACCGTTTGCATGCGGGTGCTTTTTCTAAGAGTCGAGCTCAACTTCATCAAGGAAGTGGTAGTTTTGATTCTAGTTGCACAATCGTTACCTTCAGTAGAGCATTCAATAACCTATTTACTTAGAGTTATGCCTAGTTCGGATAGCTTTTTTTTTCGGTTCGGCTGTACCTCTGATTTGATGAGTCACATCACTCTCGATTGCTTTCAGCTCTAACTCTGCAAAATGAACCCTCTATGGGTTTGCCTTGCATATTAAGAACCTTTCTAACTAAAAGCGGCGCTTAAGAAAGTCTTAAGTGAGTCTTGTAAGAGGATATTTGAGCCTCCTAAGAGGATATTTGAGACCCGGTGTAAACAAAAAGCGCAACGTGGAATCGTGAACCCGTAGGGTGCCTATTTTTTTTAATGAAGTTAAGAGGTTGGGGGCTCAAGAGGGGGAGAGGAAAAGATCATCGAGGATTAAAGTCGAATTGTCTCAATATGTGCTGTCATTGTGAACACAAGTAGTTCTAAAATTAACACTCTTCTAAAAACACAACGATGTTGCAATAGAAAATCACAACTTATTCCACAGTGATTTAAAAAAATACTTACCGGAAGTTCATCTTTAGATGTCCACACACCTGTGACCTGTCGCTGCTGCATAACTTGTCTGATCTGAAGAAGTGATGGTAGAGCCACACTGCCTGCTGTGATGCACACCTGTAGAGGGCTCTCTAACGACAAACCTAACAATGCACAGGCATCCCTAGCAAACACATCACAGATGTCAAGCCAATGAACTGGGTCCAGTAAAGAAGCATATGGTGAATTCTCAATACCCTTGCGACTGTACAAGAGACATGCCATCAGCTGTTGTACATCTATGGAGAAAAGAGTAAAAGATGTGCTCTTTAAAACACAGTGGTCTGATGCAAAGCTCATGAAAACATTAAAGAACTTTCTGTCCAAAATAAAAATTTAAAAACACTTGTCTTACCTTTAGTATGGTCTGAGGCAAAGCTTGCAAATTGTTTTGAGTACTCAAGGGCCTCCTTATGTTGACCCTCCTTAAGAAGATCAAGAAATTTTAATTTGTGTAATCTAAATTCAAGAGAACTCCCCCTTAGTTTGAGTTCCATGTGTCTGGACTGAGCCCATCTGAAAAAACAAAAACAAAAAAAAGACACAAATGTATATCTAAATCACAAGAAAAGTAAAGTGAGGGCTCATTTTTGATACAGAAACCCGACAAGCACAGACAATTTAACTCTCTAAAATTTAAAAGCCCTTACTTACTCTATCAAGTTTCACAGTAAAAAGAAATGGTAACTTTTAGAGCAATGTTATCAACCTTTTGACCCATACCTCTCCTTGTAAGACCCAACGGAAATGTTTAGACGACAGGATGGAAAAAATGTATACTTATGTTAGGGTATAAAGGGTTAAGTGACATGACAGGAAGTGAAGTGCAAAGACAAAACTGATAAATACTTAATAAGATGTTTTAATAATGGTTGCCTCTCAGAATAATTGCGAAAGTGTAAGTGAAAATGCTACAATGTTTTATGGATATTTGTTGTTTTCTGTGGTTGGATTAAAGATCACAAAATGTTATTCTAAAGAATGGTTAATGAATATTCATTTACATACTCAAGTTACACTTGAGTCTCTTTCCGTTTTGTTAAGAACTTCTATCAGACATGCAAAACTCTACTTAATTTAAAGGAAGAACACAGATGAGAAATGGTTGGCAGCCAACATTCCTCAAATGATGTGATTGTTTAATCAGAATACAGAGACTGGGAACTATAAAATGAGAATGTCTGGGTGTTCACCAAACTTTACAGCATTATTCAAGTAAATTCTGAACATGGAATCCATGTTACTGGTTAATTATGCATTTAATTCCTTATAAAATAAAGAAATGGCTACTGAACAAAATCATTTGGTGTTTCAATATTGTAAAATTTTTTTGTCACCAATAATCAAAGAAAATAAGGTACAGTAGCCTGCAAAAGGTGACAGACTACTGACAGTATGGGCCACCTACCCACTGTTATGGACACTTTTTTGTTCATAACAATGTAAAAATGTAAGTATAAAAATTGCATGAATCTGCAGGTAGTCTTTGGCTCATCTAGGTAGGTAAAATTTTTACTACTATATATAAAAGACAGTCATGAACTTGTATCCCATTAAGGAAGAGGAAAAAAATTTCTTGAGCTTTAATGAAACAACAGTTACATGTACATACCCCTCATTTCTAAGACTTATATGTACCTGTAATGCTCTCTAGAGTTTTTAAGGAAAAAAAAAACCCAATGTATTCACTCACTGTAGAGCTGGGTCTAAGTTTCTCTCTCTACAAGCCTCCAGGATTCTGTTGAGTTCAGTGAAAGGTTCTCTTCGTGAATCGTCAATCTGCAGATTGGCTTCCTGTTGTAAGTGTTAACAAACTCAGATTGTAATATTTATTACAGTGTAGCAAATATGGCTGAGAATGTTTAAATTGCCTTAATTGTATACATTTTATATGCTAGTTAGAAAACAAACTTGAAAATCAAAATTGATGAATAGCACATATATATCAAATTTGGAAATTTTTGCAAAGATGTTAACTTTGCTTAAAGATAATTAACCTAGGCTTAGCTATGAAGAGAGAGATTGAAAAGTCCATTGAACACTTATCAAATAACCTTTTATAAAAAGGCTGCATTTGCTGCGAATATCGATGAAGACCTTTTTGTAAGCTAATGCTTCAATGAGTGAGTGATTGTTTGAGAAGCAATTGGTGGCTCAACTATTGTTTACAATCTGATAGGAAACATGAGCTGTGGGAACAGCTAAAATTCATTGGCTGATTGATTTAATTCAATTATCTTATGTGAGCATTAGTAGAAGCTGAATCAACCAGTAATGAACAATTCTGAAGACTAGCATGAAGGTAGGGTTTTTCAAAGAAATAAAACTAGTGGAATTCACTGCTGCATATCTTTAATTTCACCCAGTAAAACAAAGAAAGCAACAAAAAACGAAAGACTTGCAATCACAAAATTTACATCCAGCACTTCAAGGCAGGGGAGTGAGAGGTTTGTTTCCAATTGCAAGCAGAAGAAAACTCTGTAAACAAAGATCATGCCATTGCAATTCAAATACTTTAAGGAACTGTGAGTCAAAGAAGGATGCATGAATGGAAAACAATAGAGTCTGGCTTGGCAAGGCAAATATAGTAGCCTCAAAATTTGAGAACAAGTGTATACAGAAATTTGATGCACACAGGATATTATCTATATTATTTTTGTTGACTGCCTGTTGAAAGTGTTTAGCATTAGCAATGTTGGATAGTTGCCACTGTTCTTGATCTTTCTGTGACCTTTTGAAAGCTTTCAAACAAACTCAACAAGTGAGACCTGAAATGACTAGAGATCTTTTAGATTTATTTCAGACAACTTTTACCTTTATAAACAAGTTTTGAGTAAAAACTACTGACATTGTCTTATCACAGCGTATACCACATCTCCAGGCAAAATAAGATTTTCAGTTTACGAGAACATACATTGCATTGACTCAAGTTTCAGTAACCAGTATCCATATGCCCGTTTGGAGGACAGTTTGTGTGAATCTCAGGCAGTAGGTTTGCAAGTCAACAAATGGAGGATTTTGATTACAAAATAAACAATCAGTTAAACAATTTTTACAAAGGACACTAAAATCTAATGATCATTTACCAAAGTTAACCATAGAAAACTCTGTTTGAAGCCATTTTATTCCGAATGGAACTAATGGGCCAATGAGAGCAAAATATTGGTACTCTCCAGCAATGCTTTATGGAGGTAGTAAGCTACTTCAAATCTTATTGAAAGCACTGTACAGCAGTGGCAGATCCAGACCTTGAGCTAAGGGGAGAACCCGGTTTTTTTTGTCACTTGCCCTGCTAGTTTTTCTTCCTTCTATGATTCTTTTTTTTTTTTTTTTTAACCCAGAACAAGGCGGGTCCTAGGCCCCTCTCCTGGATCCACCACTGCTGTATGGTATGAGAAAAATCTTAAAAAAATAAAATTAATAGCCATATCATTTAACACATCCTGGACAGGCTGACAGCTAAGATAATAAAAACACATGTATACTATTCCTATACACCCAAAAAGAGACACTTTTTAACTAAAACCTATAACCTGTGGGTAACAAAGAAGTTGAAATCTAAAAATAGTGTTATCCTACAGGTAAAAAAGAATCAACAGAATCAGATCATGGATTTTAGCAGATTAAATCCTTACCTTTATTAACTCTTCAGCAATGTCTAATCTCCCTTGTCGCAAGAGATGCTCACATAAAACTTCATTCAGCAGAGATGCATTTTCACCATCAAACACCCCTGGTTGACTACATGTTGTGTTATCTATCACAAAATTCTGGAAAGCAACAATCAATAATACATATTAATGCAACCTTTTCTGCATTTATGGCATTGATAAAAACTTTGAAAGAACTCAGTTAGCACTTACGCCGTGGCACACAATTAGGACTTTCTTTCATTATTATTGTTCAATTTCAGGCATGTGCTCATTGGTTAATTCAAATGATTTAAATTTTTATTATGTTATATGTTTGGTCACACATACAAAATAAAGTGGACTTCGAATTTTTGAGTCAAACTGCACTTGTATTGTTCCTTCAGCATTTAAAGGAGTTTTCTGATAGATTTTGTGGAATTTGAGGGCTGTCAGGAAAACCGTCAGAACACGAATAATATTACAGGAGTATCAACTGCAGCAAAAACTGACAAAGCAATGCTTTCCCTCTTCTTTTTTTATGTTATCATGTTATCAAGAACATGAAAATTGAAAAGTTGGTAGAGAGGCAAAGATTTGAGAACAAAAATAAAACTTGGAAACTATCTTTCAGCAGAGGGCATTATCCTCTGATGAATTATGGTCAACTCGCCGATGGTCCAACTCGCCAACGCCAACTCGCCAATGTATAAAATTGAGTAGAGACATCGCGAGTTGGTCCTCAATCCAATACAACTTATTAGAAGTTGAACATACAGAAAAGTAAACGATATTTAGTAAAAAAACACTGGTGAACATTGGTGAACATCAAACAGAAGCTTAAACATTGGTGAACATTGGTGAACATCACCAATGACTAGAACAGCTTAAGACGCGAATTAGTTATTGTGCGACAACAACACTGTAAAGACTCATCATGTCAATCGCTCAGATTTTTTAAAGAAAACTTGGCTTTCTAGACAAGATCTTTAGTTAAAAGCAATTCTCTTTATTTGCCACAAAGTTTATAAGGATCTTACTAAACTTTGTTGCAAATAAAAAGAATTGCTTTTTACTAAAGATCACATCTTAAGCTGTTCTAGTTGTATTGGATTGTGGACCAACTTGCCGATGTCTCTACCCAATTTTATACGTCAGCGAGTTGGCGTCGGCAAGTTGGACCGTTGGTGACTTGACTGAATACCTCCTCTGATGTACATGTGCAAATAACAACAAGCCAGTAGAAATTTACAAACTAAAAAGACAAAAAATATTTTAACTTAAATAGAACACATATTGTCCCAGCTAGGCCTTGAAACAGCCCCAACTTTCTCCTCTCATACAACATATTATGGCTTACTCTATCAACAGCTTTTCCTATCTTTGAGATCCCACCATGCAGTTCTTTGTGCTCTGTGGCTAGTTTTGAAACTGTGTCTTTAATCTTCCTGGAAGACTGGTTAAGGAGGTGTAGCTGTAATGGGGATACTTCATCATCTTTACTCACTACATATACAAATGAAAAAAAGGTAAAACTTGGACCAAAATCAAATGAAACAAATAAAACAAATAAAGAAGGAGTCACATAACCCAGAATTTTTTTCAAGCTTTTTTTTCTACAATTTTATGAATTGCTGCTCAACCATGAGGATCATTCCTTCTCTTAAAATTGGATGTTTCACAAAAGTTTCAAATAAAAGTTAGTACCACAATTACTCCTTGAATTCGAATTAAAAAATATTTTTTCAGCTTAGTAATGTTTAAGTCCTATTATGTTGGCATTATGAATCAGTTCATTTTGTAATTTTTTTTTTGTCAATAATCACACTCGAATTTCAATGAATTCAATCCATGAACTGAAAATAAAAATGTTTCCATTTGAATGACAGCAATTTAGAAATAAATTGAGATTAACAACAATTCCCAAAATTCATTCTAAATTTCACAAAATATAATTGATTTCTAGTTAAAATTATATGTTAAATTATAAATTGAAACAACTTATAGCGAAAGAAAATCAGAAAATCGTGCATTTGTAAAGAGCGTAAACTGTTTTGGTTTCCGTACAATTTTACGTAATGCTAAAAGAATTGAAATGTGCGTAAGGGTAGAATTAACTATGAATGTACAGCTTAATAAAAAATAACGCTTCTTATACATATGTAAATTATGAAGAGATACATTTTCCTGTACAATCCCAGTAATTAAAATAAGATACTCAAACGATACTGGCGATTATCGGTATGTAAAAACGAGTTTGGAGAGAAATCTCTAGTAGAAATAAAATCTTAAATGTAGCTTCTTTCTCACTTTTCGATAACTCCTCTTGAACATTTGAAATCTGGTTGCTTAATTCTGCCAACGAAGTATCTGTATGTTCCTTTATGTTGTTGTATTTTTGCGACAACCTTTCCAATTCTCTCTCGACGCTTAGGCAAGCGTCCATTTTGTTTTCTGTATCATTAACAGCCAAGTAACCGCGCCTCAGTTTGCAGTTTCCAATACCTGACGGGACAACGTCATTTCCCTGTTGCACTTGTCGCCATCTTGCTGTTAAGGATTATTTGAACTTGCAAAGGACTTTCTTTAAAAATCTCATCCAACAGAAGGCTCAAACGATGGGATGCGATGGCGGTACGATTCCCAGGAGAGATGAACTCGTTAGGATGAAGAAAAAGCCTGAGCAAGTTGAGAAGAATTATGAATTAAACGCAAAATGGTTCCATTGTGCTCTGAGTCAGGCCGAGTTACGGGAACCAGTTGTATGTTGTGAACTGGGAAACTTGTACAACAAAGAAGCGGTGCTGGAATATCTGATCGACAAATCATCTGTAACTTCAGATGTCGCCAGCCACATTAGGAGTCTGAAGGACGTAAAAGAGCTAAACCTCACTCACAACCCAGCCTTCGAACAGAAGTCCACGGAACAAGCCGATAGCTACTTAGATTTTCAAGCATCACGTTTTATCTGTCCTGTCGTTGGTATCGAGATGAACGGGAGATACAAGTTTTGCTTTCTGTGGAAGTGTGGCTGTGTGTTCTCCGAGCGAGCCCTGAAGGAGGTCCCGTCTACTGTTTGCAACAAGTGTGGAAAAGCTTCCTCTGATGACGATATTGTTGTTATCAACGGTAGTGAAGATGAGGTTAGTGGTATGAGGGCGAAAATGGAGGAAAAGCGCCGAAAGGCGAAATTGGAGAAGAAAGCAAAGAAGACAAAGATCTCCGAGACCACAACTTCGGCAAATGAAGAATCTTCAGGGTCCAGTGTGAATGGTGAGAGTCAAAAAGATGGCCCAGGAAAGCCAGCAAAGAGAGCTAAAACCGAGCATGAGCCCTCATCGTCAACTGACTGGAAAACTAAGGGGCCGAAGCTCAATGGGGCATCTTTGTCAAAGGGAAAGCTTCCTGAACTGTCAAAACATAAGACTGTGGCTGAAGACCCGAAGGCAAGCAAAGTTTTTAAATCTCTCTTTGCTTCGAGCAACAAGGACCGACCTAAACACCTACAGTCAAACTGGGTGACTTATCATTCCTATCATATTTAGTTATGTGCATCTTGTTCACTTGCCAAACAGCATGAAGTTAAGTCTATATTTGCATGTAATTTTTTTCCTATCAGTATGGAATCAACTCTACAGCAGTATTTAGTAAACCCCATGTAGACTTGGCTATTCATTAATCAAGCCTTTCATTTTTTCTCTTCATGATCTTATTTTATGAAACAACATACAATTTAGTGACCTTAAGAAGGCATGAAGGGTCTAATACTCTAAGCCACTGAAATGTTTCTCCTTTAGCTTTGCTATTTCCTCAGCTAAGTAAGGTTTGATTTCCCAGTTTAAGGTACATGTACCATCAGAGCCATCTATAAGAGCCAGCAGCTAGCCAAAACCACTGCTTAGTTTGCAATCCTTATGTGGTTACTTTCACCACATATTACCATATTTACTGATGAGAAGTAGTACAATTGTTGAAACACCTTAAAAGGAATTTGTACATAAGCCATTTCCCAGTTAGTCATGGAATTGAATGTGTTATTTACTAGCAACAGCTTCTTAACAGGCCATCAATTCCACTTTCAGAATTTGCTCTAAGGTTTCTTCAAACTTCATGGGATGCCTGTGACATTTTCACCTGCAGTTAATTGATTGTAACAACATAGTGTAACTGATAACCTGGTTACCTACTATTTGTCCTCTACACTTCAATCTAATAGACAACCCTGTTTAAAGATGATGCAACCACAAAAGAATAAGTTTGCAATAATTTTAGAATTACTTTGTAAGTAGAAATGTTTGGCCAGTTACATTCACTAACCTAACCTCACAGAGCTGACTGGTTATGTTCCTTAGTAAGTGTAATCAATGAGGGGGAAGGGATGGGGGGGGGGGCTCTTTATCATCTGTTTGTAAATTTCAAAATGTATTTTGCAGTAATGTTTAGGAAGCACTCTATTGTTACAAATAAAAAAATTCCTTCAAGTGACTGTTGGTTGCAGTTTTCTTTTTGTGGCCATATTTTCTTTCTTTACCCACAAGAACATTCAGTTTTGATGTGCCTTTCAAAGCAGTTGATAAAACACATGACATTCAAATCCCAGCAATGTATGGTGTTCTTCATATGAATCTGGTTTGATGGCCTAGTTACATATAGTACCTGGCAATGGAGCACTGTAAGTGCTAGTGAGGGGGTTAAAGCTTCTACTTTTGTTGAAATAACTCGGATCTTTCTTTCTCTTCTCAGTAACATATTTAACATCAATTTCTTTGTTTGTTTGTTTTTTACCACATTGATGATGATTTTCTTAGTTTAGGCAGAGGTCCTCTTTTAAAAGAACTAGTAACCCTAATAATAATACTCACCCATCATGGAAGACTGAAAAGTGAGTGAGAAAAAATATGAAAGATTTTCCCCATACCTCGTTCTATTCTCTACTCCGGGAAAAGTTAACAGACCGGCAGATTACCATTGATTTCAGGACAAAACCAATTTACAGTTTCCTGACAAGCTGACCCAAGTGAATTTTTTCACCCAGAATTTGCAATGTTATGCACTCAGATGTTTATAAGGCAGAGTAGATGTGGGAAAACGTTAAATTTATTCAGTAAAAATGATTGAAACGATGCAAAATTCCATTCACAACTTTCTTTTATTTTCTATTACTCAATGTTTAAAATATATCTGGTACCATTTTAAAGAGTTCTCTGTTAGGTACAAATAACCATTTAACAATCATATAGTCTGTTACAAGCTTTTTAAAATTAAAGAGCACACAACCCAAAAAGCTATGAGAGCCATGATTGAACTGATGTAGAACAGGATGAAAACGAATCATCTATCAACAACTTAAAAGAAAATCATAAAGTCCAGCTTGCACTATTTTCTCACTATTTATTTAAAAGAAGAACGGTAATTTGCATGTAAGCAAACCCAACATGCACAAAAAAGTTTAAAAAGCCTAAAAATACAACATAATGTTCTCTACAAGACTTCTGGCAATGATCTTGTGACAGAACTTTCCACCCGTTGTAACCTTGTAAAAATCATGTACCCACCCAACTGCGATAACGAGAGAGACTGATGTTCTCTACCTTTCTGAATAAGTGACACAGCTACAAACGTTTAGCCAGATTGAAATCGCCTTTCACTTTGTTCTTGAATTTAGTTTATCAATTTCGGTGTTTTCGCTATTATCGTATATTTTCTGTTTTACTCAATTTTATTCTATACTATAATTTTTTAAAATTCTACTTAATTTTACACGTCGCCTGAACTTCGTATATCGAGATGTAGCTAACCTTTTCGGATTGAACGGTGATAACATAAGCCATTATTTTCAACATTTCTAAGATTTTAACTATTTTCGGAAGAACGCGAGTAAATCGCGCACGTGTGACCTTCCACTCGTGTGTGCCGATCTAAATCACTCGTCCCTTGACACATCGAGCGCAAGCCACGCACATTATTTCACAAACATTGTCTTTTATTCCACGAGAGTATTTGAAAGTTCGCGCCTTCGACGGATGTGATCCTCCAGATGTTTGGCCTGTTCCATAAAATCTGCCTCCCAAACGAGCGTGTATCCAAAATCTGAAATAGCTTTCTTCCACTCACAGCCATGTCTCTCAATGAACCCCATTCCTCCTGTCAACACCAACGACGCCGATTTAGGAGATGAGGAGCTATGCGTGTCCGCGAGACAGCGTACTGCGGACACGTGACGGTGGATCAACTTCAGAGGCTTCCGCGTCGAAGGGTCTACGAGAACCACGTGACCAGTGCCCAGCCCAACCCAGAGCGTCTTGTGCGAAAGAAGAAGACTAAGCACTCGTGTTTCCCGTAAGTTGCCTGTAAACCCAGCGTCTCTGAGAATTGTCAAACAGTCAACGGAGCCAAGAAACTTAGCCTTGAAAAAATTCCAGCATTCCACCACTGGACTATCCCGAGTTGAGATCCAAACGAACGACGCGCCCACGGCGATGTTTAACACGAGACCCTTGGCCCTGTTTTCGGCGGCCCACCGGCGCTCAATGTCGATAATTACCTCGCTGCTGTCTCCTTCATTCACCTTTGCCTCTCCATTCTTTTTTACTCTGAGCACCACTACTTCATTACCGCATCCGCAAAACAACCTCCTCTTGCCAACAGCCATACAGGCGACAGGATGCATTACGCAGTCTCCACAGGACGTACCTTTGAGGATTTTGCTGTAACATAGGTCAAAATATGTTGGACTGGTGTCTTCTACTCTTAAACTACAGCTGTTATACACAGCTAGCTGACCATTACTGAGTCCCGCCAGCACTACATTCACATTGTCGTCTTTGTATGGTTTAAGGCAGAGAATGGCATGAGGCAACTGAGGCTGGGAGAACAGGCGCTTATGGTCCCAGGCGTTGAACACCCATATCTTTCCGGACTGAGTTCCAGCCAGAACAGTGTCGCTATCCACTGCTAGGATGCTCATAACCCGTTTGTCTTGAATCAAAGTACCTGTGCAGCCCTAAAAAAAACCGAAGATAGTGCGGCAATTGTTACTTTATGACGGAACTGCACAGTGGCAATACACATTATACGACAGATGTTTACACTTGAAATGACATTTAAAGATCGAAATAGTTTTCAAAATTAACAAAAATATTTCTCTTTGGCAATTTGTAATTTAGAGTTGACAACTGAGTTGAAAATGTAAATTAGCCACCGTAGAGTTTAAAAAGCTCACGTTTCGAGCGTTAACTCTTCTATCGCTCTAACAAAGGACTAACGCTCGAAACGTCAGCCTTCGAACTCTTTACGGTGGTTAATTTGCGTTTCCAACTCAATTGTTAACACTAAATTACTTTATATTAAAGTTCACACGGCAACCAGGTGGACAATCAGACATAGTTTGATGCTACTCTGGTTTGCAGATTTAATGAATGTAACCGAAGAAGTTACAATTCATAGACCCAACGTTTCGACACTCCTGTCTAGTGCCTTCATCAGGAGTGATCTAAACGCTGCAACAAGAAGTCCTTTTATATGATCACTAATTAGCGGCCATTTTAAGGGTTAGACCCTTTTTCTGGAAACGATACATCGATGATGTTATTTCTGCGGTATCCGGAAATGAAGCGGAGTGCCTCTTGTCGCATTTGAATTCAGTAGAGCCGTCGATCCAATTCACCCTTAAGCGTGAAAAGGATATACATTTGCCCTTTCTTGATTTAAATGTGTCCAGAGGGGTTCAGGGTAGTTTAGAGACAAGTGTCTACCGTAAACCTACCCACACCGACAAATACCTCGCCTTCGATTCTCACCACCCTATTTGCCATAAAAAGTCTATAGCCAAAACTTTACTTAGGAGGGCTGACTGTCTACCATCTTCACTCGATTCGAAGGCTGAGGAGAGGAAATATGTTTCCAATGTTCTAAAGGCAAATGGCTATACAAAAACTTTTCTCCGTAACTGCCAAAAACTAGTTACAAATAGTAACGCTCTTGATGAAAGGGAACCAGCGACTGGTTTTGTTGTTATTCCTTACATACAGGGTGTTACGGAACCCATCAAAAGAATTTTGAATAGCCACAACGTTAAAGTTGTTCAAAAACCTTTTCAGACTTTGGGGCATATTTGCGCCAAACCTAAGGATCCTGTCACGAAAGAACAACGAACCGACGCCATTTATTCTATTCCTTGTAATGACTGTGACAACGAATACATTGGACAGACCTAACGTCAGTTTGGTACAAGGTTAAAAGAGCACCAAAAAGCGGTTTTCCTTTGCAAAAAGGAAAATTCAGCTTTATCGGAGCATACATGCCTAACTAACCATACAATTGGTTGGGATAATTCTAAAATTATCACCACCATTTGGCGTTACCACCAGCGCCTTTGTTTGGAGGCTTGGCATATTAACTCCGCCCACGCTTCTTTAAATCGTGACGATGGCGATTTGCTTCCTGACGCCTATTTACACCTCGTCAGAAAAAAGGCCACTAATTAGTGATCATATAAAAGGACCTCTTGTTGCAGCATTTAGATCACCCCTGATGAAGGTACTAGACAGGAGTGTCGAAACGTTGGGTCTATGAATTGTAACTTCTTCGGTTACATTCATTAAATCTGCAAAACAGAGTAGCATCAAACTATGTCTGACTAAATTACCTTGTTATACTCTCCCACCGACACAGCACCACAGTTTCTTTAGAGACTTACCCCCTTTATCTTTGGCAATTTGTTGTTACCCTGCCGTTTTTATGACGGCTCTAAAGGTCTTAATAATGGCAAATTAGTATCAAGAATTTACTCTCTATTCAAGTCAGAACAAAAATATTGATACATGAACCACATGGGAAATTACAGTGATTTACCGAGGGTTTTCATGCGGCTCCTATTTCAATATTTCGGTTAGTAGTTCATATGGAAAATATTGGCATGTTAAAAAACAAAACCCGATTACGGTGGGAATTCTTCAGTATGGATATCAGCCGGCTGCATTTTTTGACACAGCTTGATAGAATACCCTGCTCTCGGCAACTCACGACGGGGTTGGGTGTTATACAACGACCAAACTATTCTGATAACGAGAACGCACAACGCTTATTTTCAAGTTATACAATAGAGATATCGTAAATTTCTTACCTCTACACCCTTTTCAGAGAGGTCGATAATGGTCACCTGGCCACTGAGGTCATCTGACTGTCCACCACCTACCCACACCTCCAGTTTGGGCGTGTTATTTTCGGTAAAGTGACGGATGGTCATGCACTCTACCGCCTTTCCCTTAGACACCGCTATGTCACGTTTTAGACAGATCAACTCGGGGTCACACAGACGTGAGTAGGCCTAGAGAGAGAAACAAAACATGAAGAACGACGAACGGTTGTAGTGACTCACTTTTGCACAACTAAATCCTTAAACAAAAACTAGCGTAATGTAACCGAAAAGTTCTAAGACAACGGTGTAAATGATGACAAAACCAGAAAAAAAACCAATCATATAAAACAGTTACAACTTTTCTTTCACCTGAACTGCTGTAACTCGCCTACTTGGCGAAGGCTCCAGGGCATGCGCAATAAGGTCTGCAAAATCAGGCCATGGAGGGCAGTGAGATGCCGTGATAGGATCCAATGCTCGACCCTTCAACACGGCCGCATCCAGCTCGTGCCGGAAGCGCAAGTCTTCAAATGGTTTGGTTCCTCCGGTTACAAGCTCGTAAAGGAACATTCCAAACGAGTACAAATCGGCTTCCAAGTTGTAAGTGACGTCACCTCGGGCAATTTCGGGTGCTCGGTAACCAGGCGTCCCTTCAGAGGCAGTTAATCCGCACCGTGTTGCGTATCGAGCGACCCCATAATCACATATCTTAGCGTTGATCAAATTTGCAACGGAAAGCGAGAAGATGAGGATGTTGTTCGGCTTTAAATCACGGTACACGATCATGTGATGATGCAAAAACACCAAACCTTCAGCTACCTGAAATAAAGTACGTGTTTGAGTTAATTGGTTTTGTAGGAATTACTTCAGTAAGCGCTAATGTGCAACTTAAATAGGGCTGCAGGTAAAGTCTGCATACCAAGCAAGTGGCCCATTCAGCCAGAGCATTCTGTAAGCTTCCCCTAACAGTCAGCTTGTACCCATTTATACGCCAGGACGAAGAGAGACACTGTGAGGGTAAAATGCCTTGCCCAAGAACACAACACAATGACCTTGCTACCTCTAGACCTGGGATCCAGCGCGCCAACTGTTAATAATTGATTTAAAGACAGAAGGAAAGGAAGAAGGTATAGCAAGGTGACCCACCAACCTGTAGTGCAATTCTGTGCTGAATTCCTCTGCTAAGTGCCTGCCCGTTGCTCAGAAGTGAACCCAGACATCCCATAGGCGCTATCTCCATTATTAAGGACCATGGCTTCATGCAAACCCCCACCATAGTAATGATGCTCAAATGGTGAAGCTTACGTAAGAAAATCAGTTCTTGACGAAGTAACGTATGAGGATTGTCCTCACTACTAGGATGAAACACCTGTAAAAATAAGGTAAAATAACATTATCTTTAAAAATTCTTAGAGATAAAAGTGGTTCTTTTGGAGGTCTTAAGATAATCATTTGCCGAAAGAGAAGTGAATGATGTCGAAATGTATTGCATAAAACCCCCAGTGCCTGAGATTCATCGAGAAAACCCACGGCGGTCAACTGGTAATGTGGTAAGGTTGCGCGGGGCAATCTATGACGACATCGTGGACCTATTAGAGTATGCAAATCTCCATTATCACCAAAGCACTCCGATTTAAAACACTGAAGCCAACTTGAGATCTATAACTCTCTACTTGAGTTAACAAAAATTTCCAAACCTTAGCAGCGACAGGCTTGCCGTTATAACGAGCTCTGTAGACATTTCCAAATGCGCCATCACCAAGAAGCCTAGCTCGCTTAATGTCCAACTCCAGTTTACTTCCATCAATCCTGTACTGATCGCCGATATCCTCCATCACAACATCGGGAGCTATCTGGCCCAAGGCAACCAGCAATTTTGTGTTGGGGCACATGACGTACTCATTTTCACTCGCTTGTGCTATAGCGTTGAGTGAAAATTCGTGGGCCTTCTCGCCCTTGCACACAGGGCACACAGCCTCCTTTTGGACAAGTGGTGAGCCTTCAGGATCCAATTTACCTGCAGAAATGTCACATAAAATTTTTCATTACAAGCATGTGTCGGTAACCATTTTACGAACGACACGAACGATTTTCGACTGAGTTTCTTTTTATCACAAATACAGTAACAACGACGACAAAGAAAGTGGTAGAGGGGAATCATTGAAATCCCGAAGCTGGCAATGAGATGACGGCAAATGCAGTAAACACAACTGGCCAAGTCACGAATGTTTTAAGTTGAACACCCTATGGTTGAGGAGGTGGAGCTAGATTTTTCACAACACCTCGAAAGTATATGTTTTGATGCATGCAAGTATTAAAAGCGAGCAGGACTGGGCAGTTCTTACACAAGATTCCGCTTCTAAGTTCTTTACATTTTGCCAAATGATATCGAACTTGAGTCTTCCGTCAAAAAGTTTGTTAAAAAAGAGTTTAACTTTTTGAAAACTAAAGCCGAATCCGGAATATGTCAATTTCACCTATAACTCGTTTACACGCAAATTTTATTTACACGAATTAGGTGTTTATATACTTCTTCCATTGGTTTAGTTTTTCAGTTTACGATGAATGTAGCACTACTCCGTACAAAATCTATCATTAAACCGCTATTATAACATTATCATTGTTATCACTATTATTATTATTAGTGTTGTTGTTATTATTATTATTATTATTATTATTATTATTATTGGTGTTATTATCATCCTTATCCTTATCCGTATTATTATCCTTTTCATCACTATTAATATTATCATAAATATCATTAGTATGTACCACACAGGTGAATAGTGCTCTTCGCGCACGCTGATTGGTTAGTGATGGCAAGTGCTATTCACTTCTGAGCTGTCGATTAGTCAACATCGCGCTTCAAGAGTTAAATTTCCGAACATATTTTGGTACATCGAAAGAAATACAGTAATCTTTTTGGTATCTGTACTGGGTGTCGGAGAAAGTGGTGGATATTTACCTCACCGCAAATAGCCACCACCATTCACCTCTACTTCAGTGAATAATTGTTAATTATTAATAGCATTATTATAATCGTCATTACTAACACAAGTCAGGGAACCATTCCTCTAATAGAGTGTCCAAATGATCCACCACATGGGCAAGGATTCTGGCTCCGTGCGTTGTGCTCGGCGCTGTGATCATCACGGTGTCTCTGTGGGGACTGGTCAAATCTTGACAGATCAAACAGAATGCTTGGTCTGCCCAGTATAAATAAACTCCTGAATTCCATTGTGTCACTTGAGGTTCACGAGGGCTTTCCATTCGCACTCTGTGGTCCATATACAAATTCACAACAAACGTCTGGACCCTGGTAAGAAGCCGCGGCCAGAAACTTGGAGGTACATAGGCCATTTTGTACAAGCGACTAACGAGGACGATTCCCTCAAAATGAGGAATTTTGAGCGATGGTTGTTTATTGCTCAGCAAGGATGGCAAAATGTATCTGTCATCTCTGAGAGGAAGAGCGATCCAGTAATGTTCAAGAAGCCTGAAAGAGAGAGATATTGCAAATATTATACAAGCTGAAAAGCATAAATTTTCCCGATAATTTAGGGAAGAAGCAAAATTAACATTTATTTTATTCAAGTTTTTTTAAATTAAATGTGATATAAATATACCAACAGCCCCATTTGACGTACAAAAGGTAGGGAAGTATGGCATAAAACTTGATACATAAAGCATAATCCACCGTTAACATGCCACTTACTTAAGTATCTGAGGCATGAGATCTGACGTCACGTTCACTTCACCACTTCCCTCTCGAACTAGATTCTCAAGCTCCGCCAATCTAATGATCCCATCGACACTTTCGACATCCTTTTGTGTAACCACGTGGGCTAACAGCTGGTAAACCCACACGGGAACAACAAAGAGGAGATCATTCAACTGGCAAGCTGGATCATCAATATGAATGAGCACTCCTACAAGGAAAAAAAAAAACAGAAATGTTAAGTATTCCAAGCCATTTTTTTCCGCACTTGACCATTTTTTATCCTCCTAAAAATGTCATAAATATCATTTACTGTAGGTTAAGGATCCCCGTTCTTTCCTCGTCGATTTATGGCCCGCCCTTAGATGACCGAAATTTATAGACAAGAGTACAAAAGTTCAATGAGTGCTCCTAACCGCCCAGCGATTCGAACACGAAAAATTAACTGTGACAGTCCAACTAATAGCAACAAAACGATAGTCCTGATTATCTTTTAAAAAAAAAAAAACCTCACGGAATTAAAAATTCAGGAAACAAACAGCTGTAGAGATTATTAACATTCAAATCTTACAAGCGGAAGTACTCTGAATTGCTAAAGAGATGCAAAGGTTTCGTGGTTATATCTCACGCCAATTTAAGTTCTATTTCTGTCCAAATCCCACGCAATGCTATGCACGCACCTGCTTCACTTAAGAACTTGATAGCTTGTTCGATCTCAGCATCATCCGTGTGTATTTCGCTGTCTTGAATGAGTTTCCGAATGTTAGCCATTGTCAAAATTCTTCGCGCGTCTCCGGTACGGATGTAACGCTGTAACAAATCCTGCAGCTTCACGAAGTTCTGAGGCACTGTAGGACCAATCAAAGAAGAACCTTTGCACGTAGATTTTGTTATAAGTTGCACGATATTCGTACGGAGAGACTTAATTCCTGGTGTGTCTTTAGTGCAGTCCAACACCACGATGCTTTTGATCTGAGGAAAGCCAGCACCAGCACACATACTAAGGGCTCTTTCTGTAACCGCTTGGAATACCTCCGTTTCCCGATCCTTCGGTACCTTGTCCTTGTGAGTACCAACGAGCATGACCGATGCCTCAGGTGCACAAGCATGTATGTTGAGCAACCAGGGCTTAAGAGCATCAATCTCACCCGTTCCTTTGCTAACATCAAAAACAACAAGAAACAAAGTCCTTGACGACAGAAGGCACTGATAGGCGCTGTATAAATCATCCCGACCCCTAAGATCCCATGTGCTGAAGACATAATCCACACTTTTGCGATGACACTCCTTGCACTCAGCTTTGGGATCTCTCACGCACCATTCCCCCATCATGACATCGTGATGTGGACCTGTAGCACTGCGTTCTCGTAACAGGCTTAGCAAGGCTGTCTTTCCTCGTCCTGCCTGTCCAACAACTACTAGCTTCATGCGGTAATATGGTACTGAGTTCTTAAGCTTGGAGTGCAAGAACCCAATGAGCTCTTGAGCTCTGCTTTCCAGAATACCTGAATTAAGATCAAGCTTAAGATCAAACAGCTGCAAATCCCACAGATTGGATAATCTTCCCATTTCATCCGGCAGATGCGTGATGCCGGTATTTCGACTCAAATCGAGCGAAGTCAAGGATGTCAATTCACCGATTCCATCAGGTACTTGCTTTAAACAATTGTCACTCAAGATCAGTCTTTCAAGATATGACCAATTCTCAACACCCTCCAGCGACAACTTCCTAATCTTGTTGTCAGCCAGCACAAGTTCTTTCAATTGCCGGGTGGACCAAGCAATGGGAGCTGGGATGTCTTCAAGATTGTTGCTGGAAAGGTCCAAAATCTTCAAATTGGGAAGTTTAAGAAAAAATCGACAAATCGAAAACTGTTTCTTTGTTGACATTTCCCCTAGCTTGTTTTTGTTCAACCGAACTGTTTTCAAATTCTTCAAAGATGGGGCAGCAGCCTCAGGTAATGCTGAGAGAATATTGCTTGAAGCCAATAGAGTTTCGAGAGCAGAACTGTCTGCAAAGAATTCGGGCGGAATCTCTGACAGCTGATTATTTGACAAGTCCAGTGTTTTAAGCTGCGGCAGGTTCAGAGAACAATCAGGTAGCGTCTTTATGCTATTGCCCGACACATACAAGCTTGTTAAGCCAGGAAATAGCTCCCCTAGCCTCTCAGGGAAGCAAGTTTCTCCGTTGTACGACAAGTTCAAGTCTTCCAACATCATACTGTTTGATCCACGGAGCGAAGGATAAGATTTCATCTCGATTTTGTTGTGCGACAAGTTCAGTACTTTCACCCTGCTCGACTCATGGACAAAGCAGAAGGGAAAATCTTTAAACTCATTGTGACTTAAATTCACGTATTTCAAAACAGGCATAGCATCACAGAGGGGAGGAGGAAAGCGTTCCAGGTGGTTATGACTTAGATCCAACCTTTCAACCTTTGCTAAATGAGCGAGAAATAGCGAGGATGCATCTGCCAGAGGATCAATGCTAACAATGTTGTTACTGGAAGCATCAATAGAAAGCACGGTTGCGTTGGCAGATACGGCTCTGATTGACTCTCTTCGCTTTCTTCGTTCTTCAAACGTTTTCCCGGTACGTCTTTCACTAATTACGTAATGTGATAATTTTCCACTTTCGAACTGAAAAGGAGCACTCAGATTCCGTTCCCTATAGCTTTCCTGCACGTCCCAACTGTACACGTAGCTTCCATTTGGCATTTTGAACGTTCCTGGTTGCTGTACATCGTCTCCAGATTCTGATATAGCATCAGCCTGCTCAGGGTCGGACAAACTGTGAGAAACATAGTCTTTTGGACTTCGCAGAGGGGGATTTACGTCGCTAGCTGAACGTCTTGTCAACACTGGACGCTGGCGATTGGGCGTGGGTTCTTCAACTGATATTTTTCGCGGACTCCTGGGTAATATGACGCAGTTATCGTCGGAGAAGGGAGACACAATGCGAGGATCATGCGAGCTGTAAGGGAAGGAAGCTCCACTAATGCTACGTGCGCGCAATGGTGAATTCTCGCTTAACTCTGGGACATCAAAATCAAGTTCGGAGTCTGAATCGGAATAATCAATTGACTCAAAGGAGAAAGAAGCATCCCCATCGAAAGAGACTGAATCAGCCTTGGGATACTTGTTCAGCATCAAATCACTCCCTTTTCGTCTCAAGCGACTATTGAGTGAAGCTCTTCGTTCCATTGTTCTCTTGGCATCGTCGATGAACTCAGACCAACCAGCACAAAGAGCTGGGGGAGAATACTTTAAGCCCGATAGTGAAGGCGACAACCATTCTGGGCGCAAGTCACTCAGATTGAGGTTGCTAAATGCTATGATACCAGCCTCTTTGTCATGGCCGAGATGTTGTAGAAGCAGTCCTACAATGTTATTGTGTCCCATCTCGAGAGAAAGCCTCAGAGCACACTGAATGTCTGTGATTCCCTGAGTGAGTAGAAATTGTACCATTTCTTCTTTACCGTTTTTGCACGCACAGCAAAGAGGTGTGTTCTCACCTTGACCAGCATTCACATCTGCTCCTTTCTTGATCAGACAGTTGGCTCCTTTGAGAAGGCCACCAGCACACGCTGACAACAGCATCTGTGTTTTTAGGTTGCGTTCCCAACCAAGAAACCGAATACATTCACTGGCCAAGAAAACAAGGTCTGGTTCTTCGACAAAGTGCTCCAAGATGAAGAAAAGTCTTTCGTGAGCACAGTTATTCACCAAAATTGAACTCTTTTTCTCGTCTATTTGAGCAATGACAAGCATGGCTACACAGCCTTCGGCTTGAACACCTCTGTCTTCTTGGTACTCACACATGGCCTCCAGGACAGCAGAGACTGCCATTTGACAATGTTCATCAGACAGCAAGGGAGCCAGCACTTGAATAAGAATGCACCCCTTTTGTTGTATGGCTGGTTCGTTCAGATGTTTCATCATCGCATCAAAAATAATTTTTACACCACCATACTCTGAAGTTACGAGGAGATGTGGAACTTCCTCAGCAGCACATAGCACACCTAGGCAAAAAAGAAATAGCACTTAGAGGGGGCAAGAGAGGGGTAGGACGCGGCTTGCGCATGAGCACTGTGAGCCAAATAACCTGAAAATAAAATTTTGGTCTTCTTCTGTTTAAGTTTTCAGCCTTTTAAGTTGAGTTTGGCACAATACGTAAACTCCCGCGATTTTTCCACCAGAAAGGCTAAGATTTTTCTCATATCAATGATATTCATTGGGTGTTAACTAAACCAATATGCCTTTTCTACGATTTAATATCTCCAAGTCTACAACCAGTAATGCAAGCTGGAAAAGGATAAAAACAAATTTCGGCTGTCTCTTTCGTAGAGTGTTCGTTCTTCCATAGAGTATAAGGAGTCAAAGGTATATATCTCAAGAAGAAACACTGGAAGAAAACAATTTTCCAGTACAAATTATTTTATAATTCAAGGATACACCGAGCGACACGTCGATCAGTTATTGCAAACTTACTGCTCGATATTCAGGTCGCAGTATGGCTTGCAACTTAAAGCTGACCCATTCCAGCATAGCTGTCACCTCAAAGTCACTCTCTCATATAAGATTTATATAAACAATCATAGGTACTGATCCTTTGCATCAAACAATTTCAAAATTATTTCAAACACAGCTGTCCTCCCTAGAGAACTATTAAGTTTGTATGTGGCTATGCTAATGACGCTAATATAAAGCTGTACTGACAGACAAAAACACTCACCCAAAGCTTCCAATGAGATCTCACAAAGAGAAATCTGATCTGGGAAGGAGTTCATTGCGTTCAAAATCGTTCCATGAATCCCTTCAATAGCACTTTGATGCAAAACAAGCTCAACATCTGTTGCTAAGCATGCAATCAATGCTATGGCTTCTTGTTGGACGTCAATCTTATCGCTAAATCTGCATGGACAAAACCAAAGTTTAAAAGAACATACTCCATAAGGCACTTTTCAATAGACAGATGACTGTTGAAAACGGTTGCATAGCAATGAAAATGCAATATTTCATAATGCTAAGGATACATATCACAGCAAGCTATTGGAAACCCTGAGTATATGATAACTTATGATAATTTATAATTTACATGAGTCATGCAGGCATTTTGATTGGTTCTTAATTGTAATCGATTGGAGAACAGACGCATAGATGATGTCACCATTAACAACAATTTTGCTTTTTTGAGTGACTAGCATCTAATTTCTCCTTACCATATCACCCCTGAATCAAACATGAAAGTCATGAGAATAGAGGTGATGATCACCCACTAAAGCAACTCTTGACTGTTACTCAAATTCTCCTTGTCAGCCTCTTTGAAAATGTATGGAGAACAGTATGGAGAATATACATACTGATGTTAGGTGGTAAAGGGTTAATAGATCACAGAAGACCTAATAATATAAAAAGAACATCAATGGTACACTGGGCTTTGTGCAACCTTTTTGTTCTTATCACATTTTGAGGTCACCTGTGATTTATTAGTGAACAGAAGCATTGCAACATTTATTTGTTGACTACATCCTTTATAGCAGGCTCAAGTGTAGAAAAATGTTGTATCTAAACCATGATTGGTTTTAGCTTTAAACCTGTTTGATTGTTTAGGTTGAGAAGAATAATACAGCACTGCTGAATGCTCAACACTGCAGCACAGAAATGTTTTTTCCAAAGTTTGCTGTTATTTTAAGTAACTACTATATCAGAATCTAATTTCATTACCCTTGTTTGCTGCTTACCTCCAAGTGCAGTCAAAGATCAGCTCTAGAACTCCACAGTTTATCATGAGTTCTTTGTTATGAAACCCAGATAAAGACAATCCCCTCAGCCCTCTGCAGCCCCACATTTGCACTCCTGATTCTTTCTTGTGTTGTTTCATTGCATGGATAATGTTCAAGTACAACCCTTTGGACATCAAAGACTGAAAAATGATATTTTTCATCAAGTAAAGGACTTAGTGCTTTTAAAGTATAACTCTTAAATCATAACTTAACCACAAGACTATGTTAAATAATCATAAAGAGCTTTATGATCATAAATAATGGATAATGGTAATTCAACTAAGTGGAGTGCAATTTGGGCTGAAATAATATGCGTGATTCAAAATCAAACGAGTGCGCAGCACAAGTTCAATTTGAAATCACAAGTATGATTTCAGACCAAAATTGCATGACAGGAGGTTCAATTACCACTTTACTACATCCATTTTGAAATCACCCAAATACAGGACTTGGTCAGTTCAAATATTTTATCAATGCAATACTGAGCCAGTCCGAAGTTAAATTCATCCATTTTGGGGGGGGAAAAGTAAGTTTTTGAAACAAAAGTTGCAAAATTTGCCACATGATACCCTTTGTCTTTCATTTTCCTGCAATTTGATCAGTTACTTTAAACAAGCCTTGAAATCTGATTGGTTGTTTTGTTTTAGTATAGCCTCCTCATTGGCTGGGAAAAAAATGGGATTTAAGGCAAAATATAGTGCAATTCATGAATAAACTGCATCAATTAGAGCCAATCAGATTACAGGGACCACCAGAGATTTCAAAATGGGTGTAATAAAGTGATGATCAAGTATCAATTAAAAGTATGAACTGATTTAAAGTGCTCTTGTAAGCCTTAACTTTGTACAGAGAAAACATGACTTTTGATCTCTTTCATCTTACCTCCCTTAGTGGGTTCGACATACTGACCATGGTTGCCAAAACTCTACATGCTGACTCACATAGCTCTAAGTTATCTGCATGCAACATCAAGACAGCCATGCAACAATTGTGTACAGGAAGGGCATTGCCATGTGCTTCCTCTCCTATTTCCGTCAAGACATTGGGACAGAAGTCAATCAACTCTTGCAAAGCATGACAGGCCGCAATTAAGACCTCTGGTTTATCGTAGTGGCTTGTCATAGCATTTAATACTTGATGTGTCCACCTGTAGTCCTGTAATCCTAAAGAAGAGCATATAATTGGACTTGATTGTACATCTCAAAATTATAGAGCAAAAATAGGGGATCACTCCTTATCTATTTTCTGAAGGGGGTTGGGGTGGAGTATTTTGGGGTGGATTACATGGTTTTCAGGGGTACTGAAGGGAGGATCAGTAACCAAAGGAGTGTAAAGGGGTGACTATAGGAAATTGACTGCTAATTAACTGCCAGCAAAAGGTGGAGGGGAAGATAACAACATCACAGAGCCTTAAGGAGAGATCAGTAAATTGTATTTTTTCAACCCTAAAAAAACCTCCAACTCCTTCCACAACAATGATAATGACCTTGAGGTTCTTTGATTGGCTCTTCAGGGAAGTTAGGGAGGTAGTGTGTTGTTGAGACAATAAACCCCTGACCCTATTAGTAACAAAACAAGTTCCTCATCAAGTTGAAAGACTCTTAAGGATTTTTGCAAACAGACCTCCCAATGCAAATGTCTAGCATATTCAGACAGAGTATTTAGAATTGACCCAAATGAAATTGTTAGCAGCATATTTTCAGACTGCAAATTGTTAGCACCAAAGTTATGTTTAAGACCTCTTGTTTTGAAAGATACCCTGTTGAAGATACTAAATAGTGAAATTGAAGACCACAATACTCAAGACCTTTAAAACCATTCCCCGTTTGTGGCTCAGGGAGATATGATGAAATACCAGGCAGTAACCTTGGGATGAGCTGGCATCCTATCCAGGGAGACTGGTAATACCCTTGTCACTTCAAGCTTAGATGCCCATGTGATCAGAGGTTCTATGAGAATGAATTGTCTTACACAAAAACACAACATATTGACTCTTAACATGATTTATCTCATACCAATCATGTTGGAGTGCAGTGTTATAAATCATTATTCATCTAACCTACAATTGTTGCTCCTATTAACTTTCAAGTAATGGAATATTGATTTGTGTGCTCTCACTGTGTTGAATAAAAGCTTCATAAAATACTTCACTGACCATCTTGCAGTTTATTGTCCAGTTCTTCTGTGAGGAGAGCCAAAGCAGTCAAGCCATTTTTCTGAACCTCCATGCAATCCTTAAACTGTCGTAATGCCCTCAGAATAACCATTAAAACAACATTTTGCTGAACTAGAATTGCTCTGTGAGGCTCCAAGGCTGCCAAAAGTACAAGTAGTCGGCATCCCACTGCTTGAACTCCACCACAATCACAGTGTTTCTTCATTGCTTCCAAGGCAACCATAAATGTTCTTCCATGTACAAGAGCCTGGCAGTTCTTGTTTGAAGATGCTAGAACACACATCAGCCGAATACCTTGCTCTTGGATCTCTCCTTTAAAGCAAAACACAAAATGCCTTTAAGTTTAGGATCATGAATGATCAATTAAGCGACAATCAGCAACAAAATTAGGTGACACATCATACTTGAAGAGTCCTATTTATGTTTAGAATAACACTCTTGTCTCTACCACATTCTAAATCATTGACAAAACACTGCATATCCTTAAGGTTTAGAGAATCCTGATTCAGCATTGTCTTGAGGGGAGAGGGTAAATACTGTACATAGGCTAAATTAACAAGGGCAAAAGAGATAAAATTAAAATAATAATTAAAAACTCTTGCTGTCTGGCAACATTGCATGACAAGATTGAACACATGTTACCTAAAAACTATTGGAGTCAGTAAACATTGCATAAGGAAACTAAACACATGTCGTTTTAAGACATTTGCAGTTAACATCGCATGAAAAGACACTCGGTTGTTGACGTATTAAATTAATTTTTATAGATTGGAGCTCCAATGTGCAATAGTTTGCGGAATATTTAGAGTCAATCTGTCTTACCTGACTTCGCGAATTTCTCCATAGTTTCCACAACAATGCGATACTTTTTTCGGGGAGGCTTTTTCTCCTCCATGTGAACAAAATTCTCTTGTGCAGACGGATCGTCTTTCAGTAATTGTGTTAGGGCTTCAAAAGCAGGAATATAAAATTCTTCATCCTCTCCGAAATAGCTAATAGCAGAAACAACAAAATCTACGGCGCGTTTGTCCAAAGCATCGCTTCTCATTCTTGTGGAAGTGCACAGTGCAGACAACATTTTACAACCTATAACTTGACACATTTTGTCACCATGATGTTTCATCATTTTTAAAATATCTCTGTGAGCTTGCCTTCTTTGTAGCTCAGATCGAACACGCGGATTAAGTTCCACGAACCTGTGTAGTACAAAACAGGTATGAAGTTGAATTTTGTGGCTTGTTTCGTGGGAACGCATTACGTCCAGCACAGTGAGGTGAGCTTGTTTCTTTACAAGGAGCTCAGCGTCTATATCGACTTCGTCATCCAAACTGTCTGCGAGCAAATGCATGCAGTTCTCCACTTCAGCTTCGTTGGAATTATTCTTGACACATGCAAGTAACTTGAGTAACTCTTGGATACCCTCCTGAAGTAATTCCTCCTCCTCCAAGGCCATGGTAGACTTAGACTCGCCAGGCAAACTTTCGATTAGCCTAATCCCCTCACAGAACGATGTGTCTGGATAGAACACATCCATTTGAAATCCTCTGGGAATCTGAACTCACTTTTCTACACAGCAGATTTAATATGACATTGACACGGTATCAATTTTAGAATGACATCATGTTCCTTAGTTTTGACACAATTACCGAAAAGAGTCCTGCAATAACAATCGATTCAACCTCCAATTTCCATGGTGTTGTAATTCGATCTTAACTTAAGAAATACCATGGCATGTGATCCTCAAATGACCGCAGATAACGAATGGTTGCAGTTTTAGAGTGATCGTATTTGAAGACTGGGGTCAAGGTGTTAAATTTCCTTTCCAGAGATTAATATGACCCTCTAGCCAATTTTTAGCCTTCGAGAAGATAGCCAGTTAATTATTCCTAAATGACGACCGGAAATGAAACTCCTGGATAAATTCAGCTAGATATTGTTCATCCGTTGAGAATCAGTGGTACTCTAAATACAAATGCACGAACATTTACGATATTGAGGTAAAATGTAGGCAAGAAGAACAACGAACAACATTGAATCACTCGCATGGAACACCAGGCTTGTTCGGGAATAGTGACGTCATTAAGTGCTTTCGGGAACACGAAACTGTTCCGAGTGTTTCTGATCTTGTGATCCGAATCTGTCCGATCTCCCCAAAGCATAGCTTGTTCCTGAAACAGAAACAGTGATTCGTAAAGGGATTTCCCCGCTAAGTCTCATGACTGCCTCGTGTTGTGACGACACCAGAGTTTCATTCGGACCATGACTGCTATGTTGTGTTTGTATAAGGAAAAGAAAACGGTGTGTCTCATAATATTTCTTCAAGCCTCAGACACGATAATGTTTAGGAGCGCGACGGAAGAAGTAGGACCTTCGGAGGATGGGGCTTGAAGCCTTACGTTCTTCTGTTCAAAATCCAGTTGGATTTCCTCAAGAGCCAATGCGACGGGTTCGTCTTAAGTTCAAAGGCAAAGTGCATTTCAGACAGTTTATCCCTATAAAGCCAGGAAGATTTGGAATAAAGGCTTTCACACTTGCAGAATCCACCAGTGGCTATGTGTTGAACAGCAAGATTTATACTGGCAAGGAGAATAATGAAGTTCAGAAAGACTTAGGAAGGAAGGCAGTTATGTCTGTGTTGCAACCTTATCTAGATAAGGGATTTTATGCCTTCATGGACAATTATTATACTTCTGTTGCTTTGTTTGAAGAGTTAGAAGAAAGAAAAACCCTTGCATGTGGCACAGTTCGGGCCAACAGGGTAGCCTTACCAAGAGAGATTTGTGGTGTGAAGGAAAAAGCAGTGAAAGATCTTAAAAGAGGAGAGTGTTTGTACAGGCAAAAGGGAAATTTGACTTGCGTGACATGGCGTGACAGGAAGCCAGTTAGTGTGTTAGCTACCCTTCCCACCAGTACAATGGACTCGAGCCCAGTTCAGCGGTCAGTAAAAGTAAATGGGAAGTGGGAGAAGAAGCAATTTTCTAGACCAGGTGTTATTGACCTCTACAACACCTATATGGGTGGTGAAGATGTGTCTGACCAGCGAACTGTCGCATATGCCAGACTTATGAAGGGGTCAGTCTGGTATTACAAAGTGTTTTTTTATTTGATAGAGGTGTGTGTATCAAATGCACACATTCTCCACACCAAATCCCAGAATCATGCCAGTCTAAGAGCACTGCAGTTCAGAAAGGAGCTGGTCAGCACATTAGTTCAAGGCAAGTGCTTTCGAAGAGACACGGGATTTGTGGAAACTCCTGTTGCTATCCCTGACATAAGATTCAACCGGGATCATTTCCATTACCCTGTGAGCAATGAAACAAGATTAACTTGCAAGGTCCATATCCAGAAAGTGAAAACAATATACAGCTGTGCAATTTGTGGTGTTAGAATGTGCCCTGAGCCTTGTTTTCAAAGGTACCACACGTTGCGAGACTTTTACTATGATGATGAAAGTCGAAATGGTCCCCGTCGGCTAAAAGAAGGAAGAGGGAGGCCATATCAAAGAGGAAGAAGAAGATCATTAAGAAATTAACTCTTGGTTAATGTGAGAGCATAGTTTTGTGCAAGTGTGGTACATAACTATTGGCTATATAACCGATAAAGAAACTGTTTGCATCTTTTGAATATTTCTTATTTCATTTATATTTTACTCAATTTTTACTTTATGAAAGGCAATTATTAATCTGTCTTAAATTCTCTAAAAGGAGGGTTATTGCCCTAATTAATATTTCTTACCTTTTGAAATTGTGTTAAAAGGTGATTAGAATTTCCAGTAAGAAACCAAAAGTTGGAATTGTTTGTTTAGAGCTGGTGATTTCAAAGTTCCTTTAGAAATTTGCATAATTATGCAAATTATGCTTATTGTGACGTCACAATTTTGACATGTGTCAATTTCTATAATTGTTGTGAAAGTATATTTTTAATGCACTTCCCAAATATATATAGTTTTATAAGGTTTTGTTGTAAAGAGCAGGCTTGACAAGCATTCTTGTATAATGTACTCATTTTTGTGACAAATAAATACCACCCCCCTTGGTATACAAAGGGTTAATTAAAATTAATTTTATTCACCGAGGTCTGCACAGTCTGAGAGGTAGCTTAGCTTAGCTATTTTCCTTCCTTCGCACGACTCGCTAGCTATTTGCCCACTTGTGTCGCCTTGACAGTTTTTGATTGTTCATTTGTTTTGCAAGTTGCAAGTGACGAAGTTATTCTTAGTTTTCTGCTCTATAAAGTATCGCGATCCGAATAAAATGCGAAAGTATCTCAATGGCGACTGTTTGCACTATCAAATCGTGTTAATATCATCATGATTCTCGTGCACATCAGTTGTTAAACTGTAGGCCCTTCTCTCTCTATCAAGATTTCTATTGAGAGTATTAATATCCACCGGTGAGGGAAGTAAATTTAAGTTCAAACATACTATTTAGTTTTTTGAAGGGAAATATGTCATGACACAGATATACATTGAGTGGATCGAAAGAAAAAAAGGGTAATCATTACTATCATTACATATCCATGGTCTCCCATCAAATGTTTCTACCGCCATTGACATAAAGCCTACAGAAGATTCGTCTGCCTCGCGTGTTCCTCTCGCACGTTCCTTTCTAGCTTCCACGCTCTCTTTACTAGTCTGCTTTTTTTTTTCTTTTTGGTGATTTTTTCTTATGCAGTATTTCAAGGCAGATGGGGTGTCCTTTCATGTGCTTATTTTAGGTTTCGTAAGAGTTGAATTCAAAGTTCAAGGTAAATAAGTATGGGCCCAAGGTAAATAAGTATGGGCCCCAAGACTTTAGTTTCGCAAGTATTGAGATCTTCTGACAATTAGGCTGAATGTGAGTCAGCATTATTCTTGATGACCTTGGCTTTGACTTTCATATAATTTCCAATTTTAGCCTCATGATCGGTCAATTTCTATTCCGCCTTTACTCGTTATTGATAGCAATTCTCTCTCGTCGCTAGGTCACATAGGTCGCATTATTTTGCTTATTCAGCTCTCCTAAAGTTGATCTCGTGAGTAACTTGTGTGTCAACAACATCCAAGGTTGGCGAGATTCCTAAACCTAAACATTTCCTTAATCATGTTACTTTAGAAGACCAGTCATAGGGGTGTATTATTAGATACTTGTCATATCAGTTACATTAGTTCAGTTTGAGAACGAGGAAGTGGCATTAGAAGAATCGTGTTGAAAAGATAAACGAGATTAAAGCCTTATGTTACAGCTCAGACTCTTGGAGCCTCTTGTAAGACTTGGTCACTCTGTCTTTCCCCGGTGTTTCAACGCATAAAACAATACGTCGCGATTTCTTGAATCATTTCAAAGAAATTGGACAAAACCGCCTCCGCGGCCTTCTCAGAGCTCGCGTGGTGCCAATTTCTTGGTTTCTTTTATGACAATAATTGGAATCAATTTAGGGCTTGTATTGCGCCAATTAACATATAAATCAAGCAAGTAAATAAACGGACTTGACTGGTGCCCAAACTGGTTGCACTAGTTTTTCGACGCGCGGAACCTGGGAATGATATCAATTTAAGATGGCGGAAGAGTTGTAAAGTGGGATGTTTGGGAATTGACAAGGGCAATGGACTCCAAGGAGGTATAGTTTTTTAATTCTCTAACGCTACATAGCATATAAGGATAGTACTGTATGTTAGCCGGTTTTTTAAGCGATGCCAAAGCACAGATCGGTGGTCATCATAGCGATCACGTTTTCCTCAATTATAACAGACAAAACCCTCCATGTTGGCGCTTGTAAGCTCAGTTCTAGTCATACTGGAATCAAATGCATATCAATATCTAAGAAAACTACGAAAGAATCCCTGAGAATGCATACTGATATGCATCTCGGTCTGAATAT